TCCGGATATACTTGCAGATAATTGGGAAAAGTCTAACTGCAAGATTATCCAACATTTTATCCAGCCAGAGGACGACTAGCTGTTTAGTCTTATTATTATTTCTTTAGTACTTTTCTTTTCTAGTATTTGGAATTTTAGTTTTTATTATTATATATATATTCAATATATGTTTTGCAACTAATTAAAAGATGATTCTATCTATCTACTAAAAGGCGTAGGTAATATCTCAACATTAAGTAGTTCATTCTCAAGCTTTCTAGCCTGAAGCTGTTTAATCCTTACTTCCGCTTCTAGTTGCTGGACTTGAAGGTTACTCATTTTTGTCTCATGACGCTCGCGTGCTACCCTTGCCTGTTTCTCAAGTTCCCATTCTTCCYGTTTCTTCTTCGTTTCCCAATTGACTTCTTCGTAATTATTAGACTTTGTTAGTCTATCCTGAGCCAGCTCCTTTCCTATACGCTTTACACGCTTCGTCCCTCCGCTACTTGATACTACTGGCTGTGGCTCATATACTTCTGGGACCTGATCAGAATTATCAGGGTCTGTTGAAGGAGTTATAAACTTGAGCCGCCTTTTCTCTAATCTTTCTATATATTTATTAGTATATAGACTAAAGTCATTTTATAAACGAATTCAAGTTGATTTAATAATCGTTTAGTATAACTCCACTTACTGATTTTATCGTAGATCGCATTTACGGGATTTGGAGGGGTATATGAAGACTGAATACCATAGCGTTTATATTGGTCAATATATTCTACTAGCTTTTTGTCTAAGTTGATGCCCCTAATATATAATTAGAAAACGATTCGAACTCAATTACAAAGTACATACTTTAGAATTGCTAGTAGAAGTGCTTGCCCCCTCCCAGTTCGATTTGACATCGACATTAACGAATCAAGAGACTGGTTTGTTCGAGTACAGTTATTCCAAACGTCTTTATCCCCTTTCCAAAAGAGAGGATTAAGACCTGACTTAATCCACGGGACCCGTTTATGAGCTGTATATGCTGCTTCATTAGGGCTATAAGAATAAGAATTAGAAATAATATATAAAACGAATTATATACGAATATAACTTAAAGGGAGAGTACTTACAAATTCTTATCAACTTCATCTAGAATTGTATTAAACATTTCTTCGCTATTAACGTTCAATAGCTCACGCATAACCTCGCCCCATGCAGAGCCAGATGGAAAGCGCGCTTCAAGACCACGGAAGAAATGAGTTGTACAGTAAATAAGAGTCCGCTCGACGTGCCACTGCCAAGGTCTCTTTGGGAATTCAGGATCAATTGTCCAAAAGTAAAGACCCAATGCTAAGACAGTTAGTAAGTATTTGATAAGTATTTACCAAGTACTTGATAAGTGTTTGAGAAGTAATTAAAAAACTTACCATGAGCTTGGGCAGGACACATATCTACTACAATAGCCTTGATACCCTGGCCATGTATGTGGTGCCACTGTAGCCCTTTTCTAGGCTCGGCTTGCGAAAGTATATTATCTGCTACTGAGAAGAACTCCATAAACGCCTTATAGTATGCCCAGATTGACTGCTTATTGGTATAAACTCGACCAAAACACATTACTTAAATAATTAGATAATAGTTGTAAAACGTTTGCAGAGTATTTACTTACACCGTTGAAACTCTTGCATAAACTGTCCAATAAGAATTTCATTAAACTGCCCATGAACCCGTTTATATGACATGTCGATTTGTATAGTATTACAGGTAGCCATACATTCGATTTGCTTTGTAAATGCGCAGGAAATAGTTCCAATATCGCCGTTATGTACCATATTCCGAATATATGGGATCTTCCTACTTTGWCCTTGGTGATACGAGATATAGTAACTCCAAACACCTATATACGTTTAGAAAATATTAAAAAAATATTTACAGAAGACTAACCTTCCCAGTCAGTACCGTCTGGATATTGTAAGTAGATCTGCGCCCGACGTAGAGCTGCAAACCGACTAGTATTAAATAGTGTAGGGTCAAGAGTGCAAATATCAGCGTGTGGATCTTTCTTCTTGAGGTCTATATATAGACTAAATAGCCGATGGCCATTAGGTGGAATAATATGAACAGGAGTCCCTTAAAATAGTTAATAAACGTCTCAAAAACAGAAGTAAAGTATATTATATACCTGCTATAGCTCCGACTTTAATATGCCTCTGGATCTCTTTGATAACGAGCTCGCCAATTTCTTGGGGAGTTTGATTAGGAGGAGGAGGGTTATGAGAATGAATTCCATGTGAGGAAAATAGAATAATCGGTGTCTTCTTTAAGTCGACTGGGATTAACATGTTGAACTTGACTGAACATGGAATCTTCTTTATTAGCTGGGAACTTTGATCATGCGGAACTCCTATAAATATTGTTAGTATTTGGCAATTATTTAACAAGTATTTAACAAGTATTTGAAAAACATTTGAAGAATATTTATATAATACTAGATACGTACCACAAAGACGTCTTCGTGATGTTTGAGGGAGCGTGCGAAAACACTTCTCTTGTACTCCATCGTAGCCATACTCTAATAGCTGGGCTAGATGTGCAAGGTGTATATGAGCGTTGGTAGGGATGGAGTAGTAGTAGTGGTGCGCCTTCTTTGCATATGTCGCCTGATTGCAGGTAATATAATACTTTTTGTTTCCATTTAAATCCTATTAATTAAATAATTAGTAAACGTTTTATAATTATTTGGAAAGACTATACCCTATRTTCAGACTCTCGTACAACAGGCAAACCGCTACAAGGTCGACTAAGTCCAGTATCATTATAGTAACTTGAAAATGGACAGCCGTTCCGGTGTGGACTCTTGAAATCCCGCATAACTGCATTATATAGACTACATAATTAGAAAACAATTTCAAAGTAGAAGGTAAACACTTTACTCAAGAGTCGGTTTGTATGTATCAACAGGGTGATATTCCTCCATAAATAGCCGTTGTACAGCAGACATTCGCTCTGCTTTTCTATCCCAAGCATCTATATCCCATTCCGTATGCGGGTCTAAAAGAGACTCGTGATGATRGGTACATACTTTAACTCCTGAGCAGCGGAACGTAGTTCGAATACATGGGACATTATTTAGGAATTCGGATCGAGTTAGTTTATTATGCGGTTGATATGTTGATGAATAACTATACTGGACCTATATAATATTAATATTTATACATTTTGTAAACAATTTCTATGTAACTTACATTGTACATTAATGTTTTAATTGTTAGATCTAGTGACTCTAGATACCCAAGGGCAGAGAGACAATAGCCTACGCCGGACTTTGATGTTTTTGGATACCAAGGTAGACGGGTGCCATAGAAAAGTTCAGAGACTCGTAGCCCATCCAAACTAGGATTGGTAAAGATTTTTGGGATATTTTCATTATCTTGCATAGAAGTAGTAGGCTCCTATAAGTAATTAGCAAATATTTGATAAGTATTTGGCAAGTATTTGGCAAGTATTTGGCAAGTATTTAGCAAGTATTTGGCAAGTGTATACGTACAGAGAATGAATTGTCTGGAAACAACAGAACATCTGGGAGGGGAATAACAGGATACTTCGTTTCAGCTTCCTGGTAAAGATATTGTTTATCATCTAGGGAGAGACTTGAATTGCGGAGAAGCTCCTCAGGTATAGGGGCAGCAGTATTCGACATAGCTAGAAATTAAAGCTTTATATAAGAAAAGTTGGTCATATAATAGAGATTAATAGTATATACAACAGACGAAGGCATATTTAATACAAAGCTTTAATTGCTCTTGTCGCGAAACACACACGTTAATCGCGCACGGTTATTCTGAAGTTAAATGACATTAATTTCACTTTTCTTAAATTACCGAGCTTCGAATACAAATCTTTTTTAAAACACTTGACAAACGTTATTCAAACATTATTCAAATGCTGTTTAAATGTTCTCTTAGAGGGTCATCTCAGGTCCTTATTTGCACGGCCATTAACTAGGGTGCCCCTACTAGTAGGACTACTATGTTAGGGTTCGACCAGGCGCGCCCGGGTTTAAATCTAGGGGGCTGGCCAGCCACTGTGCGCGTTTAGGTGCAAAGCTCGTATGGCCTATAGCTAGACCCTGTTTAGTCCTTGTTAAGGGCCATTCCAGCTGCTGTGACCGGTCATACCAACTACGCTCTGAGGAAAGCAGATGCGGTTACGTCAACCTCGCTTATAGTCACGTGAGACATGGGTTCAGAGCAGTAACAAGAGTCTCCTTTTATAGCGTAATAGAGTTCCTCCACTACAGCTCCACACCAAGCCCATATTATCCTAATACCCTATAAAGAAGTCTCATCCGAGCTCTGAGGCCTTACCCCTATCCCCTAGACGGCCATCGCTTGCCTCAGCGCTAGCAAGGGGGTCCAACCACTAGAAATACTAGAATTGAAGCTTACATAAAGCTTATATAACACTGGAACGGTATGCACGTCCGCCATTTAGACCGTCGAAATAATGGGTTTTAGCTAATAATAGGGCAAAGGAACGGCTCAATTTCGAATAATTCGGTTTAGCGCTGAGGTAAGCGATGGCCGTCCAGGGGATAATATTTACGTAGTAATTCCACTTATGAGGCCTTAGGCATAAAGGCTACATTGACTGGAGTAGAGTCCTATCATTTGTTGGTTTCAAACTCGTCGGCCGTCAATGATCACTGATATCCTCAATAGATCGCCTGCGTGTTCCATTAGCACCACGACCGCAAGACTCAAAAACCTCTCCTTTTACTTCTAAATTATCATCGTCGCCATATGTATCGCACTTTTTGGTAATACTTTTTTCTCTTTCTGCGTATCAAATGCTGAGCGTCCATTGTTCGTTCTGTTGAACGACTAATGAGGCGCGGAAAGCAGTGTTCTTCTACCTACCGCAGCAGCGCAACAGCAAACACGTTCTTCATCTTCCTCGTCCTTTAGGTTGTTGAGACCGTTGGGGCGAAGAACTATAGTGTAGATTAATGCCGCCCAAGAGTCGCTCAGAACATGGAGTCTGGTGCGATCGTTAGCCGATGGAAGAGGAAGGTCTTGGAAGTTGCCTGTGCCGTTGGCAATGTGGACATCGCCAGGGCTGTGCTAGAATCAGGTGTCGAGATCTCTGCTGCGGATAGCGCGGGCTGGACGCCAATATACACGGCTGCTCGAAACGGTCACTGGGAAGTCCTCGGATTGCTCGTGGAGACCGGAGGCGACATCACGATCTCGGACAACGATGGACGAACGCCCTTGTACGTCACCGCGTTTCATGGGCATGTTAAAGAGGCCGAACTGCTTCTTGGGCGCGGAGCCGACCTGTCGGTTGCAAACAAATTTGGCACGACGCCGTTAGGCCTCGCGGCCTATGAGGGACATTTTGAACTAGCCAAGGTATTTATCGAGAATGGGGCCAACATTGAGGAAGCCGATGAGAACGGCTGGACACCATTGATTTCGGCGTCTTCCTCGGGGTATGTTAATATCGTCAAGTTACTCATCGATCGTGGCGCCAAAATTACAGTCTCAACGAACAGTGGATGGACACCACTACTCTCAGCGTCCGACACGGGTCATGTCGACGTAGTTGAAGTCCTTCTCAACCGCGGGGCAGATATTACAACTACTGACGACGATGGATGGACACCATTGTATGCGGCCTCCGTCCATGGACACCACCATATTGTCAGAATTCTCCTCGAGCATGGCGCCAATCCTAATTCAAGAACTATTGATGGGTGGACTCCGTTATATGGGGCATCGTCTGAGGGTCATATTGACGCAGCTAGGGAGCTCCTTGCCAAAGGAGCCGAGATCACAATATCGACCGATGAGGGAAACTCGCCACTGGGTTTGGCTTCCTTCAGCGGACATGTCGCAGTGGTTCAACTCCTTGTCGAGAATGGGGTTGATCCCAATCATAGAGACAAAGACGGCTGGACGCCTTTGAATCTAGCTTCAAGTCGGGGACATGCCAATGTTATTGGTGTGCTTCTTGCGAACGGAGCCGATCCTACAACCCCGAACAATTTAGGCGCGACACCCCTTTATGTGGCGACCCGCAACGGATACTTAGAAGCTGCGAAGATACTTCTCAAGAATGGAGCAGATCTGTCGCGACCCACCAACGATACATCTGGAAATACTCCATTAATTGGGAGCGCACTTCACGGCGACGTAGAGGTGGCTCAGTTACTTCTCCGACACGGGGCTGATATTGCAGCAGCAAATAGTAGCGGACAAACTGCGCTCCAAGAATCGTGTCGCAACGGGCACATTGGAGTCGCCAAGCTCCTTCTACAGAATGGAGCCGATGCCAATGGTGTGGACGCATTTAGAGAAACGCCGCTTGTTTCTGCAGCGAACAATGGACACGATGAGGTAGTCCGACTGCTCATTGACAATGGGGCAGACTGCTGGAACCGGACTCAACATGGATGGGCTGCATTGCATTGTGCTTCCTCCCGTGGGCATCCTGAGGTTGTCAAAACGCTCCTTGGTGTAGAGGCCGATATCGATGAGCAGACTGAAAGTGAGCTGTGGACACCGCTACACTTAGCAAGCAGTAATGGGCATATCAGTGTAGTGAAGGCCCTGCTTGACAACGGTGCTAAAACCGCAATCACAAACCAGCATGGGAGGTCGCCGCTGCACTCGGCATCGGTACATGGGCACGCTGATGTAGTTGAGGCATTGCTCGCGCACCATGCCGATGCGTCAGTGTCGGATAACTACGGACGTGTGCCCCTAGTCCTCGCGTCTGAGTTTGGGCATATTGGGGTCACTCGGGTTCTGCTTAAGCATGGTGTTAATGTTGCCTTGGCTGATAAAGACGGCACGTCCCCGGTAATTGCCGCGAGCCGCACTGGTCATTCGGGGCTGGTACGATTCCTCCTTGCTACCGGGTTTAGTGCTATGGATGCAGATCAAAATGGGCTGACGGCACTGAACACTGCCGTGGCGAACGGGAATATTGAGGTGATCAAGGTGTTGCTCGAGAATGGCATCCCGATGACACAAAATAAGCTTGGGCATACACCACTTCATATCGCCGCAGCGTGTGGGAAGACAGAGGCGGCCAGGCTTCTACTCGAAAATGGGGCAGACATATTAGCAGCAGACAATGATGGAATAACGTCGCTACATGTTGCCTCCCAGATGGGACACATTCCTGTGCTCGAGTTGCTGCTGGGAAGCGGTGCTTCCATGACTCCAAGTACAGCTGGGCTAACACCAATTCATTTTGCTTCAGTCAATGGGCGAGTTGAGGCGGTCAAAGCGCTCATTGAACACGGAGCAGACCTATCGGCCACTGAAAAGTCTGGCCTCACACCTTTACATGCTGCTTCGGAGAAAGGAGATGTCGAGGTAATAGCAGCACTTCTCGAGCATGGCGCCGATATAGCGGCCGTGGGAATTGAGGGGTCGACAGTGGCACACTCGGCTGCTCTTGGTGGTAATATCAAGGCGATACAGTTGCTTCTTGATAATGGAGCCAGTGCTGGCCCCATGAATGCGTACGGCTCGACACCCACATTCCTGGCATCGATTGGGGGGCATTCCGAAGTAATCAAACTACTTCTTCGCCATGGAGCGGATGCAAGCCTTCAGAACCACCAAGGAATGGCACCATTACACATCGCTGCTGATCAGGGACACCTGGAGGCGGTTAGGGAACTTATTAAGGGCAGCGCTGACGTCGCAGCCGCCGATGAACTTGGAAGAACGCCCCTCTTTCTCGCTTCATTCTCCGGGAGAACTGAAGCGGCGAAGGAGCTCTTGGCCCATGGAGCTGACGTTTCAACCAGGAATAACAGAGGGATAGCTCCTATACTTGCAGCATCAGAGAAGGGACACATCGAGGTGGTCCGGCTGCTACTTGAGCACGGATCCAACTTGGCAGTTGCAGAACCGAAATTCGGAATGACACCACTGGCTGTGGCTGCCTGCGAAGGAAATATCGAGCTGGTGAAGCTGCTCGTTGAGAAGCAGGCTGATCCCATGATTGCACGAAACGATGGGAGGCGACCGATAGACCCATTCCTCTTCACCGCCTACTTCGTGCAAGCCAGCCAGGAGAACAACCTTAAGGGACTAGGAAGTGGCCGCTCAGCATCCCCTTTGGTTGGAAAGGATGAAGATTGGTCGGATGCGCCATTGCGGCCTATCGATCATCAGAGCCTCGCAGCTGCCATATCTATGGGGCACACACGCTCGAACTCGAACTCGAGCTTGAACTCTATGGAAAGTGAATCGCCTCCATTAGAGGCTAGTTCTGAGGATAAGGATGAGCTTTGCCCTGAGGAAAGTGGGCTTTGTGATGTGTGCCATTCCATTTTTCAGAATGGAACTGGTAGAGTAGTCTTCGACATGTTCTCTATGATGCGGGGGTTGATACCAGTCGTAATGGGGGGGGATACGCTAGGCGAACCACAGCCATTACCGCATCCTCAGCCACACATGCAGTCGTACCAGTTCATTCACCACCCTACAGTAAATAGCCTCTTCTCTGCAGCTCTCCAGGGATGTTATATCTGCAGTTCCGTTTGGGATCGGTTGGATCGCCGCATGCGCCAGACCTTACTGGATAAGTATTCTACTTCACCGGAGTCTGAATCCACCCCGCTGTTTCTCACATTTTGCGTTCTCGTTGACGTGTATGATATATTGCGGAACCACATGAAGCCAGATGATCTAGACCCCAATATTCAGCTCTGGGGAGTCTGCTTCCATCCTGAGATCATGAAAATGCTGAACCATAGTTCCGACGACATATCATTCTTCAGATTTATACCCCCGCAAGGTAAGGTGCAGCATATGAGTCCCCAGCGAGCATCTAGCATATGTAATACGATACTAACTACATATTACTTAGAAGCTAAAGGGTTTGGCTTTTTAGGAAATTTGTCTTCCACCACCGGCTCCGCCGAATCTCTAGACTTTACGGCCGGCCAATTCCAAAACTGCCTACATAATCACAAAGAATGCAAAGTTTCAAGAGACAATAGTTGGCTTCCTTCGCGATTGATATGTCTCGATGGTACGGAAGAGGATCAAAGTGTCCGCTTGGTCTTGTCTCGGGACTTACGTCCCGAACCCTACTGCACCCTAAGCCACCGCTGGGGCTCAGCTGAGTTCCTCAAGCTAACTAAAGATAATCTCGACAGCTTCTCTCGCAAAATCCCGATCTCAGACTTACCTAAAACGTTTCGGGAGAGCATTCTCGTTTCACGCAAGCTAGGAGTCCGGTATATATGGATCGACTCACTCTGCATCATCCAAGATGACCCCGATGACTGGTTCAATGAGGCGTCCCAGATGTACAAGGTATATTCGAACTCGATGTTTAACATCTGCGCCACGGCCGCCATGGACTCATCACAAGGTCTCTTTGCTTCACGGGATCCTGCGCGGCTCCGGTCCTGTGAGGCCAATATCCCTTGGTTTCGAGATGGTGGAACCTTTCAGATCTTGGATGTGCACATGTGGGACAACCAAGTACTTAATGCACCCCTAAACAGGAGAGCCTGGGCCATCCAAGAGCGCCTGCTCTCACCAAGGCATGTCCATTTTGGTGCCACTCAAATCTTCTGGGAGTGCCTTGAAACCACAGTAGCGGAACAGTTCCCACACAGCATACCTGAGGCAATACCGCTCATGGGCAAGTCGTCACGTCGCCAACTTCATCAATCCAGATACGACCTGCAGGACGAGCAGCAATCAAAGGCACTGCGGTCGGGTTGGATAGAGATTGTCCAACGCTATACCAGGGCCAAACTTTCGCACCCGGAGGACCGAATTATTGCATTTTCGGGTATCACAAGGAAATTTGAGGCTGTGTTGAGCAATACATGCGACGCTGGGCTCTGGACGGATCATATCCTGCGTGACATTCTGTGGTATGTCGAGGGCTGTTGTCAGGGAGATGGAACCCCATCTGAGCGCCCTGAAGCCTATCGTGCTCCGTCATTTTCGTGGATGGCCGTCGAAGGGGCCATAAGCCTGGATTCTCAGACAGAGATCACCGGCTCGCTCGCCCAGGTCTTGACCGTGACAATCGAGAAATCAAAAGGCTGCATCACAGGTGGCACTTTAAGATTGCAAGGTATAATCAAGCCTTTGCGACTCCATCGATTCAAGGGAATCGGCGGAGTGAGATGGGTGCCAAAGTTCCGCCACGGAAAGCATCATTTGGGGTGGGCGATGTCGATGACCTCGGCCGTGTACATGGATGTTGACCAGGACTATGACGATGCTTATTACTGCATTCTCCTTACGAGCAAATTCATGGGGACCTCCACCGTTGCTGGGCTTGTTTTACGAGAGACAGGCAGGGTGAGAGGGGAATTCACGCGGATTGGATGGCTTCAATGCATGGGAGAGGATAAGGAGTTTCTGACGGCTCCCTACGACGATGAGGATTGCTATCCTTGTGAGTCATATGATTATGTGCACAAGAAGCATACGATAGCTATTGTCTAGAATATAAAAGGATTAGGCTAGTTATACTAATCCTAAGGTGCCCGGGCGACTTATCTCTCGCGACTGCTTAAAGGGCCAGAATCAAGAGAGAGAAGGACGACTATCTTATATCCAAAAAAGGTAAATCATAACACTACTACGTACAACGTTTGCGACTCTTACTACTATTCCTAAAAGAGTAGATTATGACACCGCGTGATAATCAATTGAGAAGTGAGATAATATTATCCTCTAAATTAGATTAAGATAAGGAGGGCCCTTGAATTATAATCTATTAACAAGTATCGTTACTCTGCGTTGTTGCGGCAGATTGTTCTAAGGAGCCAGGCTATGTCCTCAGGGTGGCTATAAGTAAAATTGAAGCGGTTCTGGGCGAAGATCAGCGAGCTGGCTTTCGCTGTAGATGGGCCATATATTAGTTACTAGAGGTGTCAAGGGTAAATAGGATCTGCCTTTCCAGCGGTGTCTCGTCCGCAGATATAGGGACAGTAGATGTCGAAGCTAAGAATCACTTCTCATCATTTATTACTCAGTTGGCGATAGACTTCGTTGTTATATTGTATTATTAATACAGGAACCCCAGTCGGATTATCGCAGTCTCATACGCCAATTTATATAGCGTTATCACATAGATCGAGTAATAGCCACAAGCTTGGTAAATAATAGTATAGGGGAAATTATATGAACGTACTTTATAAGCGCGTAGGCTACCTAAACGAGCGGGCTACTTTTCACGACTTGCTATAATTTAACCCTAAATAGCTCTACTAAACACTCTTAGTTCTACTTACTAAGAGAGTCCAAATAACTTTAGCTGTTCAAGATCTTCAATTAAGTAAAATTATAAGTAAATAAAAAGTTTCGTAGATATATAACGTACTCTATGGTCTTTATAAGCCTGAAACTATAGATATGTTATATATTAGGATTCTATTCCGAATAGACGAAAATTAACTCTTACAAAAGAGTTAATTCCTATATGATAAATCTTTAATATATATTACGATAATATATTACTTATCAGCTTTATTATATAAGAAATAACTGATATACTCTTAGTAGAATATATTAAGTCGATATTTATAGCTTTACTTATAGTGTAGTGGGGATCTAATGGACCACCTGTTACTTATCCTGTTTTTGCATTTCCATTTGTACTAGAGTTAGTACGTGGATAGGTGGAGCCACCTGGGTATATAAGACCCTAGCTCTCACTCTCCCTTTTGCACGCAAGACAAACCATCGCGATCAGATTCACCACAATACAGCCGGACCAGGGTGAAGCTGGCCAGTTGAGATAATTACGAATACAAACCCAATTTGCTATACTTGTGATAATGACGGGATCTTGTGACTATTGGTCGTCCTGAATTGCCACTGCCTGAGTACGCCCTGAATATTCACCTCCTCTAAAGAACACTAAATTATAGTTTAGACTTCTTTAGCCAGATGACCATATAACGATAATCCCACACCACGCCTATCGCCTAATTGATCCAAATACCTTTACTGTAGTCTTTTGGCAGTCAAACACAACTTTCGTCCCAAGCTCGGTTAGTAAGCTGGCCGCTTCTGCTCAGGCGCTAATCACCCTCGGCTCACCCTGTCCTCACCCAGCACACCTAAGCTGCCTGAGCAACCTAAGCAATGCAACTTCTAGGAAGCACATTGAGCACCAGCACCAGCCGTTGAGGCCGCAATTAGTGACGGCAAAACGCATATGATTTGGCCACATCTAAATCAACACAATTTTATGTTGCTGGAGCTTTTGCTCGTCGCGCAACTTAATTATTCCACCATCCATGAGCCCATGAATATACGCAGGCCCCATGAAATAGTAAGGCTAATCTACATATCATGTGTATAGAAGTGAATATGGATCCAAAACTGGCTCTAAATGAATATTAGTTGCAAGGAAGCCGGAATAGGATCTATGCTTAGATATACAACGAGGAAAGTTTATTTGGGCATCAAGAGAGCAAGAACGAGCCAGCTAAGTGCTAGAATAGCCTCCTAATGCGAGCTCAGGTTGCTCAGGCCGAGCCCAGGCAGTAGGCATGCTCGGGAATGCTCACCCTCGGCTCCGGTTAAAGCGGCAGCTGCTCACGTCCACAGACTAAAACGGAACCAGGGGGAAAAAAAGTTAGGTCTTACTTATGTGGTTGTTTTATCCACGATTCTTCCTAATACTCCTAAGGGTCCTCCTACCTCCTCTATAATATTAAATTTAATATACCAGTTATTTTATATAGCTATTATAATTATATCTTATAGAACTATATACTTCGAAAAATATATCTATTTATTACTTAAGATATTACTTACTTAGTAATAAGTAGATCTATATAGTACAAAATCTCTTCCTCTAATATTCTCTTACTTAGACTTAATAATAATATTATATACCTGATTATATGACTTTGTTGTAGATTACCCTAAACTTACTAAATCTCCTTTCCTCTTTTAAACATCGTTGTTGGTTAACTATTAGCTACTTTTCACATCTTAACCGTTGTGGATTTCTTTCAAATGACCGAAAGATAATACGCTGGATACTGCATTTTATATTGGTCCACCAAAAATTAGCAACGCCTAATCAAATCAATTGAGCCCAATCGTCAGTTTGATAGGAATCGAAATTCCTCGGTTGAGCAACCTTTTTTTATCATTGGAAAGTGTGATATGCAACGGCTCTAGCTCTTTGGCAGCTATTCCCCACCATCAAAAGTAGTAGGTGCAGGATCGCGTGATAAAAAGATAGCTAAAAAAGCGTTGCGCATAACATGTAAATCTTTGGTCTATGCTCTATCTATTCTATCTATCGAATTTCATTCATCAAAACGTAGGTGGCCGTTGGATTCTTTCATGTAATGCGAAGCCAAGGGGAAGTGATACCGCCAGTGCTACTGGTATGTATAGACCACATCTCGGAGGTAACTCAATCGCAGACCCGGAATACTTCTCTGGTCATGATCCAGCCTCCATGGAGACGATCCCTTCCTTTATGTTCCCTCTTAAGGACTCAGCCTCTCGAGCTTCCACCCCTCCCCATCCTCCTTCTTGGAGTACTGAAACCGATCGTGCAACCTACTCTCTCTTCCCTGCCAAAACTCCACCATTTCAGGCTTGATCCTCAGTCCCCCCCAAAATTCAGGGACGGGAATCTTCTCTTCGCCCTCAAACCTCGCCACTACATCCTTCACCCGCGCATCGAGTTCCTCCCTCCCCGCCAAAACCTGGCTCTGTTGACTAGCCCACGCTCCAATCCTACTCCCCATAATCCGCGTATCGTAGTATATCTGGCTTTCTTGACCCGAGAGTCTTTCCACTATCCCTTCAACCCGAACCTGCCGCTCTACTTCCGGCCACCAAAATGTCAAACTCGCCCACTTGTTGGTCTCTACATCTTTCGATTTCTTGGAAGTTCCCCAGTTGCTGTAGATTATGAAGCCTGTTGGATCCAATTCTTTCATGTATACTATGCGGGAGGAGACTCGGCCGGAGGGCAGAGATGCTGTTGAGAAGCATGTCGTTTCTGGTTGGCGGACGCCGGATGTTTGGGCGTGCTTGAACCAAGTGTGGAACTGGGTCAGAGGAGATGAGGGGTCGAGTTGGGAGAGGGAAAGTGAGCCTTTCGTGTATTGATCAGCCTGAGAATATGTCTTATCGTTGGCCGGTGCGACTGAAGCATTGGAGGAGTTAGTCACCGGAAGAAGACGATGGTGGGGTAAATATGGATAAGGGTGGAGGAAACGCACAGATTAGCTTGTTATTATTTTGCGGTGTATAGAGAGCCATCTTGTGAGAACTAATACGGAAGAGAGATGGGTTTATTAGTCGCATATGTTGTGATTCAGTTAAAGGTGACCACGGGTTGCGCAATTGGTGGTGTTTAGGTTGTGGAACGTCAGGCCATCGTATCATTGACATCTCGCGCTAGCGGCCGACTGCCAGCCTTGTGACAGCCTTGTGATGTGAGCTTGATTTACCAGCAAAGCAAAGACTTGTCACCCTTCCTCGGAAAATGGACGGATGAAGCGTGTAGTGTTTGCATAATAGTCCCAGAAGGAGGAGCGTGGGCAGTAATGCCTTGCCGCTATGTTGGGCCATGTTCCATTCTCAAAATCGCCAAGGTGCCTAGCATTCATATTACCTATTTGTCATTGCCTGTAATTCGAAATTCAATTGCTATAAAATAAGCCGAATCTTAGACCCATATGCCGTGTAATGCAACCCTAATCAACTGCTAACGCCATGGCCATGAATCGTGTGAATCCTACTTCGTACTTTGCGGCTATTCCAAACTTGGAGCTAAGGAAATCAAGCTGAATCTCAACTCTCCGCCTCCAGATTCCGCTTCCCGTTTCAAAAACTGCCGCACTCCTAGATCAAGAGCCTTCTCGCTCAGTGCATCTTCATCGCCAAGGTTTCCTCTGTTGAGGGGCCCCTTTCTCCTTCCATCCAACTCCCATAAGTCGTTCTTATCGTCTTTCACAAAGCACACGTAGTGTAGGTCGATATCGTCCTCGGCGGCTGGTGCATTACTCTGTCCCCCAGCTGCAGCACCCTGATGTGCTCTCTCGAGAGCTTGCGAGTTGTAGAGCAAATCGGCGCGGTCTATGGGAGCTAAAGGTGTAGCATCTTGGACCAACTTGTCGAGGTCTGAGCCCGATTCTGCAGTCCGAATATTAACACCCGTATGTCAGATCATAGCCCGCATATGTGCCTTACCAATAAAGTTCTTAGCACTGCCGTTACTAACAGCATGCAAAATTCCAATCAGCCCACAAGCATTCCTGATAGTTTGCTTATACCAAATCACAGGCTCCTGTGGACCCTTTCCCTCGTATGCTTTGCTATCGGCATCCTCCTGTACCCTGAATGTTTCGTAGGATTTACTGATGGGGAAAACGAGAAGGAGGGCGCTGGCGGGGCGGGGTACGAAAGCGAGAAGCTCGGGGTCATCGATGCTGAAGACATCGTGGAACGAGAGCGCTGAGGAGAGGCCGAGTTTATGGACCAGAGAACTCATTACTTCGGGATTGTTTTCTATTGCAACATATTAGTATGCGTACCCACTACACCGGCAACTATAACATACCCAGTGGCACAAAGGCCTTTCGAGAAGCTGGAACATCTGGGCTCTCGTTAGGTGCCGACGCAACGGGTTCTGATAGTCCAGCCATGATGAAAGCAGGCCTGGGGCGTCGTTGAACGGATGCGTTTGGTTTAATATAAAAATGATAGAACTGGAGCAGTTACTATGACTGTCTGGTTGATAGGTAGAAGCTTGAGCTTGAGCTTGGTTGATCACTCGTTCGTTACATTCCAGCTTCGTACCCCACAACTTCGGCGGGAACTTTATCCGGTCCGATTACGTAGTTATCCTCGACGTTCCTAGGTTTCCTCGAGACCTCATCTTACAAAATCAACTTTTTCTCAACTCGGATTTCCTTGCTCTAAATTCATCAGGTCTGGGATCGCAGTGAAAAATAAGGAGCAAAGATCTCCAAGTTCAGAAGCAGCAGTGTATTTTCAGCTACAAATTGCTTTTCTGTGCCTTCTACGTGTTTTGGGTTTCAGCCCTTTCGTGGCGCGCCAATGTCTGTGAGCCCATGGATACTGAGTTGCCTCAGCCTCAAGAATGAGATCATAAATTTGGTCTGTTGAGTATCCATCGTGAGCGGTAACTGCCTCATTTCAGCCCCAGCCTGATTTCGAATTCTAAGCTTCTATCTTCTTTGATCATGATTTTGGCAGGTCAGCATAGCGAGATTGTCTGAACATGCTACTGCGACGACCCCCTTTGTTGTTCGGAGCATGAGGTGCTCCTGCTGAAATGCATTGTTTGAATGATGCGAGATCTGCAACCCGTGATGGAGCCGTGAGGTGTGGCTTATCGTCCGTAAACCGCCAAATTGTTAGCCACCTGCTGCGAACATTCATACCATGCAGCCAATGTTACTGCGGCCCATTGGCTTCGGGGCTGAGCGAGGCGGAATGAAGTAGCGCGGTGCTGCACCAAGTATACCTTTTTCGAAATAATTTCTACAAACTCTTTTGAAAATCTTGTTACATCCTCTTATACCCCTCGCTCGCAATTGTCACATGTCTTCATTTATGTTTAGACAAGGTCTCTGTGGTCTAATCATCTGTGCCGCTGCGGTTACGTTTATCGTTGATGCAGCCCCCATTTCGAATTCTAGAGCCGCTGGTGGTTTTGAGTTCTCGGGCAGTCCAAGTAAACCCTGTACGGCATCAACATGGCAGACGATCCTTATATTCTACGCAACAAATTATCTGGCGCATATTGCGACTGTCCGATCTGTTCCCGGCGCTAAAATTGAACACACCCTGAAGTATACGTTAATGTCCCTGTTGATACCATATTATGGAGTGGGAAGAGGCTTCGAGGCAATTTTGAGACATGCAATATTTAAACACTCGCTGATCTCGAAGCGCGCCGACAGCCAGCTACAGATGGCTTTGCAATCGGGTGCTCTGTGCATCGTTGTTCGTGCGTCTGACTGGAAACCAGTGCCTGAAAATGAATCAGAGTTCGTGGTCGATAACGTCCGACTGCTTCAGAGGCCAATTACGCCCGAAAAGGAAGACAGCAATGGCGCGTCAGAAGGTTCAGCTAATACCGAGTTGCGATCTATTTCAAGGTGACTAACCTTTCTCTTTCCTCAAAGCCAATCTACAAAAAGATAACGGCTAACGTCTGGTAAAAGCGCCTCAGCTAGCCCACTTGCTACGCCCGCTCATATAGCCATTGAAACACTGCTTATCTTACGCGAGACCTTAGATTGGGACCCGGTAATTAATCTAGAACGGAATGTCCAAGGGGTTCAGCATCTGCCACAAGGCTACACCCTCGCCATCTTACCAACCTTTGCCAAGGTTGCGTCTTCATTTCCCGACACGGAAGAGGAAGTGACAATTTCTTCAACTTGGAACGGGGCGAAAATTCTGATTACAATTATTCAGACTTTTTATGCTTCATTCACTCTGTATGAGACAACGAAAGGTCAGCAAACGGACCAATATGGCTACGCCGGATTCGGCTTTACTGTCATTCCATACGTGGTTATGTCTATCATCAACCTTTTCGGAAGCCTCGTTACCCCTGACTATCCTACAATGTTCCTTGTTTGGTCCGCTGAGTTGAAAGAAGCTCAGGACCGTGGTGGCAAGTTTGACGGAATTGTTGGTACCGTCGTATCGAATGTAGCAGATGGGATCGATAATGGAAAGCCCGAAGCTCGAATAGCTGTCTTTTCACGCCGACACGGACTTGAGCAGGAGGTTGAAGGGACGGTTTATTGCAATGTCCGGGAGCCTGCTTGCATCCCTATTACACAACCTTCGGCGACAAACCAGGAAGGACCCACCACAGAAGAAGTACCAACACTTACAGAATCTGAACAAATTGAAATGAATACAGGAGAAGATGGTAATCATTACACAGCAAATAATTCCAGCCAAATCTCTACATTTGTCGTGGAGGAAGGCGACACATGTCGATTGCGGGGGCGTGTTGTGGATACCAAGCGATACAAGTTTACAAACTACGAAGGCGGCTTTCTCTCCTTTATGAGAAGAGTTGTCATAGGAGACGACAAACTCAAACCACTTTTCGACAAAAAGCTTCCCCGCGATGTTATTGTTGTACCATCATGTACACCGTTTGAAGTCATACCCAAGGGCCAATGGAACAATAGGATATTCGGCCAAATTTACAGCATTTCAGTCTATCTCGTGTGCGCGATACCGTTTGCGGTTATAGGTAGTTTAACGCACTTCAAACAAGGCCATAGTACGGTTGTCCAGCGTGTCTTTACCATGGGATGGCTTGCGATAGACATTTTGGCAGGAAATTTTTCTGTGGATGGGAAACGATTTGCATCTGGGCTTCATAATATTACTAGTGAGCAGAAGGTTCAGACCTCGGATTGGCTTCACTTTTGCGGTACAGTTTTTTGGGCTCTACCATTCGCACTTGGCGGGTTCTCTGTTGTCGGGATAATGATTCGGGACTATGATATTTGTAGCGCTGTGTAACACGGGCCAACTATGATTTTGCTGCGGCCGTAGTTATTTGCGTACTACTTAGAACCAATACTACAACAGTCTATCCATACCGGTGGATTGCTTTTGAGAGAGTCCGCTTATTACGATATTTCCCGGGTTAAAGCCAGATTGGAGGATGTGGCACAAACCTCCAGCCGTCTGGCGAAACTGTCCTAGACTTATAACAACGGGAATCTCCACATCACTGTTTGATAGAACATATGCATTGAGACATCACTCCAAATGACCAGAATTAATTGGCGTGATGAAGCCGCCACCGCGGAAAACGAGATCAATTCTTCTTGCTTTTCGGCGATCACCCAGCCATATGAGGGACGGCTCTTCTTCTGGGAGAATTTCAAAATCTTCCTTCAACGCCTGACATATTGGAATCGAGTTCTTTCTCAGCCTGCCCCTCGTTTCTGTGCTATCTAGGTCTTGTATAGGGTGCAGCATGGGGTCCCATTACCCACGCCCCACGTGGCTTGGGGCGCCCCTATAGGTAGGGCGTCGAGATTTCTACCCCATGGGGTATGGGAATAGGTAGTAAAAATAATCTACCCCATTCATAGGGCCCTATGGGCATAATTTAGTATATAAATTCGTATATATCTATAGGTATTTATATAGTTATATATACCTCTTAGGTTTATACTATGTATAAATCCCGTATAGGATCACATCATAGCCCATTGGAACCCATTGCCCCATAAGCCACCCCCATGGGATCCTCATGGGTTGGGTCATCAAAGTACGCCCCAGTCTATGGTTGGGTTGAAATCTCAAAACCCACCCCATGGGACCCCATGATGCACCCTAGTCTTGTATGTCAGGGTGTCGATGGAACAAGCAACTGGATTTGGCACGGAGAGAGCTCTCCTGTAAAGCTCTTGATCACAGCACACCTAAGAAAGTTCTTCGATAGTAGCCTTCACGAGCGTGAAATAAAAATGATGCGGACTATATTGAGCAGATTTATCAGTACGGGGGCCGAAATCAATCTGTCTTCCAAGTCCACTTGTCTAGAAAGGTGCTAGACATACTTAAAACACTCAACGGCAAACTAGTTTAAGACCTCCCTACTAAGCTCCAAAAAGCGCGTATCCCCAGGTAATTACCTAAATAAGTATTACGATATGATTAACTAGTCCGAGTACTTAATTTACTAGCAACTAGTAAAGGGATAGTATAAATGCCTCGGTTCGGCAGATTAAGGAGATTATAGATCTGGCTACTTCTTATTTATTTAGCATATAAAATTAATCTCTCTATTTGCCTATATATATATGCTTTCTACTTATTTAGTTAAAGAATGAATTAACTCAATTACCTCCAAATCCTCCTTATTCCAAGTCCGTAACCTTAACAACTCTGGTTTAACAATACGTGACTCAGTCTCCCAATTTACTACGCATTGTCAATTCAACGTTATCGTATAATTTAACGCGGCGAAGATTTCATACTTACTCGCCGAAAGCACTATAGTAAGCATGTGCTGAGAGGTTTGGGAGAGAATATCGTGGGGAGAGGTAGAGATCGGAGAATAAATAGCTGCATCGCCGCTTTGAGCTTAGCACAGCCTAGTTAGGTATACTCAAATGCCGAGGCTGAGCGCACCTTCTGCTTTTACTCCTATTCTCCAACAAAAAATCGGCAGCACCAAGATCTCGACGGTGGTAATTCGGGGCTCAAGCCAGGACTCCAGCACATCTACATATGTCTTCTGCAGTTGCAACATCCGAGTCGGAAGTGGAGTCCGGTTCCGACTCGTCTACAGTCGTTTATGATCATGAGCCCTTCCATATGTTCAAGGCTCGAGTTTTGGAGCTCCTCCCAATGGCGAAATCTCAATAGAGCGAATGCACGGAGGAAGTTTTAACAGGATCATTGGCATATCTGTTACCACCAGCGAAAGTCATGCCGCCAGCTAGTACATTCTCCGCGTTCCACGGGTTGAAGTTGCGCAGCTGGATCGCGACCTCGCACCTCTTCAATTACTTCGTCAGCGATCGAAAATCAAAATTCCCGATGTTGTCGCATTTGATACGACGAGACTCAATGTCCTTGAAAATCCCTATATGATTCAGACGAGTATTCCTGGGTCATCTCTTTTTCCCGCCTATCCTGATATGCCTTACGAAACGAGATGCGCTATCGCAAAAGAGCTTGGCGAGTGCTTCTCAGAATTACATTCCATCAGACGTGTCACTGCCGGCAGACTCACCATATCACCTTCTCTGGGATCATTGGTGATTCAACCATTTAACAACACGGAAACGGATGCTGCCGTGCTATACGAGAACGGACCAGCGGCACTGACAATTTCAGATATGCTACGTGCAGTTCTTGAGCACAAAAAGGAACTAGCTATAGCAGAGGGTCCAAACCAGTCATTCAGGGTTTCTTTCTTCGATTCCTTCATTACTACGGCATCGGAGATGAGTGCCCTTGGGGTACTAGATGGGAATTATTACTGCCTTTGCCACCTAGATTTAGAACCTCACAAGATTATTGTCAGCCCCCCTCGCCGACTCGGCCGCAAGCCATCACCGGCATTCTCGATTGGGACAGCGCACTCTTCGCTCCACCCTTCATTTGTTGTTCCCCTCCAATGTGGTTGTGGGCCTGGAACGGTGAGGACGAAGAGGACGAGCAGCTCGCAAATAATGCACCTCCGACGCTCGAATTGCGTAAATTGAAACAATTGTTCGAACATGCGGCCGGCCCAATATATCGTCGCTTTGCGTACGGCACCCAATATCGACTAGCTCGGAAACTAATACGATTCGCCATAGACGGATTACAATCAAACGAAGACCTGACTAATGCTGACTTGCTTCTAGCTGAGTGGGTTGAAGTACAGAGATCGTTGAAATTAGCAAACGCAACCATCACAACAACGTACGTTGACCCGTGAGTAACCGGTTAGAAGGACAGATCGGAACAGCGTATGAGGCGGGCGGTTGTGTTGTAATTGGAGAAGACTTGGTTCGGGCAAAAATTGCTTTTGCGCTAGCGGGATAAAATGCAGCGGGGATTTCGAAGCCTACAAGTGAAATCGTGACAAAAGTCTTGAATTCGCCTGTTCTCCGCTGATTGGTTTGAGGACTGATGAGGAATCCTGCTATGTGTAAAAGGGCAAAACGGGCCACATGTAACGGCAAGTCTTTACCACATATCCTCCCAAATCCCACATTGATCAGGAATTCTTAACCCACACATACTTTATCTCTGATCATGTCGAAGAAGGGAAGCTCAACCACGCATCATTGCCCGAGAAAGAGCAAAGGCTATTGTACTGCATATCAGATGTTGTGCACGACTCACGATGTTATCCATCTAGATGACGAACTTTGCTATGCTTGTAAAGGATATTAATACTCCCCCTACCTTCACTATAATGATTGTTGACAAGGGAATATAGAGCCGCAGAGGAAGAGACAACATAGAGGCAGAGTCAGTAGAGAAAGTGGCAAAGGCAGCTGGGAGTAACAGTAATGAAAGACTTTTTCCTGAAAAGTCCAAGCTCGGGACCCCCAACGTGATTTCTCCAGGATCGGAGACATATCTGCAAGCTTGGTAGCCAAAGTCATTCTTTGAACATTCTGGCAGGCCTGGCGAAGGGGTCTTGGGTTTGGACGTATACCAGGTAGGCCGGAATTGGCGTCATTACCGGCGATAGCAAAGATAGTCACGATCGCTTGACGATAAAAGATATCTATCCGAGAGTCTTGCTCGAGACTGACCTCATTATCCTGTACAATACAAAGAGCAACTACCCAATATTCCTCACATCCAGACCTCAGAGCTTGGACAATCAGTTTGCAGAGGGTACAGTTGCCCCTTTTGAGAATTTCTTGGAACGGCCCGAGCCTTACAGTTCCTGGATACAGATCCTGGAATAGATATAGCCGCAAATCGATAGCCTGGCAGACTATGCACAATTCTCCCGCTCGCCCCATTTGAACGACGTCGGATGGGGAAGTAAAAGAATTATCGAACTATCAAAACGTGCTCTACACGAGAAAATAAATAGTGATTGAATCTGCTCCTGGGAGAAAGGTTCAAGTTTGGAGATGAGACTGTTGCTGACTTGGCTGCCTAGTTGCTTTGATTGTGGGAGTCGCGCCGCCTTAGCCAAATGTGAATTCAGAATTACTATTTCTTTCACCATTATCATCCTTATATCCGAGAACACATCTTCACTGTCTCCGTCAACTTGGTGCCTATAGCCCCTCTTCCACGATACCAAATGCCAGCATCTACAGGGCTTCTTTCCTTTAAGCACGCATCCACGTGGTGGTTATTTTGAATCCGCTAAATATAGCACGTATACATTGCGCATCCGCCCAGCCGGATTTATCGTGTCAAGTGTCCCGAGAAACCGATGGTACAGAATTTCTGCACGTGGCTGCACAGAGACGGAGCGATGGTCTATTTATCCAAAGTTTCCATATTGGGTTTACCATTTCCAGAGCAGCTCCGTTATTTATTAATGTACTCGTCTGTGCATTCCACTTGCAGATTTAAATCATTCGAGTGTCGTTCTTGTTATTGCGCGAACAATTGGTTTGTTTGGCTATGCCAACTTCATTTCCAGGAGTACGAGCCTTTGGAGTGAAGTCAATTTAAACCTCATTCATGGAGTTCCGATGCCTTGGCACTATCCCGGGAACTGCCTGACTTGCTCTTTCGTAGCAGTTAGTTGGTATTATAGAAAACCATGTTTTAGGAATACTCGTTCCTCATACGTTCTGTCGCGGACTTCCGGTTGCAACGCGGTCTGCTGCCAAGTACTAGCTGCCCGATTGAGTCTTCCGGGCCACTCTCTACCGCTGCTTGACATTGTTTATCTCTGCATTCGATAAATTTGTGCGCGTGTCAAGGATGTATATGCCGCTGTGCCATTCCAGCACATCAGACGCAGACCAGAAACCATTATCTGAAATGTACTTCGTACTATGGATTTTATCTTATCGTGGCCCGACGTGCATATTCGTGCCGCAATTTGATATTTCCGACATACTTATTACTCAACCCATCAAGTTCACGATGTCCCGCTCCCTGGGTTTGCTCCCTGGGTTTTGACTTGCCGGAGATTTCATTCGGCAACATATGCTCTCATTCTGCATATCATCAGATTTCGGGTGCCATTCCCCCCATCCCGCATAGACAGCTGCCAAAGCTTTCGAGCTCTGTACATCTTGTCCATGTACCTTACCCCTGGCTTTGGCTGGGTCTAGATGGGACACCGTTGACGTTATCGCTCGCGAAGAGCAACTTCCGGACTGCCTAAATACAATTCTCGCTTCACCAATAGACACGGGATCCTTCTCATATCAAGCACTCTGGTCTTGGGATTGTGGCGCACCGCGTAGACTACACAGCGCTGGTTCAGGAACAGGCCGGTTATGCATTTTCAAGCCTCACATATGCACTTCCGCTTTGCTATTGCTCAAAACACGAGATGCCAAGATCCTCAGACAGCCCCGCGGTCTCTTTGAGTGCTAGTATCTGCACTAGCCTCTTAATCTACTATCGTGAGAATACCTCGGAGTCGTGACACCGCGCTCCATGGGAAAAAAATCAGGTGGGACAGAAACGGCTGCCTATTTTCATTCCTATATATAAAGACATTTCCTACGTACATTCTGTTGCGATAATTCCTTGCTTTATATACAAACTTTAGTAGTCTCAGTCATAATCATTTCTCACACTTCTTGCCCCTCACCATGCGTTTACTCAACTTAGCCGTTGCCTCTGCGTGGGCTCTGTCAAACCTATGTGTAAGTTTTAGTGGCGGTCTTAATCCACATTTGCTCATGCATTATTCCAGGTTTCACAAGTCATCATTACAGTTACTAGGGTAGTCACTGTTGATCCTCCCCAATGGACGTCTACAGTCACCGAAGCGACCACGGTGACGAAGTCCGGCTCAGTACCGCCCGGCCATACAACAACTATCGTCACCACTATTTATGTAACTACGACTCCGAAAGCACCGACACAGACGCCAACTATCACTACTGTTTATGTAACTACGACTCCGAAAACAACTACACCAACTTCCCAGGCACCAGACCCAAACACGACAAAATGTCCTGTCCCATTGTATTACCAATGCGGGGGCGCAAACTGGAAAGGTTGCAAAGTTTGTGAGAAGGGAGCAGTTTGTGTAAACCAAAATGGTAAGTCGCTGGTATTCTGTTATGAGAATGTCTTTTAACGGAAGGCCTTTATGAAGAATTCTATTTCCAGTGCGTCAGTTCTGCCTAATTGAGTCAACCTGGAGGCATAAAACCTTCAAAAACCAAATGGTAGCAGGAAATGGCAGCCGCGAGACCCGCAACCGAAGATACTCGTCTCTAGAACCGCCGTCTGCTATATTCCCGTCAAGGGCATAGTTTGGTTAATTCTTCTGGGAAGATTCTACCCCTCAGCAAATTGTCACGGCGTGTTGGATGCATCATGAAGCACGTTTGAAGCCGCGAGGAAAAGGAATCGAGGTGTGGCATATTTAATCACCTTAGACAGGAATTTCAAATTGTTATCCTCGCTATACCCTGCTTTTAATATCGAAATTAAAAGAATTATTTAATTGAATTTATAAAGACAAGCGAACCACATCTAAGACAATATATATACAGCGCAGTTTAATTCGCATAACTTTAATTATATTCTGCCTGCCCCTTGATTAATTAATACGAATCCGCAGAGTAGAAAAATCAAAAATCAAAATCAAAAATCAAAAATCAAAGGAAAATCAAAAACATACAACATACAACAGTAGGTATTCGCTGGTAGTTACTTACCTAACTACTATACAATTGATAGGCTCAGCAATCGAAGGGAAGGCGCGACTCTTGCCGTCATAGGTAGGGATACGGAAATTGTTCTCAACAGTAGCTGGATTGAGGGATTCAAATAGAAGAGAAGAGTTAAAAAGAACCCATTGCCGTTTCAACGCGAGTCAAACAACTCTCGGATCCCAACAGGAGATAATGCTCGAAACACCCGCCGTACATTGTACATATTCTTTCTTTGACGAAAGGTTAATCCCAATCCTCGACAAGAATCTCGATAGAGTTACTTTGAAATTATTTAAAAGCTAGAGTAGGGTGTTTTGTCGGATCTGAAGTTTTGGAGTACCGCAAGACAGACCGCCGCCCGACTTTGGAGGGAACATTTCGAGACTGAACAGGGTCTAATTTATAGGCCCACGTACATGTGTTAGGCCAGCGGTAAGTAGCTTTGGCGGCCGGTTTTAATATATTCATTGGAAGCAAGTCATTGAGATTTAGATGGTAGAGATGCGTAGATAAGAAGAAAGGTGGAACGTAGAATTGACTATCGCTAATTGTTTATGTTGAGCAAGCCTCAGTGTATTATCAGCACATAGAAACCTTTCCACATTGTTGCCAACAAGAGGACACGAGGTATATCAATAATCGCCAGGGTCGTCAGGGTCGTCAGTATTAAAGAGACTCGTCATCCACAGCAATTCAAACTTTATGCCTTTGATAACAGCACTGTCCGTTGCATCCAAAGTATTTCCTCGCGCTCTCTCATACATTCGCTTGGTGGCTGGTTTGCATAGAGCTATGGAGATAAACCAGGAAGTCTTGTGGAGGGTATATGCAACAGTTGGTACGAGTGCAGCGATTGACATTCCCCAAGCCACCTTTGTTGCCGTGGTTCTGTCATACCCTGCGAGGATTAAGGCGACCGTCCTAGAGCTCTTGTCAGCTTTGGAACGCGAGGATTGCACTGGTTCAGACGACAGGGGCTTTTGGAAGAGGAGATAACACACAAAATCACAATGATGCTATATAATTTTGGCAAACCTTTCGTTGACCTGATAGACATGTAGTCCAGCAAACCGCTCATGATAGATAGCTCATTCAAGAGACTATCTCGAGACACTTTTAAACTCCAGAATGACTTAGGCACTTGGTCCGTATTCTGAGGAACTGCCAAGTATTAGTATAGTGATGGCTTTAGTTGCCTACAACTAAAGTTGCTCATCATACCAACATCTAGGGACGCCGATTCCCAGTCTCCAGGCTCCTGTCTCACGCTCTCGCGATGGACGAGATATTGGTCCACGTGGAAGATTGCGGATCGCTTGGTCAATTCGAAATGGCGCCATAGAACACTCGCATGAAGGTTAGACACATCATCTGGATGTCCCGAAGGCTGGGCACTTGTTCGGTCTGTCGAGTTTCCGACGTGTTGTTGGTCTGGCCACTTTGGCTCTTGAGCATCGGGATCGTCTAGATCCCATATACGTGGCATGATACTGGAGGATGATGAGGAAGAAGAAGGGGTTAAGCTGAAGAGAATCGTGAGCGCACTAAAATATGGTTACTAGAACAAAGGGACAAAGGTTGATGTGTGGAGGACGGAGCTGGGTGACTGAGTCGCTGGGAGTTGCCGAGAACATTCCTGCATTGCCACGCTGAAAGTAACGAGGCAAGAAGAATCATGCCCAGGGCGCAAACACCTCTCCAAGTTGAGGTAAGCTGAATATGTAGAATCCATCAATGGTCTCGATACGGATTTGGGGGTGTGGACTGAAATTGTGTCCCAGGGACCAACGTCGTCAGATACAGAAAGCGATAGTCTGATTGGATAAACTTTAGTTTTTATTATTATTAAGAGATTCTTTCGTTTCTTTGTTCTCATGATAATTAAAGAAAATACCTCTGCCCCTTTTAGCAATTCGCTTCAAGCGTGAACCCCTATAAACTAAGCGATCGTCCTACTGGGAGTTGTCAAGTTACTAAGCTTTCCACTAAGAAATCTTGGTCATTGCTCATACCTGAAAGTGGAGTGCCCGCTGCAAGCAGACAATCCAAACAGCCAAACGTTCCAAGTGTCAAAAATAAATAGCAGAAACAATCTCGGATCGGCCTCGCGGTGATGTATCCTTCTCTTAATTCTTTGCACATAAAACCTATTGGATGGCAACTGACTTGTATTCTAAGATCTAGGAGGGGAAGCCTCCGTGATATCTACTGAAAGATCGCGCTAGGCCCAAATAGGAATAAAGATCCATAACAACAAAAATAACAAATAACAAACAGGGATCCTGGCAGGAGGCAGGAGGCAGGAGACTGAATAAAAACCTTGTACGACATCCTAATAATATCGAGGCAATAACAATTGACGAGGGATATAATGCTAGCGATAGTACTATTTGTTGGAGAAATAGATGTCGTACATAGCCAAGAGTCCATGCTTGCGGGATGGGGATCTATTTCTTGAAGGGCTGGATTTGCCTAGTTCTTGGAGGATGGGCCTGGTTGTAAATGGCAGAGTTACCGAACCGGATAATTTCGGGAATTGGTTTTGGAGGTGGCTTCACTTAATTTTATATGTTGAACCCGCTTCGTCATTAAAGATTTCATATTCGGAAGTGGGAGGCTAGATTGCTCCCAGGGGAAATCTAGAGCATCTACTAACTCGCCAGCTTCTCCCTGCTCCGGCTGCCAAGCTGCGACGGTCGCAAGTCGGTGTGTGTGTCAACGAGAGAATGAGAGCCAGGAGCTTATAAGTCCACATTGGTCCCACTTATCCACGTGCCTATGCTCATATAAATGGGAGTCCAAAAAACAAAGTAATAAGCAGTGGGTGGAGTCGCCCCACCACGCCAATATAGCTTTGAGACTAAAAACGCATAATGATGATAAAGTCTACCTAGGTACAGTACTGTACCTACCTCCCCCCATCGTCGGGGACCTAAAATCCCATAATTGTGGACGCAAGTTATTATTAACGGTCTTCCGTTACGTTTGCCTCATATTCTCGCTCAACCTGGCCAATCATAGGAACTCTCCTTCCTATCTGTCCCGCAGTCGTGGCTGTGGCCAGATCCCGAGTATCAATCATTATTGATACCGATTCCCAACCCCGCTGCCGGTAACCAGACCCTGTCGTGCTAATTTAATCAATCCTTTTAAACTTCCATCACCCGAGTCAAATAATCTCCTTCCCAACCGCACAGACAACGAAGGTCCTGCTTCACCGAACCTAACCGTGAACTACCTAGGTGCTGCACATCTCCGCATTTCCGCGTCTCGATCCCGGAGAGATTCCAAGTCGAGGGCGTTTTGCCGTCACACAGGTCGTACGTAACACAACAACAGCCACACTGGGATTCTCCTGAAACCCCGCAGCAAGACCACGTTGACCGACCCTTGAAGGGGGGTCCAAGCAGTGCTGGCCGTCCTGAAATAGCGGAGCGGGAAGAAGTGAGGCTGGTGGCTCCTCGTCGCCCAGTTCGCCAGGAGAGCAGGGCGAGCAATATGAGGGAAATAATAGGAACAATAGGAATAACAGGAACACTAGTCATAGGAGGGAGGCGGAGGGATGATACCTCGGAATTCCCGGCTACCGAGGGCGGCGGCATGTGCCGAGCCCGCCCCTGAGCCGTGACGTTGGCCCACGTTTGGAGTTTGGAGTAGCTTGGAGTCAGTTTGGAGCAGTTTGGAGTAGTTTGGAGTAGTTTGGAGCAGTTTGGGGTAGTTTGGGGCGGGTTAATGCGCTCGAGCCCCGAGCCCTGGGTTCGGGTTTGTTTTCGTCTGTGCCCCCCGCTGGTCGAAGGTCGAACTCTCGTGGAGAACCTCCTGAGTCTTGGCTTGGCTGCTGGACTATCGAACAGCAAACCAACCCCATGTGGCGATCTGGGGAAGCCATGTTCTTGGGTGGTTCACGTTGTACTGGTAGCAATGCAGCAATGCAGCAATGCAGCAATGCGGGGGATGCCCTGGAACTCCATGTGGCAGTTCGCAGTTTGCAGTGACGGTGGCTTCAAGACATGTGCTATCTGCAACAGCAACACATGGCATCGCTAAGATTGATTTGTCGTGTTCGAGGGCGAGACTACTGTACCACGAGTATCGGTGGCCACGCAGAGGTCGGCAACAGGCCCCATCCTGGACATACATCCTACTGTACCTTACCCCTTTCCACGGCCACGGCCACTGCCACTGCCACTGGCACTGGCCCTTACGGACACGGGTTTCCTACAGGCCCCGTCGGTCTGGCATTTCCCGAGTCTGCTGCGACGTAGGTTTGCCATTCGACAAGTCTCGGAATCTGAATCTGCGGAGCTTTTATTCTAATATTTACCTTCCCCGTTGCGAGACACCTGCATGTAAGTACATGGTTGGTTCTCCCAGGTAGGCGGAACAGCGCTCGGTTCTGCTCCATCACCAAAGGTAAATCTCCAAGTCAAAACACCGGCTTGCATTGCGACTACTACTAAGTAGCACTGGGTAGGGGCGCTGGCTTCGAGCGGGACAACCGCCAAGTGTGGCGTTCAATATGCCAGTGGACGGCTCCCCAAACAATCTTACACATAGTGGTCAGAGTGCCCTCAGAATACCTCTAAGTAACGCTCTCCTCGTCCATTTTTTGCAGTTGGAGATGGCGGTGCATCTGCTGGTTCAAATCATCACCACTACACATGTCCACCACTATTAACGCTGATATCTGGCGGCGATCTTGTCAAGCTTCCCTCTAGCCTCGCCAGCCAGCATTCACTCCCCCAGGTTCTTGTTTCAATAGCGTTGTCACGATGTCGGCGAACAACGGCCTCACAGGCGCGCTGGAGGCGACTACGCTGCCCATTGCGATGACCATCAGCGCCTTTACGGCGATAGCATGGTACAACGTCATCGACCTCAACGTGGTCATTTGGATGACCTTTAAACGCCGCCATGGGCTCTACTTTTACAGCCTGCTCGGCGCGTCGTGGGGGATTGCAATATTCGCCCTGGCATTTCTCATGAAGTTTTTCAATATTTGGACAAATCCTTATGTATCATGTGTCTTTATTACCATCGGCTGGTATGCTATGGTTACCGGCCAGTCGCTCGTCCTGTACTCTCGACTACATCTTGTCGTCCACAATAAGCGGAATGTTCGATGGGTCCTCTACATGATTATCTGTAGCGTTTTCTTGTTCCACTTTCCTACAACGGTCATGACTTTTGGGGTAAGCGCAATCACAAGCATGCACAGAATCCGTGCTGACTATGCTTTTAGGCAAATTCAGAAATGGCAGATGTCTTTGCTACCCCATATTCGATCATGGAGAAGGTTCAAGTCACAGCCTTCTGCATACAGGAATTTATCATCTCGGGCCTCTACGTCTACGCCACTCGACAGATTCTCAAGCCGGGGGGGGTCTTCCAGAAGAAACGCACACGCCAGGTCATGTTGCACTTAATCTACGTTAACGTTCTGGTCATCTTGATGGATATTACGCTCCTCTGTACCGAGTACGCCAACCTCTACGAAATCCAAATCACGTTCAAAAGCGCTCTCTACAGCGTCAAATTGCGACTCGAATTCGCCGTTCTCAACCAGCTGAGATCACTCGTGTTCCCAGGCGATAGTGGCGGCCAGCATAGCAGCTCGAATCATAACCATCAGAGTCGGGCCAGAGACGATGTGGTCCTCGCCACACTCCAGGACCGAGGCCACCAGGGAGACGACATAGCGCAGTCGAGAAACTATACGTGCTTTGCAAGTGGCGAGAGACATCCGTCGCCGTTTTCTCGCCGCAGCCAGGATGATACACGAGTGATGATGACGACCGAGGTTGTGGTGAAGACCGAAGATGCTTCCAAGAAAGAACAGGGGGCAGTGACGAGGACGGATATCGTTGCGAATGGCAGCACGACTCGGCAGAATGGCAAGGTCTCTCCGAATTCATCAGAGGTGGATTTCGCAAACCGTGGTTATTGACTTTCATGTAATACAATGGAGCTCGTTGAATATAAAAAGCGTCGCTCCTATAATGACCGCTATGTTACCGCATCCATCCACCGAACTAGCCAAGGAACTCCCCCAACGACCTCATTCAGCAAGCCGCCGCGCACCCCGTCAGGCCCACAAGCAACGCGAACGCGTGGTGTCAGTCAGCTATGTCATCTTTTTACGCTCTTCACGATCGTTTCGCAGCTGCCAGATGGCGAAGTTTGAGGAATCCTCCTATGCGAGTGCTCCGCGCGGGTGTGCGAGGTCTGTGATATGAGCGGTTGGGGGGGGGGGAGGACTTAATTGATTTGGGGTTATATATAATATAGTATGCGTTCCTTAGCATGCCGTAAATAGTAATTAATGTATCATAAAGCCTTGGTCCTCAGCTCGCCTGTCCATGTACTGTACCCCCAACTCCCCCCTTAAACGGCTGATCCCTCTCGTTGAAAGCATGCATCATCCCAGCGAACATGCTGCCGCTATATTTGTCTATCCCCGTGAAACACTTGCCCGGATCCGATGGGTGCTGCTGCTGCATTTATCTATCTCGGTGGAGCGCTTGCCCGGATCCGATGGTTTGTGATAATGGCTGCTTTGAAGGCGGTCATAGCTGTTTCCAGCTCGGACGAAGTAGATAAGGGCTTTGGTCCTTAAGGAGAGTCCTCTTTCCTGATGTAGGATAGGGGAGTCTTGGACATTGCGACTCTGTTGAATGGGGTTGGTGACTAGTATCCTTGGAATGAGAAATGGCGTATATGAACGCGGTCTTAAATGGTGCCAAGGGGGTTGAAGTGCCGGTCGGACATTATATATAATCTGAGTTTTGTTCTGTAATCCTATAATAATAGTCAAAATGGGCTAAATATCATATAGATATACAGCAGTTATACTTGAATTTGATATATAAAGTACTTTCTATATAATAAGAATATCTAGCTTTATTATATAATTTATATAATGTAGAAATGCCGAACCTGAGGTTGAAGAGGCGTCGGTGCAGTGGCCAGCTGCACGTTGTACCGCTCAGGGGGGAAATGAAGACACGTATTGTTGAACATCAAGCCGAGTTTCTATATCTTCCGCGGGCAGAAGTATCGATATTTCTGGCACCATTTTGTAATTAACTAGCAATCTAAGTCGTCCATACGAAGGTACCATTATCCTTGATACGGCCATTTGCTTAACGATTCTACTGGACCATGATTCGACTGGAAAGTAAGGTTTGAGTCATGTTCTGGGAGTAGGGCCTATCGATTGGCCACTCGATACGAAGCACGATCCTTCCGTCCCCCCCCAGGGTAGGTTTGCATCTTCCCGTTTGCGTCAATGGAAACGTCCGTGGTTAATATCAGGCGCCATGTGGGAATGTGATCCAGAAAACGCCAACGAAGAAGCATGGCCCGCTCCATCCTAGATTTTCCCAACCGCTGGGGCATCACCGTCGCAGCGAATGTCGCCACAGCCGTCGCTCGCTTCACGAGACTTCTAGACCGTGGTCACGCTCTCGTGGTCGCTAGTTTTTAACCGATCAAGGCGTTTGTGGCGCTGCTGTGCTACGTTTGTAGCAAATGCGCCGTCGTCGTGCAGGTGGGAGTGGGAGTGGAAGTGGAAGGGTCCCCGAGAGGATGGGGCGTACTTTGATGACCCAACTTATAAGGGACCTTATAGGCGTGGCTTACGAAGTATTCGGTAGTGGATTCCTATAGGTTATTATAATCTTTGCATGACCAAGCAACCCGACATTAATGACAGCGATGGTGAAGATGCTGACGATGAGGGGGAGTATCAGATTGACTTGGCTTCCTACGGGTGATGCGTTTTTATATTTATATTGAAACTATTTATAGATATGGATATGGAGCCTCAGCTACTGGAATACCAACGTCTCGAGCATTTTAGGGTCTTTTCCGTACTATTATTGTTGCTAGCGCTGTAGCATGGTGCCGTGGTGGTGCGCGCAGGGCTAAGTGCACTACGACCTAGGTTAGAATGATAAATGGTTACGTAAGGAAGGACATCGATGGAACTATCTTCCAATTTATTGACTCTCCTATAAAAAAACGCTTGGGCCTGCGACAACAGCAGGTTAAAGTAGTAGTCGGGCTTACAGTAATAGCTAATATCTGATGAGCCAGACGGCTATGATACCCAATCATCAGGTCAGGTTTGGAAGAGTGTAGCCCACCGAGCCTTCTGCGGTTCTGGGAGAACACGCATACACCAAGCTGACAGCGTACCCTCATACGCGGAATCCGCGGTCTCCCATTTCTCTGCAAGCTTATCCTTCCATTCTTCTACCCAGATAGTCCGTTTCTCGCCATCAGAATCAACCAAAGGCACCATGCCTTTAGGCACCCGCTCAAAGGGCCGAAGAAGCGCGCCCGTATAATAGAACTCGTGCTTAGGATCGCAGATACCTGAGAATTTGGATGAATCATCCGACTTAAACTGGCGGTAGCACCGCCAACATAGCGTGGAGAACGGGCAAGAGCGACAGAAATACCAGTGGTGTATGGACCCGATTTCCCGCTTGCAGCTCCAACACTCGGTCAAAGGGTCGCACACGGTCCCAGAAAATAAGACATCGTCTATATCATCCTCATCGCCACCATCTGGGCTTTGATCTTCGTCGTCTGTCAATTGTACATTTTCGAGCGTTCTAGAGACGTCAACCTGCCCATCACCGTCTAATGCCTTTACAGCATCTGTCCTATTACGAGCCACCCTCCTTCGTGGCTCGGTACTTTGCTTGATCAAATATAAGGCCGCTCCAAGGTCTTCATCACTATCTGTAACGGCCAGAAATGTCCTAAAAAGCCTCACGAAGGCATTGATGTCGTTGGAAGGATCATCATCTGATAGCAACGAGATACATTCTTTCACGCACCAGCGGAGAGCATCTTTAGCGTTGGTGATATCCCCATGATCTCGCAACCAGCTCGCGAGTACCAGATAGACATCGCCGAATTCAGTAGTTCCGTCCATGGTCAAAGGCGGCCTTTCACAGAAAGGGATATCAGCATCATCTAGGCACAAGGCAACTAGGTGGCCTATTGACCGTATGCGAGAAGACTGATCCCACTTAAAGGAGGAGACTTCGGAGAGGGAGGCAACCTCGTACCAGCCCTGTACCGCTACATCCCTCCGCCCCTTCTCAAATAATACCGTCGCGAAGAGGTATTTGAGTTCTTCAGGGCTATCATGCTCGGTGTCGACTTTTTTTAGGGCACTGGCGGTAAGATCAAGATAATGCTGATCACCATGAGCTAGGGCGTAGTGAAGGACCCTATACATTATGCGGGGTCGAAAAATAAAACAGTCGAGGATGAAACTTTCAAAATCGAGAGGCCTGCCAGTGATTTTACTCTCGACTGGCTCCTCGAAATGTGTAAAGGCAAAATCAAACACCGACCGGAGACGATGCGGTTGGTTTAGTTCCAGGAAGATCGAGAAGAAGGGCAGCAGGTCAAGACGAGTATCGCGGTCCTCGCCTTTCGTTTTTAGTATCAGTTTCCAAGCTTCCTCTGCGGTTTCAATTGCATCATCTGTCAATTTTGCATGGTGTTTCATTTGCGCCTTGTTTAGCAAGTCATCGATAGCATCATTAGCGAAGCGATCATCACTCTCCTTGAGGGTGCTGTGCAGGGTCTCCGATAATTCAGAATGCTCTAATGCTTCTTTGTGCCTCGCCATCTCGGTACATGCACGAGCCATGTCTCTGTGGATGACAGATAGGGATTGCGAACTGAATGTTGGAGTTTTTTGGTTCTCGTCCAGAGAAATTTGGAAATGGTCAAGCGCTGGCACATGGCACTGATGTAGGAGCAGTGCCTGAGCGACTCGCGCATGCCACATAGGTGTCTGCTGAAGCTTTTGTGACTCGGCAGGAAGTAAGACCCTGGCAGGTTCTCTGTAATTCCACATTACGTTTGATACCTTTGCTGTTAAACCGTCTACATTAGACTCCTTCATTTCTGTTGCCATTGCATTGTATACTGTCAAAATGGCGGGGGCGATGGCAGGTAATCCATCATCGTCCTTGATTTCGTCTGGTTCTAGCCAGCGTTGACTCCAGGACGATACCATAAGTGATAAGAGAACTGTGAAGGGACATGCATCACTTGCTACCGCTGAAGATAGGGCGTTGTCCACGAACATCTGTTTTGAATCTGGGAGAAGCCAACTGAGTACAACCTCAGCCCTCTTATTTGCAGTATCCCGATCTTGAGCGTCCAGCCAGTAGGAGCCGAGCTCTGTTAACTCGCACGTTGGGTAGAACGAATATGAAGCAAACTCCTTAACTTTATATTCGCTAATGAACAACTCTGTATCTTGCCCTTTGCTGAACAGACTGGCAAGCAAGGCGGAAATCTTTCCTTGTAGATTTCCTGCCTTTTCGGGATTCGCACGCGAAAGATGTGACGGCAGGAACTTCTCAGCATACCTCGAGAGGCCTTCCATGAATCTCTCTGAATAGGGCGTGTAGTTCTCTCTGAGAGCATAGAGACAAACGTATAGGAAGTTCGCTTCCGCTCGATCGACGTTAACATGGATGGGTCCGGGCTCCCCAGATGTCCTGAAAAAATCATAAAAGGAGCTATGCCGTAGTATTACAACGTCACTGTTTTCATCAAAGCCGTCTTGACTATCGTTGGCTCTGATGGAAAACAGAGAGGAGTAAACTGTGCGAATATCATCTTCAAGACTCAGGAACTCCTCTTTCAGAATGAGCTCGAGAATAATATCAAGCTGACGAACAGTTAATGGCTTTTGGGCCAAAGCGACAAATGAGAGCAGGACATTAAGCTGGTCAATCTGTGTGGCAGTTCCTTCCCCGTCTGATGCCTCATCTCCAGACAATTCTTCCAACCCGGACAGCTCTCTATTCAGACGCTGCAGCTCTTCATGAAGCATTGCGCTAATCCCTCGCGGCATTGTCCTAACCATCTTTCGAATCTGCTCTTTGGTTCGACAGCGCAGGACAGATTTGACGACAAGATTAGCCCATTCCCACAGGCCCTCGGCTTCCTGACTGATGTTGTTGATAATTTCCTCCTGAAATTCAGGAGACCCGCGAAACAGTTTGGTCGTCTGTAGTTTCTGAGAAACGTATTGGTGGAGATCGTCCTTGTTCTGGTTATTACCGACTTCAATCTCTGGAATCCAGCTCAACGAATGTTCGTCGAACATGCCGCGTACCGAATCTCTGCTGAGGAGTACGACTCGTAAAGGAAGGGTTCGGCTCATATCGTCTTCTGCTAAGAAGGTTTTCTCCAGTAGACTGAAAAGGACTTCTTGTTCCTCCGTACTAGCCTCATCAATGCCGTCTATCACCAAACACGTTGCGATGTCCGATGGAGCGTCGGTAAAGTATTTTAGAAAGAGTTTCTCCCAAACGACGTAGCTGTTCTCAGGGTCGTCTTTTATGCAAAACTCCTCGGCATGCACCGCAAAGCTCGATTGTTGCATGGCCACCTGCCATGCCAGCGTTCGCAGAGCTTTGTTGAGGGAGCGTAAGTCGACATCGTTGTTCTTATAGAAGAAAGAGGCAACCACGGGCGCAGGGGTGACGGATGACTTCTCGTTGGAAAGATCGGTGATGATTTTGGATGCCAGATGGGATTTGCCCACCCCAGGGCCACCGTGAAGCCAGAGGAGCGGGTGAGATCCCTGCCACCAGGACCGAATCCTATCTTCAACCCAGCTGCCGGATCCCGGTATGCGATTCTGGGTGATGGAAGAGAAGACTTGGCCAGATGCAGAGACTGGATCTAATGCTGCTTTGACCCTTTCCAGCCTCTCACGGTCGTTTCTACGATCGTCTCTACCGAGCAATTCCTCAGTATTTCTCAGGGCTTGATGGGTGAGATTAAGCGACTGAGCAGACACCATCATATGTTCCTGGCTTGTCAGCTGCGCTAGGTCATCTAGCAGAGAGCTAATCGACGTATCCTCAACAAGCATGTTCTTTGCCCACTTTGAAAATCTCGCCTTAAATGAACCTTGGCTCAAGAGCTTTTGCGACGCTGCGCAAACTCGGAGGAAATTGACTAACACTTTTACAATGATCGTTTTCATTCCCTCACTGAGGAGCACCCCATTGTATGAGGCCAGACGCTGAGCGAAGTTGCCCAGCTGATGAAATAAGTCGATGATCACGTTGAAAGCGTCACTAACTCTGCGTGCCGCCCGGACCAGAAGGAGCATCGCGCCCATAATCGACGATGCTGGAGGGAAAGCGGCAGAGGCTACACCAGCGATCAGGTCACCCCAACTTTCAAAGGGCGCCACGACCATCTGCATTGCATGGAAAAGGGGCCGTTTTTTCATCCGAAAATCTTCAAAATTGTCCTTTTCAGAATCTAGCTGGCTAGACAAATCCTCAGGCCCCTGGACTTTAGGGAAACGCTCATCCGTCAACGTAATTCCAGTGTCCCTAGCATAGTCCTTGCAGGCGCTATGCCAGAGGGAGGACAGATTGTTATCTAAAGGCTCACTCACGGTCACCGTCATGGCGGTGAGTTGGTGAGGTATCTCTAGGAGGGGGGAAGGGGGAAGAGGAAATTGCACGCTGTTAGGATTATAAGACAACGAATAAGCCAACGTAGCAACTCTATAAGCGGATAGTAGTCAAAGTAAGAGCAACTCAAAGTATAGATCGGAGAACGATTAATCTAATTACAAGAATGTAAGCCTTGTGGGCTCTATATGAGTTGTGCTTACGCCAAGCCTGGCTCAGAACACCAATCTATATACGTACTAGTAGAGTCAGCCGTGGTCCCCCGGCGACCCCGGTGTAAACTCTTTTCACTAGTATTATAACGCATTATGACTATTATTACCTAGATATAAATCTAATATTATATAAATATCTACCTAGGTAACTAAAATTAAGATATTCAAGTTATACGAATATCTTACTAGAATTTACGTACCTATATTCAAGTCACGTGAATATGCTTAACTACCTCGTCGTTTACTCGTTGATTTGCTTCGTCGAAGCTCATAACCTCGGAGAGCTGTCTACAGGCCGCAAGGAAGCTGGCCGAGTGTCAGCTGCCCGCCAGCTATGCCAGGGCCTTGTCGCTCGTCCATGCTTTTGTAGTCGCATTAGCTGCTTCTAGTAGCCGATTTCTTCTGGCGCCGTTCTCCCTGATCACTTCCTGGACCTCCCGCCACTCTTCTATAAACTGGGCCTCCGGCAAGTGTAGTCGGAACGCCCAGCTCCTCTCAATATATCTAAACACCTCCTCGATGAGCTCCCCCGGACCGGCCGTGGTAGCGTATCATCGCCTCTAGAACTTGTTTCTAAGCCTGGTACCAGTCTTATACTAAGACCTCGTCCAGGAACGCCTTCACCTCCTCCACGCTCGAAAACATTTGGCCGCCTACAATCGCAACCTCCCCCGTGCCTCCTACTCACTGGAATTAAAGTATTCAAGTCACGCCGGGTAGTCACGCGAATATCTTACTAGAACTGAGGTATTCAAATCATATGAATATCTCACTACGAGCCGTACCCAGATAATCGCACTACGGCGGCTCGCAAGCTCGCGGGCTGTAAGTGTGCGATTCTTACTGGGAAAGGCTCGCCCTGCGGGGCCCGTGGGCAACAATTAAGGTCTTAATACTTATCATGTGACCGTAAGTCATGTGCTCACTTAGAATAGGGGATTGTTACTATTGTCATATTAATAGAAACTCCTGATTGGGCAGATCCTGCTATTGTGCTGATAATGGCAGTATTTGATTGGGTAGATAGTTGTATTGTAATAATGCCGGCTGGATTAGGTATAGTCTGTTTAGTAGAGGTGAGCTCCCTCCATCCCCTATACAACAACAACAACAACAACAGCAACAACAACACTATGCCTCCCCTGTCCCGTAAGTTGATTTACAGCTTATCTGCAAAGCTATTCTGACATCCGCAGCCTCAGAATCTGCCTCTGCCCCAGCTTCACCTTTGCTAGGTGCCGCCTCCCCCCCAAATGCTGCCGCTGCTGCTCGTAAGCTGAATAGCTATAAACTTTACGGACTTTATACTGACTGCAACAGATCTATCTGCCACTGCTCCTGCCCCTGCTGAGGTCGCTGTCGTTCTCCCTGCCTCTTCCCTGGCTGCCGCTGCTGTCTTAAGTAAGCTGAACTGCCACAACTTTTACGGATTATTGCTGACCTTAACAGATCCGCTGCCTGCCCTGCCTGCCCGCCCTACTAATGCTATGTTAGCTCTTACCCGTCTGCCTCCGGTCCGTAATACAATCCTACGCCCAGGCCGCACTTTCCGGTCTGCTGCCCAGTCCGCCAATACAGAAGCTGCCCTGGCGCAGGCCGTTGGCTCTATTGCAGTAGTTCAGTGTACACATTGTAGTAGGAGTTCCGGCATTTGGGTTGGCTGTGTGGTTGTTGCGGGTTTCCTGTCTGGGAGCTGTGCCAACGGCCACTACGGCAGTGAAGGTGCTCGTCACTATAATTGAGGAATTCAACTTGTACGGATATCTCACCAGAAGCAACTCCTTCGTGGCGTGTACTATCTTGATCTCCGACATCCCTATCGGAGATATGTTGAGATAGAGCTGATGGTGACTATATCCGTGCAGGTTCAAGAGCTTGAGGATAACTAGATCTTAGTAACGCGCAGCGACGACCTTGACTACTAACCTTCCGAGAAGGTTCTTTGTACTATAATGTAGGCTGACGCATGTAGTTAGGGCAATTGTTGAGATTCGGTACTATCGAGTATCAGGGCTTTTACAGAGTTTTCAAAAGTATACCTACTGTGGTAAATATAACCCACTTTTACCTGTATATAATAAAGACTTCTCCTTCACCTCTATTACTAGAATCAATCAACTCGTTCTATCGTTTACAAGGCCTCCAACTCCTTGACAGCTCGACACGTCGTACTTCTACGCGTCGCATTTCCACTCTATAACTAAGGTATGCTCCTCCCATACAAATTACAGTGGCAGAGGCTGATCTGGCACACAGGAATACAGGTAATCGAGATGCGCAAGCTGGCAAGCAGGCAGGCAGGCTGGTATTAGGTAGGTATATGATACTTTATAAAAACGCAGATGTACTAGTATCTATAATCTCTAAGCTTTGTATAACTAAGCTATCTATTCATTGAAAACTTGTACTACTAATTACAAGTAAAATAGGTGCTCCGACTAGTCGAGTTAGTCGACCTATATATTTCGGTTATTATACTAGATTATAATAATCTAAAATCTTAGTAAGAGGCTTAGGCTTTAATAGAAGGACAGTTAGGATATATTTGAGTTATTATATTAGTAAAGAGGGTAATTAAGAGGGCTAGGTCCTCTACGAGTATAAAAATTTGAGCCAGCAATTCAGTTCATTTCCAACTATGTATAAATAGATAAACTTTAATAGTTCAAAGGAACTTAACATCTGTTCCTTTAAAAGGGTTTATTAGGCCGATCATCCCCTAAATCTCTTCCTTTTGTTCTTCGCTTCTGGCTATTTTGGAATACATTGACCTAGCACGGTTAGCACGATGGCCAAAGGGGGTGTTAAAATGCAAGACGACATACTGTACCACTCATTCGACGCTTGGCAAGTCCCTTCGGCGCAAGTTGTAGCGCCAGTCCAATCTGATCCTCCGCATTGACTGTACAACACTGCACTAGCTCCTCCGCCACTACTAGATCCTGAATTTGTCGCTGGAGTAGATCCTGCACTGCTTCCACAATCAAGGACTGCAGGCCCTGGAATTGTGTACGCTTTTCCGCCCAAGTAGGGTTGCCCACTGTTGTCGTAAATGTTAATGAGAATTCCTGGGTCGCTTGCCTTGTATGCACCCGGAAAGCTGACTGTGTTTGAACCAGAGTTCGTTCCTGAGCCTGTAACTCTGATTTGTGCACACTCCATGTAAAACTGTGCTTGGCCGGATGATCCGGCACTGTGTAGGGCGATGAGCTCCGCGCGCAGGAGATAGTCGCCTGGAGCGACGCATGAAGGCATGGTGAAGTAGTGCCAGCCTCCACCAGATATCATCCTGTCAACAGCCCACTGGCCTCCTGAAAGCCCGTCCTCGGCAACCTTGAACCACCGAAGACCTGTGGTGCCTGTGGTTGCTGCGTTGTCTACCTTTGCAAGATAATATATGATAGGTCCTGTAGTAAGTATGTTAGTTACGGCGAGTTCTTGATACTGCTGGAATGACCCAAGGTAGTTTTATGATCACTTACCCTTATGACTCGATGCAATGGGATTATCTGGGTCATTTGAACCTTGGGCACCTCCGATAACATGACCCCACCAACCACCAACCTTGGCTCCAGCTGCTACGCTGATGACGGTGCTATCTTGGTGCTTGATGTCCTTGTTACAAGCGAAGCTGCCGTCGTTTACATCCTGGATTGGATAATCGCTATCAGGTGCTCTGACGCCCTTTAGCTGACCTTGATCGGCGCCGCCCACAGATATCTTTTGCATGATAGTATGGCCAGTAACCGACGAGGCCGCAAGAGCGGCCAGGAGGAGTGCGTGTGTCTTCATGGTGACTTGGGAAGAATAAGATTCGGGATTGAGTACTCTCGACAAATATTTTGCACAGCCTTTGTAGGAGCTATCTACCTAGTTATATAACAGTATTTCCACACAGCTGGAGTACTCGGGAATTGAAGCCGTATGTTTCATTCTAACCCTACCAATCAAAGCCAAGGAGTATACCATCGGACCGTATTTAGATTGTATTCCAACCGATACAGAGGAGTTCGGAGGCAGCTGATGCGAGATTTAATAATACTAATTGTCTCGAGACCAGATATCCACAACTAGGAGAGACAAAATAAAGCATGTTCGAGCGAAGTATGTTAGATCCAAGCTTCGTAGTGGCGCTCGGTATCCAAAGCATGGCCTCGATATTGGTTGCAATATGACGGGGTTGGAGCTTGGCAGTAATATAATTAACCTTACTTATAGTACGTTATTTGGTTAATACCCCGGAATCTTGCTGCGACACACCCTACATAAAACATGTACGCCGAATTTGGCACCACGGATAGCTACGTTCCGCGGCTCCCTTGGGGGCTATCACTAATAGGTTGTATTGTGATTTGATTTTGCCGAAGATGATGATTGATCTCATGATAATAATCCTAAGTATCGATAGCTGACGAAAAGCAATTGAATACCGTATCTATTCTAAGGCATAAAACTAAACGAAACTAGTGTTAAGAGCGTTAGGAGCGTGTGACGGGGCTATATCACGGGGTCATACTAGAACAATGGTGGCCTTAGTTAAGGCCAGGGCAATTCAGGAGGGCAGGGCAGGGACCTAATAATTGTATATTAAATTGACCAATTAGGTGGCAATATATCCAATCCGTCAATATTGAGTAACGGGGCGGCCCAAAAGTCAATATATATTCACTTTATGTGTAGGGCCATTCAGGAAGATACGCCTGATAGTAAGCGCAGCCAAAATATAAAGGAGGCATTCAGGACCACTTCATTGCCGAGGGTAGAGACGTCGGACAATCCCTCTAGCGTATTGGAAATTTGCTAATGTCGACTCAGAATGGTGCAGCCCCGAGCTCCGGGGCCATACGAAGTGCTAGGCGAGCTAAAGAAACTATATGTGAGGATTGTATAGTTGTGGATGATAGAGCAACCGTGACGGAAGCTGGTGTGAGAGCAGTCGGGGTGCAGATCTCCAACGCCGAGTTCATGGCTCCAGACTCCACCTCTTCACAGACTAGAGGCATAAGAGGAAAAGCTCAGCGGTCAAGGTTACGCTGTGCAGAGAGCACCCTCTGCCGATTATGCCGAGAGCAATCCTGAAGAAGCAGATAAACTCCAGGCGATGCCAAGCCTAGTTCATTCTCAGGATTCACCGCAGTCACTGTGGATGCTAGGCCTCGACAAACAAAAATGTACCTATTATCTAAGAATCTTCCCTTAGATCCTGCTATCTCCGGCTAGGAATTATTATAAGCTTCGTATGCATGTTTGTTTTCTTAATATCGCTGTTGGTGATAAACAGGCTATTTGAGGTCGTTGCAGCTACGGTAGCTTACACTACTGTGCGAATAGTTTTTATATAAATAATAAGAAAAAAATACAAGTATTGAAGAGGAGGACTATAGTGTATTCTTAGGCAACTTTAGTGTAAAACTCCCTTCGCTAGTATTATAAGACCTAATAGCTATTACTTAGATATAAATCTAATACTATGTAAATATCTAACTAAAATTAAGATATTTAAGTTATAGCTTAGTAGAATTAAGTATTCAAGTTATATAAATATCTCACTAGAATTGAGGTATTCAAGTCACATGAATATGTCACCGAAATTGAGATATTTATGTAGCGTACAGCATGTGGCCCCATAGGATGGGTTTGAGATGTCAACCCACTAATGGGCTGGGACACAGCAGTTATCTTCCGAACTCGCATCTTTTCTCGTTTACTTCTATTCTTGTCTGTTGCTAAAGAATATAGCAGCCTTGTTAAAGTACATGAATGCGCCGTAACGACGTATAAAGTTTCGAGCAAAACACGAGAGCTAGAGACCCTTTAGCCGCACCATTTCTATGCTGAAGATACCCGTATCTCCTTGCAGTCGAATCCATCATCGACATCAACGGCCTCGACGACTTACTCTTGGTCTTGGTCTTGGTCTTGCTGATGCTCGTACTCCTCAGATCCACAGTTCTAAGCCCTCTCAAAGCGGGCAAGATGCGAGCCATCTTCAACAGGTTGATTTGAGTTGTTGAACTTGCTCACTTTGACATCGCACCGACGAATGTTGCGATCGCCACCACACCTCTTGCAAGGAGGTAGATCAACGCAGCCTTTCTCGCGATGTCCCACCATTTCGCAGAACTTGCACTTATAGACAGGGCAGTCCTCCCATCCATGGTCCTGGCAAGTCTTACAATCGTTGCAGTGGATGACCTCCCTTGAGAAATGCTGGGACAAGTGGCAGTTTTTGCAAGTCTGACCGTTCTTGTTATTTCCGTCATGATCCTTCGTGCTCGGATCGATCCTAGGAGCCTTCTTGACCTCGGGACAGTCACGTATCTTGTGACCGTAAAGGTAGCTGTTAAAACAACGCTTTCCTCGATTCTCCTTGGGTCACTCATTCCACTTATGGCCGATCTCATCACAGTTGCGGCAAGCCTCAATGCTCGGGGCTGGAATTGTCTTGAGGCATCCAGCGGATTCAGCAGCGCAAACAAGCTTATACCACATGGCCGTAGTACGGTGACGGTTCATATAGACTCCGGAGTTCAAGCCGTAAGTCTTGGGGTCCGTGGATGCTTCGGATTTGATGATAACGAGGCCCCATTTTTGGCGGGAAAGTGCAACAAGCATACGGGGTAAATTGCCCACGAACTTGGAAAATTGAAGATCAGCAGTAACGCTGACAATGACAAGCCCGTTGACAGTGATTCCTTGTACTTTATCAATGGACTGGCTGCTAAATCGCTTGTCGTTGAGTTTATCCAATTGCAATGCCACCATCTCAGCTTCTGCCCTGTAAGGGGAGATGTGCATGAATTGAAACCCCTTCTTATCGAAATCCAACTCGATGGTGTGCAAACCCTTCTGAACTGCATCGGCGATCTGCATAACGACGACCTGGTGGTGCATATTGTACAACGAGTGACCCCCATCTTCAACTGCGGACTTGCTCTTTCGCACATTGAGAACAGCGAAGTTGCCATTGATGTCGAATTTCTCCTTGAGAATGCTTTCCACAAATTTGACGTCGCTGGGCTTTGGGAGGCCATTGGTACCGTCGACCATGGTGCTGTTGTACCAAGTCACGCGAATGTCTCACTAGAATTGAGGTATTCAAGTCACGCGAATATCTCACTAGAATTAAGATATTTATTAGTATTCCGGAAGACTGCCATCCGCCCACGGATCGGCATACATGTTCACAACCCTCGCTAGGCTTTCTGGTGTCGAAACAGTTTCTCTCCAGAGCCTATCTATATGCTGATCAAACGCCTTTCGTTGTCCCCGGGTAATTCCTGCCTCATAGTCGGACTCGTGATAGCTATCGTAGTCCTCATCTACAACCTCGTGATCTGCCTCGAGCTCTTCTGCTACACCGGGTGGAGAGCTAAATTGGATAGGCGTCAATGGTTCTTCCGGTCGCTGTTGACGTTTGGAATCATGTTTACCAGCCGGTGGACTCGTTGCTGGTCGCTTGCCTGATGTTGAAGGGTTGGGTGGTGATGAGTCGGGTGGCGATGATGCTATTGGTTTGGGGGGCTTTCTTGGCGTCGGAGTTCTTTGGGGGGTTCCTCTCAGCGAGCTAGGGCTAGTAGATGGAGGCGCAGAATGCTTATTATTAGCTAGCTTGGGCATAGCAAGACTAGAGAATATAATGAGCTCTGTCATTGTTGCATGGACTAGGAATAGGCCCGGATGCGGCAGCTCATGCTGTACATCGGGTTGCGCACGCTCGATTCTGATTCTCGAGTTGTGCTTCAAGTCACCCTCGACAGTGGTACCAGACTCGTTTACTACGCGGTCGGTACGGAAGCCCCGACTGCCAGGCCAAATGTCTGTGTAGAATAACCAATGTGATTTTACTATAACATCATACTGGGTTATTGACCCAGTCTGTGCATCGCGGTGGATTGTCTGCAGGTCGGGAACCAGAGTAAATCCCGCATTGTCGAAGGCGCGGTGTAGGTTCAAGTCCAAGCGTAGCCCATTTCTTGGATTCTCTACAAGCAGAAGATCCCTGATTTGATCGTAGACTTTTTCTCCAAAGAACGCTGCAAGAAAGCAGCCGACAATAGTACACTTCAAGATGTCCTTGTCTGTTGTTTCTGCTGCCGCTTCTTCTGGGTCCTGATTGATGGGGGTGGGCTCTGGTCGCCATGCATACGGGCAAATATGAGCAACCGGAGGGTTTTGTGGAGCGAACTGGTTGAGTAATAGACAATAGTTCCAGTCTCTCTGTCTCACATCGCTTTTAAACTTTGCCGACCGATTGCCGGGGGGGAGGCGATAGCAGTCCAGGCCTCGTACTAGTCCGAAGGTATCATTCCAGGAAATAATATGATGAGGCTGTATATCCTCTTTTAACTGTTAGCCGGTTATAATAGGAGGTGATGGATACTAACCATAGTGAAAAGCTGTTGGTCGTGTGGCGAAATCTCCAGTTTCGTTGGCAGCAGCCCATAAACGCGAAATCACCAGCGCCGCCCGACAAATCAACCCAAAGGCGATGATATCTTCCCGTGATGATCGTAACGTAGATAGTATCTGACGACGGAATTTGACACTTGGACTAGACGAAGTTACTGTCAATAGGACGAGCTCAGTGTTGATTGTCAGTCCGCCCCGGTCCTTAAACACCCGCTGGATAGCTCCAACCTCAGCATCATCTGGGGGTTTGTAATCCTCATCAGTTTCAAACTGACGCCCAAGTTGACTAATAACATGTAAGGACATAGCGACGATTCGAGGAGGGAAAATGAAGACTGATCTGTTGGATGATTAGATTGGGTTACCGTCCAGGGAGTAGATGTGTTGGAAGAATAATGAAAGTGCGCGTAAAAATGGTGGGGTAAGCCGGATTCACTGGGTACCCGGAGGGCGAACACGCGGACGGATGATGCGGTTTTGTGGGTTAGAGCCCTAAACCTGGAAGGGTTCTGTCGGCTCGAAGAACGGAAGAACGGTTTGAGTTTGAGTAAGGATATGAGTAACTCGGTTTACGTATAATACTAGCTTTCGTTGCGATTCTTCACCTATTGTCGTTATTACTAGCCTACATGTAGCTCTCTCCGGAGACGTTCGAGGAGATCGTATAGCATGTATCCTACTAGAGCAAACATCTTCGACTACGTCTTAGTAATACAAAGTATTTGCGGAGTGAGGGTGGCGCCCGTGAGGGGTCAATTGCGGAGGATCTGGATCTTATATTTTGGTTCGTCTAAAGAGAGAAGGAGGGAGCTACGCGTGAGGTCGATATATCTTTATCCCAGGCACTCGGGAGCCAAGCTGCTCGCCTTGCTACAGTAAGCCACTCACGTGTCGAACCCCCAATTCGTTCATGTCGGTGTGAGGCCCAGATGGCCCCTTCCTAGACTTACTGTATCTCGGAGCCGATATCGGAAGTGTTGGTTAATGCTGATCTAGTTTGGGGTCTGCAAGCATTACCCGCCTACACCTATATCCGTCTTATAGATAGTAATTGTGCGCTAATCTTTATAGCTTGTAGAAGACATTATCTAGCTCTGGGGCCAGCGCTTGTATACTGCCTTTACCTACTTCGTACGTAACAGGTGATAGATCTGAAAGGCGTGACATAAGGCTGAGCTGCGATTTGCATCCACCCTAGCTTACAAGAGCTTAACCGCGTCCAGGTTGAAGTATATCAGAGATTGCCAAGTTATTTTTAAACCAAGACCACGATACATACAACTACTTATGTTTTATTCTATGTTCAAATTATGTTGCATTAGGTTTGCACGATTCGTATTCTAAGATTGTGTGCGGGATACACTACTATCAAGGTCACTTAACTTGTCGTTTTTGAAAACTTAAACTGATATCTTGCTAATATTCATATTTCCATTCTCTCTTGTGAATTGCGGCCCGTTCTTGAGTTGTTTTATCTACCCCACACCAACCCCCACAATCATATGGCGGAGTACAGGCGCTAGCAAGGGTTTAGATGTGAAATGGGGTTGGCCAAGATTCTGGTTGGCTGAGGGACCATTGGTGATTTAAACGGGTCGAGTTGGTATCCCTAGTCCCAGAGCACCCCGCCTAGCGTGCCCAGGTACTATGAATGTATCCTTTTCCCCAGGGACGGAGTACAACGTACAACTCATTTCTGCGAATATAACTTGTTAACCTACCTACAGAAGAACAACTTAGAAAAGTTGGTTTTCTCGGGTTTCGCCGCCTTCCACCGACGTAAGCTCCTTTACGATCTGGGGAACCCTTTGGTATATCTGTCGGCACCTGCGATCTCTCAGAGGATAGCCGATGAATGAAAGACTGCATGATACAAAGTACGAGTACTTGGGTTTACATTAATTCTTCTGGCGTCCATGGAAATGACGGTTGCTTTTGCGGATTCTGCGCCACGCAGATCTCCGCCATGTCCGTCACACACCTAACGGGACTTCGATGTTGCACGAAACCAAAAGAACCAAAGAAAAGAAGAGGAAAGCGACAGCTAAGATCATGTGACCAGCCTCTTAAAATATCCATGTATAGTCGAAGCGGGTCGAAGCGATCGAAGCGATTAGCCGCATCAACGTCAGCCCCTAATAATATTAGGACGTTTAACTATTAATTCCTGATTTTCAATGTAACAACTATTTTAGAAGTTTGCTCTCATTGGGATTTACAAGATGGCGCCAGTCACTAACGCCCAAACAACCTTGCCACAGGGGAGCGAGATCGAAGGCGACCGGCTGGTGGTCATCGATCGAATGAAGAGAGGCAAAGTCTGACTTTTCTGACCTAGAAGATGATGTTGGCAGCTAATGATGTTTAGCACCGAATCGATCCCCACAAGTAAAGCTTGAGAGCTCAGCAGGCCAGCATAAAGCTCAACGGCGACGAACATCACACTCCCCCAGAGTTCGGCGAATACGCATATCTACGATAAAGCAAGAAACCTACGAAAGGGCAGCATACCGTCCTGAGCTACGACGTAAAACTGACTTGACTGGATCTGCAACGGGCTAAATACTGCCTAGATCAGTGCCGAATCGACCATCCTAGCATTTACTGGCCGGAAAGGGTACTTCTTGTCGGCGGCCCTTTGCAAATTTTACTTCGTGGTCATCTGACTTGATGGTGAATGCGTCGCTTCCTCTAAGTGGGTAGCCGACAAAAGGTTTGTTGACAACAGCCTCACGAACAATTTCGACCGACAGCCTCGTGATCTGTAATTTCAACCCACAACAGCGATTCTTGAATTTTCTCTCCACCCACTATTGCGCATTCTTAGGCGAATTTAGTGCAAAACTCTTTTCAGTAGAAAATCAGGCACCTACAGCTATTACCTATATATATCTCCGATACCGAGCTTGAATACCTCAATTCTAGTGAGATATTTATATAACTTGAATGCCTCAATTTTAGTGAGATATTTACACGATTTATATCTAGGTAATAGCCGTCGGGCCTTATAATACTGGCGAAAAGAGTTTTGCACCAAAGTCACCCAAGATTGCGCCATAACCCACAACCACCACGCAACAAGCTCACAACGACACCTTCATAATATCGCAGAGCGATATATCATATCTCCTTGTCAATTCGTTACTCAAATTCCAACCCCCACATACTTCACCCATCAATTTGCTGCTCATCATCACCTCACCTCAAATCCACGTCAATCTCACCTTCGAGCAAGATGGGTGAGTTCGATACCAAGGTCGACGACCCCCAACAACGAATTCGTATCGAACGTCAATAGCGCTGAGGACGTGAACGGCAGTAGTGGAGATGGTACCATCAACGAGACAGCACCTTCTCCACCTGAGACGTTCAAACTCATCCATGAGTTCACCCCCTACTTCGTCACAGCTATGACAATCAACGGCAAGACTTATGGCGGCATCAACGAGGCCACCTTGGCTGGCAACGACTCTAGTATTGCCCCGGTCGCACGCCTCAACCCACATTATGGTGCAAAGAACCTTCTCGGAAAGCTGGTAGTCAAGGTCGTTGCTGCGCGTTATCAAGACCCAGTCACCCTCAAGCCAGCCGAGCTCTCGAACCCGCACGGATTCAGCCACCATCAGATCTATCTCAACATGTCTCCTATGGGAATGTCGGAGATCGAGATCGTACATGTCACGAAGGAGTCACTGCCACAGGGCTTCCAAAAGCCTGCAGGTTTCGACATTGACAAATTCAATGCTGAGAAATTTTCCTTCGTCCATCTCCAGATCGATCCTGCATACCTACAATGGTTGGAGTTGCAATTCCGAAGCTAGTCTCGGAGTCCCTTTTCACCTCCATGTCCAATCTTGCAGGCGACGTCAATGGCTTGATTGGTGTAGCTGAACCTATCAAATTCACCTTCATCGTTCGCCGAGACGAGGGTGAAGGCATTTGGCGTAGGCAGTTCAAGCCTAAGATGGAAGCCGATAAGGAGGAGCATCCCATGAAGCGTTGGATCAAGGACTCCCCTACCGCAAACACCTTGCTTCGAGGGAACATATTCAAAGCCTATGAGGGCCCAACCCTCCCAGAGCCGGGTTTCATCGTCTCGAGAACCGCAACTTGGCAAGACCAGTTGCAAATGCAAGTTCGCCACGTCTATGCTGCAGATCTTGAGAACCAGTTCGCAAAAGTAACGGACGTGGAATTCTTCAGCGACACGTACACTACCAGCTAAGTGCACCGAAGAGGAATGCAATCGTCTGGGAATCAAGGATGTTTTCATTATCAGAGTCGGCTCTCTAGGCATTGAGCGGTCAAAATATACCTCAAAGACGCTTCCCAAGCTTGTCTTGGACAATATGCGGCAAGTTGAGAACGATGATGCACTCAAATTTATCTCTCATAAGTACCTTCACGATTTGGGTATGACCGCCGACAAATCTCGCAAGTCGGGTGATAAGCGTTTCACCAATAGGTGTCAGAACATATCCTTACATGAAGCTATGTGGAACAAGTTCGAGGCCGAGAAGTACACCAATGATGATTACGCAAATCTGTATACCACGTTGCACAGTGTGGTAAGGTGCCCCCACGACGACACTATAAATATCTCCGACATCAATCCCATTGTGAAGATCCTTATGATCGACACCCTTCTCCTCGCCCAAGTCATCTGTCTCACATCTGCCCAAGCCATTCGTTTCACGTTTCACACATTAGTTCCCGAGTTTACATTCCTGATACTTGACGACGGAGCAAAGAGACGTGCAGACGTTACCATGGCTATCTGCGGCGCTTTCAAGTACCGGGTAGTCTTCGAGAACGGTGATATCAAGCAGCTAGGAACATATGCCGCATCCGCGGACAACAAGGAGTTCTAGAACGCAGTATCATGTGCGGACATCGGAATGCTATGGTCCTGAGCGAGCAGCATAGAATGTGGACAAAACTGCTGACACAATTCTTATCAAGGTACTGGTAGAACTTGAATATCTCAATTTTAGTAAGATACTTATGTAAGTTGAATATCTCAATTTCGGTTAGATATTTATTATAACTTGAATATCTCAACTTTAGTAAGATGTTTATGTAACTTGAATACCTCAATTCTAGTGAGTTATTTACGTGACTTGATATAACTTGAATATCTCAATTTTAGTTAAATATTTATTATAATTTGAATATTTCAATTCTAGTGAGATATTCGTATAACTTGAATACTTCAATTCTAGTAAGATATTTACGTAATTTGATATAACTTGAATATCTCAATTTCAGTAAAATACTTATATAAGTTGAATATCTCAATTTCGGTCAGATATTTATTATAACTTGAATATCTCAACTTTAGTAAAATGTTTATATAACTTGAATACCTCAATTCTAGTAAGATATTCGTATAACTTGAATATCTTAATTTTAGTTAAATATTTATATAATATTAGATTTATATCTAGGTAACACTTAGGCCTTATAATACTAGCGAAAAGAGTTTTGCCCCAATGTTGCCCAAGAATGCGCTGTACTTGCAATGCCTCTCCCACACCAGTACCACTATTGCCCTCTCCCTCCGCGCTCTTGTACACAGCGATATTCCTACTGCAGGAGAGATGATTAATTTTCTTGCTTTATATAATCTTTGAGAGAGGTCATGAGGTGTTTTGCGCTAATCTGGAAGATTTTTTATTAATATTGAATTAAGCAAATGGAAGGATCGAATGGTTTTCAAGTCACGTAGATCTTTCGGGTAGATTGTCTTTGGATCTGCTAAGCCTGGTTGGTCAATTTCGATTATTAGTCAAGAATTTGATGATAGGTATAGTACTATTTATTAACAAACTATAATTTTCTAGAGAATGGGAGTATTTAGAATTAATCCAAAATGCAAAACTAACTATTTCCTGGAAGTGCAGATGCCGTGATCTTGTTACATGGAAGCGGAGATGCCGTGATTCAAGTCGTTTAAAGCCCCCCTAATTGACTGATCGCTGTATTAACTAACGGGCCGTGATTGATAATCCTATCAATCAATATGCCTTTAATATATCACCGTATAAGTTAATATATATTAGCCAATTGGAGGGTGCTCCGGCGTCTTCTGTACTACTCGAGCATATGCTGAGACGCGACCTCGGCCGCGGCCTGCACGTTTTAGCTCAGCCTCCGAGTTGTAAGCGCTATCAACCCACTATGGCACGGGCTTTATCTCCCTTATCTCCTTATCCCCATTTATCCCCTTATCCCCATCTCTTAAAACCCCCGCTTAGCCGCTTTGGAAACACCCTACAATAACTTCCCTTTGCTTTTTAGAATGAAGCGACTCGGCTTTAGCTATGTGTTGAATTTTGGCGACACCGAAACTCAAGGGTTTCATGTATACGTCACCTGTATGAAATACGGCCCGCTTTTACCTGTATATAACAAGGACTTCTCCTCCACCTCTATTACTAGATTAATCAACTCTTTCTGCCTGTTTCCATTGCCTCCAAAACGCTGACACTATGGCACCAAAGTACGCCAAAGACCAGCCTGTGGGATTTACTAATCGCATTGAGCAAGTAGCTATCGTGGGGGTAAGCCACTGCCCTACGCTCTTATTCGACTCGCTCGTTATTAGTAAATATTTCGTACACTTGTGAAAACAGACGCTGATGTATCATGCATGACAAAGGCGAGCGGGCAAATCGGTACTCACCTCGCCACAGCCCTCGTCAAAACGGGCAAGCACACAGTCACCGCCTTGACGCGCCTGGGCAGCGAGAATAAAGTCCCACCTGGCGTCAAAGCGGTCTCCGTCGACTATGATAACGAGTCGAGCGTCATTTCCGCTCTTAAGGGCCAACAAATACTCATCATTACCCTCTCTGGCTTTGCCCCGCCAGATGCCCACTCCAAGATCGTCCAGGCGGCCGCCAAAGCCGGCGTCCCACACATTATGCCCAACATTTTCGGCATAAACGACGCCAATGAAGCACTCATTAGGGAGAATTTGCTGAGCCCCGACATCAAGGGCATCACTGCGGAAATCAAAGCTGCGGGCTTGTCATACACCTATCTAATCTGCAGCTTATGGTACGAGTACAGTCTCGCCATGGGTCCGCTCTGGTTTGGTTTCGACTTTCCCAACAAGAAGCTGACGCTGTATGACGACGGCACCACCAAGGTGAACCTGACCACGTTTGAACAGTGCGGACGGGCTGTTGCCGCGTGGCTGAGCCTCAAGGAACTGCCCGAAGACGCCAACGACACGAGCCTGACGGTAGACTCGTGGCGCAACAAACCGCTCGTCATCTCCAGCTTCTTGGTCAGTCAGCTCGACATGTTCGAGAGTTGGAAGCGCATCACCGGCGACAAGGACTCGGATTGGACCATTGAGAAAGTGCCTAGCAAGGAGCGCTACCAACAGGGCATAGAGGCCATGAAGAACGCTCAGGATCCCATGTCTGGACGTATGGGTGCCGCTATGGCTTCCTTCGTCCGCATCTTCTACCCTAACGGCGACGGCGACTACGAGAGCACTCGGGGCTTGGACAACGGTCAACTCGGCCTGCCGAAGGAAGACCTCGACGGGTGCACTGCTGTCGCTAAGCAAATGGTGGATGACGGCTATGCAGCTAAGGTGATGGCTAAGGTGGGTGGCACTCAACCAACATTGTAGATATAGCCATCTTAGGCTTGGGCTAAAAGTAAGCAATACCTTGTGAGGAAGATTATCGATCCCTGGTTCAGAGCAAAGACACAAACTCAAAGTATAGATCAGGGCTATTAATCCAATTACAAGAGTATAATCTCAAAGGACTGAATATATAAGTGTTAGAATATGGGAGTTATGGGAGTTCCCCTGGCCAGCTAGTCAAGTTACTTAGGCACCCCACTTAGTACTTCTCTACTACAAAGGAGAAATGAGATATGTGTACTCGCGATGAGCCGAATATACGGATATCATCGCATCTTATACTAATTAGTATGGCACATGATGATAGAAGCCCTGGGAAGCTATTCGGATACTATCGGTATTATTTCCTTGAGTCACCTGATTGATCACCTGACCCCATACATTCATTTGCCTATATATGTGAGGCTTTCACCCTATAGTATTAGGCTTCTTAATCAATTCAATTACCCCATTCCATGACCCATTCTGACCAATCAATTACCTGTATTAAGTGTACCAATTTGGGTCCTATTAATCAACAATAAGCCATGCTTATACAAAGCCTGAACCAGTAACGCTAGTCTATATATTTATTTCTGGAAGTCGAGTATAAATCCACGCGTCTGTTAATGTTTCTCCAAAACGTAACTCGTACTAAATTCCCTTTATCTTTATTGTAATAGAGAGGTTAAGAAAAATATACGTTACTTCTTGAAAGTAGTATTAAGTCATATGAGTCTGTTTATTATATAAGCGGCGCGAAGAATTCTCATTTCACGTTGCACCTTCATGGACCTCCGTTTGTTAATAGTTCGGCACTTTCTAATTAACACGCAGTTATCGCTAGCATGAACCTTGAAATGGACTGTCTTATTGGGCAACCGGCCGGCTCCCCGCCAACTTCCCTTCGTCCTCGATGATCCTTCGTTTCTCCTCACTTGCCGCGGTCATATCAAACTCGAACGAATCCGGCTTCGCGATCAATAAGCTCGTGTATTTGAGCCACGGGATGTCTATTTCATTTCCAAACCTATTCCTTTTCTTCCGAATGTCAAATGCCCAAGCCATGCCAGAAATTGCGAGAAACAACACTTGGTCGACAATCTCAACGCCTTGGCAGAGTCGTCGTCCGAATCCAAACTGATGGTAGCTTTTGAGATTCGGATATGTTGTCAACGGCTCGCGATATGTCGGGTATGAGCTGTCTAGCCAGCGCTCTGGTCGGAATGACTCTGGATCGGGATATTTTTCTGGATCGCGGCAAAGTCCCCTGTAACACCCCGTCAACACATGCCCAACACAGATATTTTCTGGGTCTCCTACCATTCAAGAGCATGAATTGTTGCCCCAGCAGGTATGAAATACTCGCCATATATATCATCGTTCTCCAATCGGTGGGGAATTCCTGCTACTATCAGCGTCCGCGTATAACAAAGAAGCGCCCATTGGAAACTTACCAGTTGGGACAGGCGGTCTCCACCGCAACACCTCCTTGATTACCGCTCGAACAACGTGAAGATCAGCTCTATCACTCCATTCAGGGCAGCGATCGCCACAGACTTGTCGAATTTGGTCCTGCATCTTGGTTTGCCATTCCGGGTGGTGGCATATGGCAAGAATATAAGTTTGCAAAGGGCTAGCCATGGTCAACGCACCTGCAATGGCCATCATACCAATCACATGGGTCCACTCTTCCTCCTCCCAACCGCCCTTCTCCCTACCCTCCCAGAACATCTTGGAATAACTAGGATTAACTTCTCCCGTCAACGAGGCGGCTTCGACAGCCCTGAGCGCGTTACGAAAAAACTCAGTCTCCGCAGCATGCCGAGCTCTCTCAGCCTGTTTCCATGGACTCAGCCATGTCGGTAATATTGTAAGCCAGGAGACGACATTTGGAACGGATCCACTTGGGCTGATGGTCGTGAGCAGCCCAAAGGCATTCTTCTTAAGTTTCGGCTGGTGGTCAGCCGAGCCCCAAGCCAGTCGAGAAATTGTTCTCCCGGTATACTCCTCCAGGTAAAATTCATACTTCGAGGGCTCCACCAAGAGTTTGTAAAGCAATCTATTACGTTCAATTGTCGGATATGAGTGCTGAGACGCAGTGTGTGATCGAGACAGAATATGATGGGAATATTTCCGCTGTCTTTTCCATGTTTCTGAAATACGATTAGTATTCATTTTGAATTCTCTGAATTGCTTATGATCTCAGGGGTAGCACCCCTTTGTTGAACTTACCAGTGTTACCAAGCAACGCGAGGTAGTCACCACTTGTCCTGTTGTCTGGCAAATTAGGGATCACTGGCCGATCAGAGTATATCGATCCACGTTTTGCTAACAAGTCGTTGGCGATCTGCTCAGATGAAATCCAAATGTGGATGGATCCGAAAATTTCGTGTTGGTAGATTGGCCCATACTCCTTGGCCCACTCCCAAAATTTTAGCCATGTTGCCTCGCTGGGCACATCATGAACACGCCCAATGAATGGCAGACCTATGGTCGGTGAATATTTGTCAGATTACATTTCCCCTTTGTGTCACAAGAGAATAGGCAGGTGTGGGCAAACCTTTGGGACCCGGGAGCTGGCGCACACCAGGCGGCAATGTCTTCTGAGACCTGTACCAAAAGCTATAAAAGACGAGCAGCAAGACTAGAATCGAGAGCAAAGAGATCTTGAATGTGTCCATACTGCATAAATTTCTAGCAATCGGCGGTTGTCACGCAGCGACCGGGTCATCTTCAGTTTTATACCACCTTACCAAAGATAACTTATTACGAATTGTGCCACGAGAGATCCCAAGGCGGTGTCTACGGATCCCAGCCGCAGCTACAAAGCATGGCTCTGAGATTAACCTCGTGAGACAAATGCAGGAGAATGTACAGGGTTATCACTTTGATCTCAGCTTCATCACGATAACCTACGCAAATAGGCAACAGGCTCAACTCCTTTAAATCGATTTAATTCTTGAACATTCTTCCGTTCTACAACATATGCACGTCTCGGTGTTTGCCCTTAGTGGGCCCTTTGCCTCTTGTCATTTCATATCCATACATATACCCTGGGAGCGTTTCGGCGATCCTGCAGCGCGTTTCGGCGGACTCCCGCCGGGCCCCTGAACGACATGTGCTGCGGCCTCCGAGTTCTCGACTCCTGGTACTTCGTACGGAAAATATCAGCCCGTACAACTCCAACCCAGCAATATTATTACCTCATGTTGTGCACATTGGCAAAGGTCAAACCTGTAGAAATAGTTCGAGAGGGGTCTCTAATGCGGCCTTAGTCATGATTTATATCATTGCCCCCTTTTCCTCTGAATCCTATTACATAGCCGCTTACTTCGTACGAGCGCCACTACTATCAAAGGAATTGCGCCGAAAATATTTATCTGAGACTTACTTAGTACGAGTAAGGCTTAAGAGGAGCTCCGAATGCCCCACTTCTCCCTTCTATTGCGTTCTATTTAGGATGCTCAGCGCACAATACTCTGACTTCTGAGTCCTAAATGCATTCAGAATGCCAGATTATGCGGATGTCCGACGGAGTAATAGCTAACGGACAATTGACGAATAGATTCTCTTTGGAACGCCTAATCGATGGCTTCGGTGCGTCTATTCAATATTATGGGTTGCCTTCGTGTTCTCGTCGATTACGCCCTCGCCTACAGTTCGCCGAACTCAATCTTCTTTACAGTGATTTCTCATCTATCCGCCTGTCCGTTTCGGTCTTGCAAAGATGACGAGATACTAACCATGGAGACACCTTCCAACTCCATCCCAGCCCGTGATGATCCTGTGAACCAGCGCCACAGGGTCGCCGGCCACAAAGAATTTGTCACTCATAACTTGATCCGCCGCTCTCCTTGAACAAAGGTCAATATAATGCCTGGGACCTCGCAGTTAAGGTACTCTGAATCCTATACTTTGGCAGTCAAATCAAAAATCACCGAAGATGCCGGAGAGCTCTCGAAAGATGGCCTTCCTCCTTTTCGGGGACCAGTCACTGGACACGTTTGGGTTCCTCTACAACTTATGCCACTATGGCACCCCAAGCTTGTTGTCCAGAGCCTTCCTTCAGCAAGTGAGCATCGCGCTTTGCCATGAATTGGATTGTCTTCCTAGTATTGAGAGAAAGAAACTACCTATATTCACAAACATTGAGGAGCTCAATGAAAGATATCATGATAGGGGGACGAAGCACTCTGGCATCGAAAGCGCCCTGCTATGTATCACCCAACTTGCATATTACCTCGAGTAAGCCCAACAATACCCAGTAGCACAATTCATATGCTGACATGCATTGGTAGTCGTGCGGAAAAGGTGCCTGAAGATGCAACCACTTCTGCAGAAACATGTCTTGTTGGATTATGTACTGGATTATTTGCAGCAGCTGCTGTGGCATGCTCGCCATCTTTGTCGGCACTTGTACGTATCGCAGTACAAGTGACAGTCATGGCGTTCAGAACCGGGTCATACGTTGCGACGTTGGGAGATAACCTTAGCGGCACTAGTGACAATGCCGAACCTTGGACATATGTCGTCCCCGGAGCCAGTGAAGCACTTGCTACAACGACTCTCCGTAACTTCCACGAAACGAAGGTGAGCACTTACCTAATCTTATCTCTTAACACGATAATTGAGTGTTTCCTAGGGCATCCCCCTTGCTGGCCGCGCATACATTAGCGCAATTACCTCCACCAGTGTTGCCATCAGCGGGCCGCCATCAACCTTGACTACGCTATGGGCGTCGGATGTTTTTGCAGCAGCACCATTACCGATCCATGTGTATAGCCCGTATCATGCATCACATCTCCACCCGGAACTTGATTCCGAAAAGATACTCGGTCTTGACGATCCAGAGGTCCTGGACGCGCTGGACGCTTCCAAGCCCGTTATACCAATTCTGTCATCCGCCACGGGCCAGTGGTATGACGCAGAAACAACCTCGGGGTTAATGAAGGGCGTTTTCCAAGACATCCTGACACAGCCTCTACAGTTCCACCGAGTTCTTGATGGGTGCTTACTTAAAGCACAAACCTTCAGAGGCTCAAGATGTTTAGTCATCCCAATCGGCCCCACACACGCTGGGAGTAGTTTGGTTAACACACTCAAGGCCAAAACAGATCTGGAGGTGGTTTTGCGACGGACACCATTTGGTAAGAATGAGCCAAGCATACCAAGTGGTAAAAATTCAGGGGCTTCAAATCGTGGTAAACTTGCCATCGTCGGAATGGCTGGAAGATTTCCAGATGCTGCCAGTCATGAAAAGCTGTGGGAGCTTCTTCAGAATGGGTTGGATGTGCATAGAGAAGTTCCAAAAGATCGATTCGATGTAGCCACACATGTTGATCTGACAGGGAAGACTAGAAATACTAGCCACACACCTTATGGCTGTTGGATCGAAAACCCAGGGCTATTCGACCCAAGATTCTTTAACATGTCGCCCCGCGAAGCCTTCCAAACGGATCCAATGCAAAGGCTTGCTCTGGCCACTGCCTATGAGGCCCTTGAAATGTCAGGCTACGTTCCCAACCGGACTGCCTCCACAAAACTGGACCGTATTGGTACGTTTTATGGCCAGACATCTGATGACTGGAGAGAAATCAACGCCGCCCAGGACGTTGATACATACTTCATCACTGGTGGAGTTAGAGCGTTTGGACCTGGCCGTATCAACTATCATTTTGGTTTCAGCGGACCGAGTTTTAATATTGACACTGCTTGTTCATCAAGTGCAGCTGCGCTTCAACTTGCCTGCACCTCGCTTTGGGCCGGGGACTGCGATACTGCAATAGTTGGCGGGTTATCTTGCATGACCAATAGTGACATTTTCGCGGGGCTTAGTCGGGGGCAATTTCTTTCTAAGAATGGCCCTTGTGCTACCTTCGACAACGATGCCGATGGCTATTGCAGAGCGGATGGAGTCGGGACCGTCATTGTCAAAAAACTAGAAGATGCCCAGGCGGATAAGGACAATATTCTGGGAGTCATTCTTGCCACAGCGACCAATCATTCTGCTGAAGCTGTTTCAATCACCCATCCTCATGGTGGAACCCAGGAAATACTCTACCGGTCCATTATGAACAAGGCGGGTGTCGACCCCCTTGATGTCGATTATGTCGAAATGCACGGAACAGGTACTCAAGCTGGAGATGGGACAGAAATGCGATCCGTAACGAACGTTTTTGCACCCGCGGATCGCAGGAGAAGCGCAGATCAGCCCCTATTCCTCGGCGCCGTGAAAGCGAATGTTGGTCACGGAGAGGCGGCATCTGGAGTAACTGCACTCATCAAAGTTCTCCTTATGTTGCAGAAGAATGCGATCCCGCCACACGTTGGTATCAAGAATGTCATCAACAAAACCTTTCCAACGGATCTTGCAGAGCGGAATGTCAATATTGCTTTTCATACTACCCCACTTCGCGGGAAGCCAGGCTTGCCTCGACGCATATTCGTGAACAATTTCAGCGCTGCTGGCGGCAACACCGGATTGCTGTTGGAAGATGGACCTGCATACAAGCCAGCGGTGACTGATCCTCGCTCCATGCATGTAGTCTCCGTTACAGCAAAGTCTAAGGCTGCAATGTTTAGGAACGCTTCGCGATTGATGTCTTATCTCGAGGAACACCCAAATACATCTATCTCGGATCTGGCATATACTACCACTGCTCGTCGAATTCAGCATAACTGGCGAATGCTGATTACGGCGTCTGATATCCAACAGGCACAAGCCACCTTGAAGTGTAGGATGAATGATACATTCATCCCAGTCCTACCCGAGCCTCCCAAAGTTGCATTTACATTTACCGGTCAAGGTTCCCACTATGCCGCTCTAGGGAAAGACCTCTACGAGAACTCGTCCAATTTTAGAGAAAGTATAGAGGAATTCGACAGGATTACCAGAATTCATGGTTTCCCATCATTCATCCCCCTCATAGATGGCAGTGTGGCCGATGTCGCATCAATTTCGCCCGTGGTGGTCCAAGTCGGCTTGGTCTGCTTCGAGATTGCCATGGCACGTTTGTGGGAATCATGGGGAATCGCCCCCAGCGTGCTCATTGGCCACAGTTTAGGGGAGTATTCCGCACTCTGCGTTTCCGGGGTACTTTCGGTCAGTGATACCATCTATTTGGTTGGCTCCAGGGCCCAGTTACTCGTCGAAGAATGCACGGCAGACACGCACGCGATGCTGGCCGTTCAAGGTACAGTATCCTCAATCACAGATGCCCTTCAGGACACAAACATCGTATTGAGCATTGCCTGCATAAACGGTCCTCGTGAGACTGTTCTCTCCGGGAAAGCCACGGAAATGGCAGACCTCGCCGATAGCCTCACTAAGGCAGGGTTTAAATGCACAAGACTTCAAGTGCCTTTTGCCTTCCATTCAGCACAAGTGGACCCTATCTTGGATGAGTTTGAAAGGATTGCTACCGCCATTCGTTTCCAAAAAGCAAAAGTACCCCTAATCTCCCCACTCCTAGGTCGACCTGTGACCGACGCTCATTCAATTGGTCCCAATTATCTTCGAAATCATGCCCGTGAAGCTGTTAATTTCCTCGGCGGGCTTGTATCTGCCCAGGATGGTGGGCTAATTGACGACAAGACAATCTGGCTGGAAGTAGGACCACATCCCGTTTGTTCCGGGATAGTCAAAGCTACCTTCGGCGCTACCACGATAACAACACCCTCGCTGCGTCGGAAAGAAGACGCGTACAGAACGATTTGTGGAAGTCTAAGCTCATTACAAACCGCCGGAGTCAACATAGACTGGAACGAATACCATCGGGACTTCGCTCATGCAGTCCGTCTCCTTGATCTCCCTAGCTATTCCTTTGATGACAAGAATTACTGGATCCAATACGAGGGAGATTGGTGCTTGACGAAAGGAGCGGGTGCACTTCCCGCTCCCGAACCAGCAAAGGCGGCGTTCTCCACGACCACAATCCACAATATTGTGAAGGAGAATGTAACTGGCAAGGTGGTTACCATCGTCACTGAAACAGAGCTCACCAGGCCTGACCTCCGACCTCTTGTCACGGGTCATGTGGTCAACGGTGCATATCTGTGCCCATCAGTATGTTTTGAAACTCGTGCGTGGGTATCTTTTGCTAACAGCTTTCTAGTCTCTGTATGGTGATATGGCCATGACAGTTTGCGACTATGGCTACAAGCTGGCTGATCCCGATGTGAAGGATCTCGTGACGAATGTGGCACACATGGCGGTACCGAAGTCATTGATTCTCAAACCTAATGCCACGTCGCACATCTTGACACTCTCCGCAACCATCGATACAAGTCTTCGGCGGGCAAATCTTATATTTTCAAGTGGCTCTGATAAAGAAAAGGTGGAGCATGCCAATTGCACCGTTTTCTTCGGCGCTCGTGAAGAATACCTCTCTGAGTGGAATCGCCAAGCGTACCTTATACAATCCCGAGTCGATTGGCTTAAAGATGCGGAGGCCAAGGGACAGGCTCATAAAATTGGGCGCGGCCTGGCGTACAAGCTCTTCGCGGCTTTGGTAGATTATGATCAAAAGTACAGGGGCATGGAAGAAGTCATTCTTCATAGCGCCAACATGGAGGCAACATCCCGTGTAGTATTCCAGACAACGGCGGCTGACGGATCATTTTTCTGCTCTCCGTATTGGATCGACAGCGTGGCCCATATATCTGGATTTATAGTGAACGGTTCCGATGCGGTTGACTCCCGTGAGAATGTCTACATCAGCCACGGCTGGGAGTCACTAAGGGTCGCCGAGCCTTTCTCAGCCGAGAAACAGTACCGATCATATGTAAGGATGCAACCTACGGAGAACAAGGTCATGTCGGGCGATGTTTATGTTTTCGATGGAGACACGATCATCGCTATGGTCGGTGGATTGAAGTTTCAATGCATTCCGCGCCGGGTGATGAACATGCTCATGCCGCCAGTTGGGGCTGCTGCTTCTTCTGCCAAACCAGCTTCTGGAGTTCCCCACCAGACCAAACCTGCTGCTGGGAAATCTACCAAGACTGCCCAAGTAACGATGAAGACGATTTCTAAAGTCAATGCAAAGCTTGCCTCGGTATGCTCGCAGGCGTTGGATATTCTTGCCACTGAGGTGGGTGTTGGGAACGATGAACTTGCTGATAACATTGCATTTACCGACTTGGGCGTCGACTCCCTCATGTCGCTGACAGTGAGCGGGAGACTTCGTGAGGATCTTGATATAGATGTCCCATCAAGCGCATTCCTTGAAAATCCCACGATTGGTTCGTTCAAGGCATTCCTGTCTAAGTTCGAACAGAAGGGAATGGTCGCCACGACGAATTCAGATTCACCCGAAAGTCATGATCAAACAACCCCTGATCTAGAACTGGAAGACCCGGACACTGGTGTTACCACACCTCTCGATGACACACCCTCTGAGGATGGCAATACTGCTCTTGGAGGCATCATTCGAACTACCATTGCAGGTGAAATGGGTGTAGAAATTGACGAAATCATAGATGCGCACGACCTTTCTACTATGGGGATGGATTCCCTCATGAGCCTATCTATCCTTGGAAGCTTGCGCGAGAAGACGGGATTGGCCCTTCCTTCTGACCTCCTTGCCAGCAACCCATCAATCAAAGCGATTGAAAGGTCACTGAATATTGGGGCAACTTCAAAGCGACCAAAGGCGGCAAAGAGCATACCTGCTCCCGCTGCTCCGCCGGCTCCGCTACAGGCCCGGCTTTGCGCCCACTCGCCCGAGCGATTAGCAACCTCTGTTCTCCTTCAGGGAAATACCAAACGTGCAACTAAGCACCTCTGGATGGTCCCGGACGGCAGCGGCTCCGCAACGTCGTACACGGAGATTGCAGACGTGGGCTCCCACGTTGCTGTCTGGGGCTTGAATTCCCCATACATGAAAACTCCAGAGGAATTCAAGTGCGGCGTCTACGGGATGGCAGAACATTTCATCAAAGAAATCAAGCGCCGCCAGCCCCAGGGGCCTTACCTACTAGCCGGGTGGAGCGCGGGAGGAGTTATTGCATTCGAAGCGGTAAGACAGCTACTCGACAGCGGCGACGAGATCGAGCAATTGATTATCATCGACGCCCCATGTCCCGAAGTCATCGAACCGCTTCCAGCATCCCTCCACCGATGGTTTGCAGAGGTCGGAATTTTGGGTGATGGGGATATGTCCAAGCTGCCGAAATGGCTGCTGCCCCATTTCGCCGCATCCGTCACAGCGCTATCAAACTACACGGCCGTCCCCATTGACCCGGTGCGAGCACCCTTTGTGACGGCAATATGGTGCGAGGATGGTGTGTGTAAACTTCCGACGGATCCTCGGCCGGACCCATACCCAGATGGTCACGCTCTGTTTCTACTCGATAACCGCAATGATTTTGGGCCGAACCTCTGGGACCGGTATCTCAACGGCGACCGATTGGTCACCCATCACATGCCAGGAAACCATTTCACCATGATGAAGGGCGGCATGGTAAGTCTTCTCTCCCGACTCCATATCAAAATTCTCCGATACACCAGACTCACAACTAATCATTCATTAGGCCAAGATCCTTGGCAAGATCATCCGAGACGCCATTTCGCGCACAAGTGCATGATCTCCCTTGCACGAAAATCTCCGCACAAATCGTGGCGACGACGGGTGGTTCTTATGTTTGCATGGAATGGTGCAATGATAGCGCCGTGGAGATAGAACATATGCCGATGCATGGATGGCAGTTCATGGGGCGGACGGATGGTATTTTCCCAAGGATAGATGGTATAGTACGTTTTGTTGCCGTTCTGCAAGGGAATTTTCGGCTGGGTCCTCTGTTGTCTTCGCCCCAGTCTACTTTCTTAGCTGTGTTACTTGTACTGTTTTCGCTGTACCGTCTACCTAGATTAAATTGACCCGTCGTCATCGAAAGTGAACGCGAGATGCAGCTGAAATGGAATACTTCGTACTTACATGTGCATTGGCCGTGCCAGGGGGAGTTTAACCACGAGAACCGACAGGTGCGAATCCGCGTGGTGTCGGGGTGGCGGTGTTGCGTGAATAAATTAAATGTATTATTAATTCCAATGTTTGATTCAGGGCGAGAGGCCGACAGGCCACAGGGAGCTAGTTGTTGGGCCATAAAGAGCGATGGAGTGTCGCACAGAAACAAGGATCCTAATGCTATGGATGTACTTGTTCCTGTGTATTCTTTGTAGGAATAATAATGCGGGTGGAAACGAGGCACGTCGGGGGTGTGAGAGACGCCCGACGAGTTGCAGTGGGAGGCGGTTCCGGCTGCTCGCAACGCCGGGACTGTTCTTCCTGCGCCCCGGGTCGATCTCAGGACGAGTTTTGAGGGCAGCAAAGAAGAACTATGGCGAGGAGCTTCATAGCTTTAGCCCCATACTGGACGAGGTGGTGAAAGGCGAAAGTTGGGAGTGGAAAAGTTCGCCGTCGAGATATGTGGTTAGGTTTCATAAAGAGTCGTGAAGTCGGAGGGTGAGGTTAGCATGACAACAGTATCGGGCTTACCGTAAGTGGCAATCTTAGCGAGACGCGTAGGTCAGTCTCGACGTCCTTTGTTGTCATAATTCCCGACTCCCAACCCGAGGGCTTACTTGCTACTTGCGCTTTCGTCTGCCTACGTACTCGGTGCCTTATAACTACTCGTACTCTGCTTATCCCGTACTATATATATATAAGTGCGCAAGATACATCACTTTATTCGACGCCAAGATACGAGGTATGTGGTTTGGACGCCTCCGTCAACGGTTTACCTAGTGGTAGAGTGGCCCATTGTTACTGGCGTGCATGGCTCTCCATAGTTGTCTTGTCCAGTCCCCCCCAGAGCGATGCCTTCGGCGCTTCCCTCGTCTCCTAGTGGATGCATCATTGGGTAAAGTGACTTTGCTTAAATGTACGTACTGTTTTACCCCCCGGATTTGTCGGATCCTAACGGCTTTCTTGCGCGTACGTTATCGTGGAGAACCTCGTTCTACTCCTACACATCTAGTATGCTTTACCTACCTCAGCTATATGCAGTGCTGCGGACAGCCACACGGTACCAAAGCCCACCATTCACACCACAGCGTCCGATATCAGAACCCGGCCATAAATTGACCAGAAAATACAAGTTCAGAAGGAGATCATTTTCGCATTGAGCGTCTGCTTCCAGCTCAACCTTCAGTTTCATCCCCCTGAGACGGTCTGTGTCTCCGAGGAAAACAAAGCTGCAGGTTAGGCGGCGCTCTATCACGAATCTACACACCCTCCCTTCCATGCCAGGCAACCCAAAACAGCACAGTACGACGAGTTACCACGACAGACATACACATAAAGTGGAATGGAAGTGCGGGATGGTTAAATATAAATGCGAATCGAGCCTTCCGGGGGTTATATGGGAGCGGCCTAAGCGACCATGGAAATCATAATCCCTGAGATTTGGGCGCGGGAACGTCCTGGCGTCTCCCAGGGCTTTGATCATCAAGCCTCATCGCACGCCACCCCTCATCGGGCCATAGAAGAAGGGGCCCCTAAGATCTCTTGCATCCCGGAGGCGCTTCCGCCCTCACTCTCTAGCAACCCCAGAGGTAGATTATTCCTTGGTCGGAGGTAACGCTAATGGAGATCTCCCGCCAACCCCATGCCAGCGGAGGGGATGCCCCAAACCCCACATCGTCCTAGCCAGGCTACCTCCCTCTTTTCGCAGATGTCATGTGGAAAGGACGTAGCATTGGAAGAGCCCATTGTCCCTCCACAGGACCACCGCAGTCTTTCACTTAGTATAAGATGAGAGGTTTTACGCCAATGGATAGACCAGAGCTTCTCTCGGATGCTGAATGCCGAGATTCTAAGAACTCGAGCACACCACTAGTTCGGACGTAACACACCCAGCCAGCCAAACCGCCTGGCACGCTCCAGGTGCCCAGGTGATTGCTCCGTGTGATGATAAGCTCATTGGATCACCTATGGAGGTTTCGGCTCAGATTGGTCGGATGTCCGGAAACGTGATTATGGAGTCATATTCTTCTTTTCTGACCGTCCCGAGTGTATTCCCGTCTCTGCAGCATGTGTGCATGCTTATCAGGTGCCTGCAGCGTCAAATTGGCCCGCTTGGTCTAATATTTACCAAGTACCCTCCTCCTAGCCTGACGTGAGGAGATACGAGATGCCGAATGCCTGAAAGGCTTTGCTTACAAGCCCACATTCCATGTTGTGTATTCTCTATTATGTTCTGATCATTAACAGTGACTTGCATCAGCCATAACAGCTGTCCAGCCTATTCTGTGAAACCTGTCTACAAACCTCTTGTCGCCTGGGTTGGCCTATCTCATCCAGCTGATGAGTTGTCTTGTTCCACCGGATTGCTACCTATCCATGATTTGTCGATTTTCTTCATTTGCTTCTATTCTGCTGACTTCTGAGGGATAATCGCTCTTCCAACCTGGATTCTATACCACAATCGTTTCTTTTTCTCTGGCCCCTTCCTGGATGCCAACCTATCAGACGGTGCCATTCGCTTCAATGTCTAAGATCCAGAACACATCCAGGCCTCGTCAGCCGAAGCTAAGAGCCTCTTGTGACGGTTGTTTTCTTGCAAAGGTCAAATGCAGCAAGGACCGCCCCATATGTTCTCGATGCCTAACGACGGGCGCAGAATGTGGTTATAGCCCATCATGTCGCACAGGGAAGCCTAAGACAACCAGTCTTCCAACAGAACAGATTCACGTCAGATCAGATGGATCGCCGCAGGCCCCTTTCTCTGAGATATATGAAGATTCAACGACCACATACACATCCCTCAATACTGAGGATGCATATTCTTGTGATTCCCCCCCATACGGCATCCATCCCAGTTGGCCTGTGCTGCAGAGTGAGGGGAGTGAGGGACTTCAACGCCAATCAGTCTCTTCGAGTACACCCTCGATGGTGCGAGATGAGGGCACGCCTGAATCGGGAGGTGGAGGGGCCAACCCAGAATCGTTTGATTCCCCTTATTTATGGAATTCGAGCGTACGAGCAACGCCAACTAGCAATCAAGGTTTTCCGCCGCCACCAAGGTCAAAGTCAATGGTTGAGGTCTCGATGTTTCCATCCCTAGAACCCTGGTTTGAGAGCCAAAATGAGATGTTCTTGTTTGGCCCACATTCAGGGGTAGGTTCACAGAAACATATTTACATGCCCACCGCCGTGGTAGATAATTCGGCCATTTGCGAATGTTTTAACATCCTGCTGCAGGCGTTGCAAGCTCTTCACAACCACACCAATATTACCACTCCCTCACCTTCGTTCGATGTTGTCTTGACCGTCAATCGCCGTGCGGTTGACGGCTGCGCGATGATGCTGGATTGCGGCAAGTGTGTCAACGGAGGTAACTCCAACACGGCGATGATGCTGCTGGCAACGATCATAGGAAAGGTTATGTCATTCTATCGCGCAGCCTCACAAAACTACTTTGGTTTTACCCCGCAATCACATTATCAGCCGCAGCCGCTCCCGCTCACCTTTGGAACGTACAAGATTGCTGAAGAAGACGGACGTTGGCTAGAAATGGAGATCTTGCTACGGGAATTAAGGAAATTAGAAGGAGTTCTAGCCAAGTTTCAGGACGTTACTAAGAAAGATGAGATGGCGGAGCTTGGCGGTGTCCAGGCTGCTGTCATTGGCTATCTAAGGCATAGCCTGAGCGTTATTTTTGGAGTTCTTAATATGCGACGGGGTGTGCAGCACAATTCCCGTGTTTGAGTGCAGTTTTGTGAGATACGTCCTGCCTTCGGATTTCAGATTTTGGGTGGGAGGAAATCTTAGTGGAGTTTAGGAGCAGTTTTTGGTCAATTGCGGTTTACACGCGATTTTGTGCCCAGAACTGCTCCCTTACCCACCTATTTTGGTGGCTCCGCTTGTCTAATTTAAGGGGCGAGATAATAGCTTGAATGGCACAGATATGAATATTTCGCTTGCATTTTAAGTTCCCATCGCTAACTATGCCTTGGGTTCACTTTAAGTCGAGTTGCAACTGACCGCGAACGACATTTTCTATATATCTTGATACTACCTACATTTTTTCATGTTGGACTGTTCTTATATTAGATGATTAGAGTTTTATAGGGCGTTGGAATATTACTTATACTCCCTAGTAGCAGTTCGCATATGAATCCATACTCAGTATAATTAACAGTGACAAGGTATCAGAGAGATTAAGCAAAGTTCTTTACAACCAATTTATAACATCACCAAACTATCTATTGTACCATATTCCAGTCTAGCCACATACATATATGTTTGAGCAACCTAGAAGCGTTAATCGATTTAAAATCTAAGATTTCAAAACTGCAACCACACCGAGCTTCATTCCAGATATGTGAGTGACGATCATTGCCTATTAGCTTCCTACTTACCTCTTTATCTCCAAGTCCCGAAGTCAATAATTCGTATAGCAGCTATTAAGTAGCATGTGCACAACATAATTGGACCTAACAGCTACCCAACCCGGCGCCATCCGAGCTGTGCAATTTCAGATGGGTGCCCGCGCCCGCACCGACGCAGGCTGCACATGCATGCAGGTCCACATCTACCACGGGTAGTTCCGAATAGCAATCTCTTTGTTGGGAATCAATGGGCGTTAGCGGGAACATACAGCATACATACCACAATATTATTTGAGGGGGTTGCTGAACTGTGGGAGTGGAGAGGTGTTGTGTGGTTGAACAGATCGGGTTAACATCGTGGATTAGGCAGGTGGCATTATTTTTAACTACCTCGGTGTAGCTAGTCTCCCAGAACCTTATATGCTGCGTCCGTTAATGCATATTTTAGAAATTGAATGATTGATGCTGCAAGCCCAGATCTATTGCTTCAATAGTAACTAGATGCGGTTACTTTGTACTTGCAGACTCAGCCACCCAAATATTACGTGTAGAATGTTGGATATCCTAGGTTTTACATCCTATGTATATTGTGCCCATCGTGAATAGCATCCCCCTAGCACGATTCTCTAAATTCTTGAGAATCGAACTAGACCTTCACAATTCATCCCATGACTACATTTGCTATCCTTGACCATGAGGCGATCATCATGCAACATCAGCTACATGCACGTTCTTTTTGATGCTACTAAATATACCCCAGAGCTACTATGGCGGGGCTGAGGATGGTTTCAAGTTTTCAGGTTTTGAAATGTGGGGTAAAAGTTTAACTAGGGTTTAATCATAACACAATTAGCACGAGTAGCATATTGGAGGAAGTAACCCCATGAATTCGAACAAAATACAAGCCAACGAGTTATCTTATTGACTTCGGCATTGGGCATTGGGCGTCTGGAATCTAGTCTAAACTCTTAAGAATCGGGGCGCACCGTATGTGCAGATACTCGTGTTCTTTCGTAAGCCAAAAGGGAAAGCTTCCCGAAGACGATCGATCGTTGATCGAGAACTATAGCTGATCCGTGTACCGTGGTTGGTAATGCGGCTCCTCGTCGATACCAGTTCCCACCACAGCCCCTGAACAGCATATCGGCGTGGCATAGGCCACGATGCTACGTTGTCCAGTCCAGCATGTAATGCATGTGAATGGTCTCTGGGAAAGATCGGGAGCAGGGTGCCGGCTAATGTGGGATCCCGGGAATTCTCCGACATCGAGATTCGAGCTGAATACAAGGGACGTGCATCTCAGAACTCACGATTAATTCACGAAGTGGTGTCAATTGGTTACTGGTAGCCTGGCAGGCATCACTGCCTCACCATCTTAGATTTGCCTGTCTCGATATCGAGTGCCTGGTCCGATTAGTGCTGCATAGTTCTAGATCCCATGATTCTTATCATGCGGGCTCCGTCTCGGTCCTTTCACGCTTGTCATGATCCATTGCTGCGGGTCATTAGTCAACTCAGACCCAGGAACCAAGTTTTGGCAGCATGGAGCCACGACAGACGGGCCGAGTATCTCAGCATGTCAAAAGGTCAGCCGTGGTACCGGCGGGATAGAGGTTCTGTATGAGCTTAATCGCCACCCCTGAAGATGGTTCTGGATTCATGGAACGCGGCAGTGGCGGCACTAACCATCCCAATCCTCCTTATATATTTTTAGGAGGGCGGCTTGGATATTTTGAAGTCGTATGTTTTGCGAGCTGGTTGTTTGAATGTTTCAAAATTTGGCCGTTGTGTAGTGTACTAGTGTACCAGTGTACTAGTAAGACGGGTTGGATGTATTGTTATGTATATCTTCCATGGACCATGGTAGGCCTTGTTCATCAAGATAGGCACAACACCATATAGAATTGGCTGTGAGTGGCTAGTCCAAAATTATACCCAGCTGGTCGTCGTGAATGTACTGTATGTATATGTTACAGAGATTAATTTAATATGAAACTTCACGCAAAACAACGGCACGATTTCCGAAATTCATTCAGCAGCTCTGGCTATTGGCTAGAATACTTATTTGTCGCACCAACAGGTACAGGTACAGATACAGTACAGGTGCAGGTGCAGGCGCAAAGTCGCCGAATCGTGCATATTACACGAGGAGGGACTGGGTGGGCAGGGCTGAGGCCTCTGAGCGGGGCAGGAATCACAGGATAATATAGTAGTACTGGGTGGCTGGATCACGACTTGTATGACTCGTGGGAGTTGGTGGGAACAGGATTCCATCGAAGCTAGCCTCAACGGTCTCTATCCGTACGATCCTTATAGGATATCAATGCGCATGGCGATGAACCTGGTACTTGTGCTACCACAAGGCCTAGATGGTAACACGAATCACGACTCAGCTAGAACGGAAGGTCAGCTCTATCTCTGCTTACTTGGGAGGCAAACAAGGTACTTTGGGATATTATTTGCAGCAAGTCATCCGAACAGTAGCAATTACTACCATGTATAATTGCCGGAATGGTGGCGGCCTATTGATTAATGATTTGAAAAATAGAGGGGCAGCTGACTCACGTGATAACGCATGCAGGAATTGAAGGCATAGTTGTATACACCTAGGTAACTGCTTCCTCGCATGTGCTAAAGGCCGTTTCTGACAGTTATGCTGTGCTGTTGGTGTAGGACGTAGCCGTGCCAATTATAGATATAGCTAGCTATGTAGCTGGTTCCCACTGGTTCTATTCGTACGAGGGAAGTAACGTACCAATGAAGCGTCGTGTCGGGCTGTATGACGGTGGATTGTATGGCGTGCAGTAGCGCCTGACACGGATCCAGTCGCTGCCAGATCTAGGCCCATTTAGGCCTAGCTAGCGGGTGATGGCGCAACCTGGCGGGTAGCTGGTCGCCTAAACTACTTCCGGCCACCTCGCTTAACCTTACCTTGACTTCTCTCCCGAGCACTTCTTCTGTTCCCACCCCCGCGTCCTCTATATCTTCCATATCTCCCACAAACCACTCTAAACAACCCTCACCACCGATAACCACCCATCACCCCCATCACCACCCATCACCACACACATATTTTGATTACACGCGTCCTGATCCGCCTCACATCCACACCCTCAGCATCGCCTATCTGCATCCAACCTCTTTGCGTTTGTACGATGTAGTCTGTTCGCTGCATCCCCCATGGCAGCCCTGGAGCCACACTTATCCAGCGCCTCGAGGCTTCCGGCCCCTATGCAGATGCTCACTGATGGTGCCCGGCCAACGAATAGCACCGGAACCCAAGCACCATCACCGTTGCCCCGGGAGCCCCTGGCACCATGGGCTACCACTGCGAGTCAACGGCAGTCCACGATCTATCCAGCCATGGACGCGGTTTTCTTCGTCTCCTGTGAGATTAGCAGTTCGTATTAGGGCCATCGACCTGAGATGTAAGGACACGGGTCCTCTTCCTCGGCGTGAGATCGTTCATGCAGATGGCGCATAACTGTGGTGCAAAGTCTCCTTGGACAACCCATCTACACTGCTGCGCACTGTATACAGACCGTCAAGCGTTATCGTGATGCTGTAGCCAGTTCGCCATGACCCCAGCACAATGCAGGGCGTTGCAAAGCTTGGCATCGCATGGGCTTGGGGCCTTGTCTACTCCCATTTTCTACTCCCGGCGCGGCCGCGGCTGGTATTCCCAAACATGGCAACCATGATAGCCATGCTCACCATGGCATGATGCTCCCCTTTGGCACTCAGGTACAACCGCACCTAATGAGTCTCGATATTGCCTACAGCACACTGTTTTACCCGTAATCGATGCATCCATAATCGCTGAGCATTTCAGTCCTCGTCATCTTCTCCCCTTATCTGCTCTCTCGATAAGCTTCTGCTTCCTCCCTGTTATACTCAGTTGGCCTTTCCGAATTCTTGGATGTTCCCGCAAGGAATATGGTTGGCGTCTTCTGTACCTATTGCGGCAAGAGCTTCACCAGAAAAGAGCACCTAGAGAGACACATCCCCAGTCGTAAGTACTTGGTGCCCCAAAACTCTCTTTAGAGATGCTTAACGTTGCGTGTTGTAGATACCAACGTGAAGCCACACCGTTGCACCTCATGCCAATTGTCGTTTGCTAGAAGGTTTGCATTCCATGTGAAAGGCTATGTCGAGGATGGCCCACAGCTAACGTCACCTAGGGACCTTCTTCAGAGACATCAGAGCAGTTACCACGAAATTCACGACACGATGCAGCCCGCCCCAGGAAGAACTCCGCAGCTGACACGACGAACCCCCATTGCCTGTCTTAACTGTGCAAATGCGAAAGCAGGCTGTGACAAGACAGTCCCTTGTACTCGATGCTATGAGAAAAACCTCCCATGTGAGGCTAGGTTCGCACGCCGGATATCGAAGATTGCTGTCCGTACCGCTGGGACCGCCATTACCAAGAGGATATCAGCTCAATCAAACTCAACTGGAAATATGGATGTAGACAGAGATGCTGTCGAGACTTTATATGGCGAGAACAAGTTCGTCCGTTCCGGCAGCGTGGCGCATCCTCATGTACACATCGCTGGCGATAATGACGGCTCTTCATTTCCAGACGGCGGATATCTTGGTGGAGAGGGATTCGAGTCCCTCCCTATCCCGGTAATGGATAGCAACGGATTCATGGACTTCACTGATAATTTCAATAACCCGGCAATCGACTTTCAGGAGTTCCTTTCATGGGGGGAATACCCGATGGGCTTAGAGAATTATAGTGGCGGAGACGTTCCATCGCAGTCGTGTTTAGATGGCTTTGACCTTCCAACTTGCGACCTGAGTGAGGCAACATCATCGAGTTCCTATGCCAGAACCTCGAGATCCTCCCGTGCATCGGTTTCCACATCCCACACCAGGAACACTAGCCACGCTTCTCCGACACCTATGATGTCCCCAACAAAGAGACATGCGTGCATTGATACAAGGATGAAAACACCTTTCATCTCTGAGTTCGAAGCAGTTATCGCTGCGGAGGATGCATGGCCACTTGCGCGGTGTAACCCCCCCATCTTTTCGGATACCTGCCCACGGACCGGTATCGTCCATTTGGAAACCTTGGAGCAGAATTCGCAAAATCCAACCGTCTGGGACTCCCTTATGGACAACCAAGATTTCGCCATGGACCACCCTACCTCAATCGCCATAGTTCCTTTAAATTCGAGTACGAGGGATAAGATCCTAGCGATCACGCAAAGCTTTCTTCATAAAGCCTTGAAAACTCACCGCGGTGGTTTGAACAGCTGGCCAAAGTCAGCCGCACCTCAAAACTCCGGTGGCGGATTTAGTTTCTTGGTACTGCCACCGGCTGGAACCCTGGAATACTTCCTCCAGAATTACGTTCGGACCCTTACCTCGTATTATTCCCTAATACATGGGGGAACCGTCGACCCTAATGAACTAATGCTGAACAACCAGGCATCCACCTTGTTGGTGCTACTGATGATTGCGCAAGGTGCCACCGCGATCCCATCTCCACAGGCACGTCAGTTGACGGCTGGGTTAACCGAAACATGTCGGATATCGCTTTTTGACCTCATTGAAAAGGACGTGGAGTTGTCCGCAGATCCTGTTGTCCTTAGATGTGCTTTGTTGTTCACAATGCTTGCGGCTTGGGGTAAGTCTACCCATCTACCAAGTTTAGTCAGTCACTGGGCTGATACCCATGTATAGGCGGTGATAAATGGCATATGGACATGGCCATGGGTCAGAGGGGAATGTACCTTGCTGTAAGCCTAGGCCTTGATTTCCTTTACCAATCCATTGATAGTGGGCCGAGTCCCCTTTGGTGTCCTTTCTCTGTGCGAGGTGCCTGAATTTGACAATTACTGATCCTAAATAGATGCTCAAACATGCGGGAATGATGGAGCCACAGCCGCCATTTACTCCGGTATTTGATAATTGCTCAAGCAAAGATCTCCAATGGAGGACTTGGGTGAGGAGAGAAACTAGGAATCGGTATGTTTATATGTGTTTAAACTTACATGTGCGGTTGATGTGGTCGCGGCATCTATTTTGCGTTTTCACCGCCATCGGGCATTTTCGCGGGCCAGTCGTACATGCACTTGCTTCAGCGGACAACTCACTAACGCTGCAGCAGCCTCGTCTATAATTGGGTGATGGCCGACCAAGAATTAAGTCTGTTCCACGATACACCCTGCGTTCTCTCGACCACGGAGTTGCAAACACCGATCCCGAGCGACGAGGCCCTGTGGCTTGCCAAAGACGCCGATGAATGGCTTGCCGCTCTATGTGCCTCCCATGATCGTCCTGACAGGAGAACTACCGTGCCGGGCTTGACTCCCCACTTCAGCCCGTCTATCGGTGATCTCTTCCAAGACTTACTCCATGACAACATCCAATCCCATCGGCAATTGACACCACTCCAGCTCAAGCTCCTCCTTCATCCGCTGCACTCCCTCGTCTCGCACCTTGGACACATCATAACTTGCTTTTCAGATGGACCGGGCTCACTTCGCGGAAATCGAACCGTCACGAAGGCATCGACCCTTTCAAGACTTGAAGAAGTTCAGTCCCTACTTCAAAGATGGTACGGCCTCTGCATCTTCCACACAGGCGATGATCCGGTGGCCCCTATTGTCCAGGAAAATCTGGTTCTTTATCACCTCATCAGTCTCAATGCTGTGACTTCATTCCCCGATATTGAGCGTGTGGCACGAAAAGAGCACTTGGGCGAATCCCTTACCCATTCTTCCACCCTCTACAAGCGGTGCATTTATCGCGGAGAAGAGGCGTTGTTCCATTGTGGCCAAGTTCTCCGCTTGATTAACTCAATACCAAAACACCGCCGACCTCATTGGTGGTCTGCTGCAGTCTATCGAGCTACGTTGATAGTGTGGTTATATAGCCTCTCGCAGGCCGCGACCGTGCCACACAGAGTTGGCAACGAAAATTTCTTCGCGATTGATGCTGTAACCCCGGAGCACCCCTCTGTGACATCTTATCTGTGGAACGGGGAGGGGATTCCAGTTCTCAGCCGCAGCGATGGAGGCTTCACTGAGTTGAATCAACCCGGTCAAGTATTGAAGCATTGTTCCCAGCTGCTTACGGAGGGAATCTCAGGCAGGATGCCCGATGGAATCGGCAGGAAGCTTCAAACACTTTACAACAACTGGTGTTTTGACTCGCCAGATGCTTTTACATGAAGTTTTAATGTCTTCGAATTTTCTCAACGCTGCTTTTTATGAATACGTGAGATTCAACAGCTGTGAAGCTGCTATGATGGTGGGATTACGTGATGATTTTTGCTTTTCTATGGAGTAATTCCAATACTTGTTATTAGGATAGGCAGCTCCTGTGAGGTTACACAGCACTCAATAGAGTGTGGAATGGGTAATACTCGTAGATGTAAGGAAACTACGGCAATATTATCTTTGCAACCAAACAACTAGAGTCGTTTGTAACGTATTATTTATGGCAATGCAATAAATGTACACTTTGGTTGAAAGCGTACATGGATCCTTCTCAATTTCAAATACTAGAATATGGTAAACATGACATTGTGGCGAACGGAACTACTCCCAGCTAAGACCACGTCTGAGATGGTTCCGATTTCCACATTATGAAAAACTCCATTTGAAGCGCGAAGGGGGGTTCCACGATAAACTGGAAGTCCCAGTCCCAGCCCGCTGTCCGGATAATCTCCATGCTGCGGAACGGTGTTGCGGTGTTCTGGTATCCTCAGTAGCTGGACCCTGCGGTGCTATCAGTCCGGGACACGGTATTACCAAAGTCTCGGAGTCAACTTTCCGCAGCGTCGAAACTCGGGAGACACAATATGGAGTTACGAGCGTCCTTATGGGATATTCTTGTCTTCCGCTGCACATGTCGGCCTTCCAGCTCGCGCCGCCGCACTTCGCGGACGTCCGATGGTGGGGGTTTGATATGCTACCCGCGGGCATGGAGGCTTGATAGGGCAGGGCAACAAAATAGCTACCCCGTGTAGATGCCTACCTACCATTGAGAACGGGCAGAACGTGATTTCCGTCGCCGTTTTCTCGACGGACCACCGCACTATCAATTTGTCGGCGTAAGATTGAGTTTACGCTCCGAGTCTAATCTCTCAGGTAGACTCCTGAAGATGTCAGGCCGCGGTACTCGTACGCGATGCTACCAGAGATTAAAACAAAATACGGCTCGGCATCGGAGGAGGATATGAATATTAAATATCCAGCCCCTTGGCTTGAAAGTTGAATAAGACTTTCTGACACTCTGCACGGAATACCTCATCTCAATATCCTAGCCAACTACTTCGGTTCAAGGCGGGTACCAGGAAGAAACGATACGATGTCTCCAAGTGCTACAGAAGACTCGGGCGGCAGCACTGTTCCGAATAGCAGCCTATTTCAAGACCCCCGGCCATATGCGGGACGAGTAGCACTTATCACCGGCTCCGGACGGGGTATTGGGCGAGGAATGGCCCTGGAGCTGGCATCCCGAGGTGCCTCAGTGGTGATCAACTACGCCAAGAGCGCGACAAAAGCAGAAGAAGTAGTAAAGGAGATCAACAAGCTAGGCAGCAAGGCAATCGCAATCGGGGCGGATGTCTCCAAGCCAGAGGAGATTGTCCGACTTTTTGACGAAGCAGTGAAGCATTTTGGCCGTCTGGATTTTGTCATCTCCAACTCAGGCGCTGAAGTTTGGCGCCGGGAGGAGGATGTCACCCAAGAGGATTTCGATACCATCTTCAACCTAAACTGCCGCGGTCAATTCTTCGTCGCCCAACAGGGTCTCAAGCATCTAGGCCGTGGTGGCCGTATTATCCTCATGAGTTCCATTGCTGCGAGCATGAGCGGTATCCCAAACCATGCTCTGTATGCGGGAAGCAAGGCAGCTGTTGAAGGTTTCACTCGATCTTTTGCTGTTGATTGCGGTGAGAAGGGTATCACTGTTAATGCCATCGCACCCGGGGGGATCAAGACTGATATGTTTGATGAGAATGCGTGGCACTATGTGCCGAATGGGTTCCCCGAGATGTCAAAGGAGGTCATAGAGGCTGGAATTGCCAAATTCTGTCCCCTGAAGAGAGTGGGCCAGACGTCGGATGTTGCGAAGGCTGTTGCGCTCTTGGTGAGCCCGGATAGCGAATGGATCAATGGTATGTTTTCTGCCCCCTTCATGTCCTTCCTCTCCAGCAATTATTATTTATCCCGGTTGCTGATTCTTGCGTGCTTAGGCCAAGTTATCCGACTGAGTGGCGGCGGTGTCTGATGCTACATCGGTGTGGGCGGAATTTCTGTTCATAGAAACCAACTCTCGCCTCTATGGGGAGCTTTTGCGCGAGTTACGGTGTCTAGGGTGATTTCTAAGTGTAAGATCTAGCTTTGAAGCTTTAAGATAGACGCGGAATATGTCTTTTACCAGACTCCTAAAACAGTCCCATCCTTTGTGGTATTCATCCTTAGCTCCTTATTTGAAGTAATTCCTATTTCTAAATCAATTCTTACCAGTTGGTGATTGTGATATCTGTGAAGCTCCTATCTAGCAAAATGCAGTCCACCCTACTAGAAGGGCAGATGCCACTAATGTTAGAGGAAGGTAAAGAGCGGGATTTTCACAAAAGCTAGCAGTGAGTTTTGCATTAGAACCAATGGATTGGTGAAATATCATCCACGATTCCCTTATGTTAACGATTTATTTCCGTGTATCTGGATGAATGGAACAAGGGGCAATAAGGGAAAGCTAAAGGATATATGAATCTGCAATGGGCGAATTGTATGTCGGTCTTTATTGTTTGGTTTTAAGTTCCCGCTATCTATGTGTACTCGGAATTTCGTCGAGTATCTAAACAATGGAGGGCATGTGGAACCTCATACCCAAATGGGAAGTTGGATATGGAGTTCGGGCAGTTTCGAAGAGGAGGTAGCCGGATTGATTCTTGCCCATGCCATGGAGTAATTGATTACCCGAGATAAAGGACAGTGCATCAAGTCCGTTCTAAGTGGTTTCTTTGGAGTCTGAACTCTTGATGTTTTCGTTCTTCGATTTGGGGTGTTGAGTCCCCTTATTCTTTACCTTTTTCTCTTTTTTGGCAGGTGGCGGATATGCTTTTAGAGCTATCTCCTGCCATTCCGGTGAAGCATGGTAAGCCTCCTGAATAGGTGCCAGCAGCTTGTTGAGAGCGGCTGATACTGCCGACTTCAGGATTTGGGGAGTGACTAACCAACGAGAGTTAGGATAGGTATTCGTGAGGAGAGTAGCGGGCGAACTTACGAATATCATTCTTGTAGTCCTCGTGCAGTTTATCGACGCTTGTGTAGATCAAAGGTTCCAAACCATCCCTATCACGGTCGACACGGAACTCTCGGCTTCCACTCAAGTCTGCGGCTGGAAGCAAAACAAACTCGACAAGGGCGATAACACCGTTATCTTCGATAATTCTCGGAGCTGCTGTTGCCTTTTTGATCTTTCGATTGACGACTTCTGGAGGGTCGAGAAGATCGATCTTGCTGTCTAGGCCGAATCAGTACAGCTACAAGATGATCGTTGCGAGGAGACGTTGCGAGGAGAGTTTACCTGGATCACTGGCGCTCATTTTGCCACCATTTACGCCTGGAACCATGCCATTCATGAGATGTGCTCGCTAGGCAAGAGTTAGCTCTAAGGGACGCTCGAAATCTAGATTTAGCGATAGTGGTAACATACTTGTCTATATCCTAACTTCGGCAACCATTCTTTCGCGGCGATGAACAACTTCCGCTGATCAAGTCCTATTTGAATGAGATACTAGTCTGGAAGATATGGATCGTGTAATAAAGCTTACCACCGAACTGCGCGTCGACGTCCAAGTACTGTTCGTCAAGCACTTGGAGAACAGGATAAAGAAGACTACTCAAAGGTGCGCTGTCCGATTGCTTGACTATTTCGGCCCCGGCTTTCTTGGCTTCATGTTCGGAGATGCAAGAGCTAAGCTTATACACGTCCATCACATACTCAGCTGTCTTTTGGTACGAACTTCCCTGAACCATGGTTAAGTTTTTGAGATGTGTTGAGACACCAACAGCACTAAGAAGCGCGGAGATGGTCAACCGATAGTACTCAACCCGATGCTCCACGAGCTCCATTGGTGCTTTGAGATTGTCAAGAAAGCCATGGATGTCTGCAAGAAGAACGACGACATCACATCCAGCCGCCAGGAATTGAGCGATCTTGATTGCCGGTACCCTAGGATATGCTGTTAGCCGCGAGTAACGAAGGCAATAGACAGATAGACAGCGACTCACAGATATGCGCAGTGAGGCTTTCCGGTCGTTGCAGTCCCCTACGAAAAAGATTGTCAGTACATTTCAGACGGTGTAGGAAGGTATAGGTGGCCATTTGTGGGAGTATGAACTCACCCAGTAGATCTTCGGATTGCGGCCCTCGGCCAAAGGTTGCTCGATCAACTCTGGATTCAGCACCTCAACGAGATTCTCGTTGATAAGCGCAAGCCTCTCTTTCAGTTCCATTTTGGGCTACTGAGCAGCAGTGCAGCAGCCTCTATGTTTCTATTGTGTGCTCAAGCTGGTTGCTGTTTCGTGTATTTTGAGTCACAGGATCACTAAAAACAACGAATATACCTAGGTACCTAGGTAGGTTAGCGTACACGTGCCGGTTGTGGAGGGCTGTGGCAATGCAAACTTTGGATTTCGTTATTAGCCACGCAAGCCTGCACTACGACTACGCCTAAAAGCGAAAAATAAAGATGATTTTTGGTGTGTCGGTTAATTTGGCTCCGCACTGGAAAGTAATAAAAACAAAAAAAAAAAAGAATTGAACAGAGTGGGACTCGCACCCACGCCACATTACGTGACCAGGAATATGTAGTTAAGATATACTTTGGCCTGGCGCCATAACCATCTCGGCCATCTGTCCGGTTTTTGAGATACAAAAACTTCAATCACCTATCATCCTGTAGTTCATGAAAGACACGCTAAGAGAGGCCCTACCGGCTACGATGTGCTGACTCATCGGGCGTTGATCTTGTGTGAAGCGAGCAGCGGGAAGTAGTTTGTCGCAGACTACATCGTCAGGGCCAACGATTAGTAGTATTCCACTGAATGCCTCTGTGGCTCGAAATGTGCCGTCTCGAAAGCCGGACAGGTGGTGTTTGAAGAAGCTGCCTTGGCTAGGAATTTTGATGTGCTATGCTATGTTCTCGTGCGGAACCCGAACCTCGTCGCGGGGAAATCATGAGTATTGCGCCACACTCAGTAGGACAATGTTGCTGCATTTTAACTATGACTGCCTTGACTATTATGGAGGCCCAGTCGGTCTAGCAGCGATGAAGGAAAAGCTGCCTCTGATTCCCGTTCGCCTTAATGAGGGCCAGAATATAGAAGAGAGCAATTTTATTGGGCTACTTGGTTCGCCATTTACGAACCGAACCGGGGCAGGTCACGAAGTAATGTGATTGCTCGTTAGCCGGGGGGCGCCTATCAAGGGTGATATATGGTGCTCGTACCAAGTACTATTGTTAAGACCAGAATTCCTAAGCACCTAGGATTTTGAGATTCACTAGCTGCGCGTATCTTGCTGAGTTTCTGTCCTAGCTTGCCTCCGCTACACTACTTTCGCTTTTATTCGGATATCACAAAAAGCGAAATGCAATTTCACTTGAAGAATCTCGCGTGGGCTTTTGTAGAGATGACTAAAAGCGATGCCTACCTAGGTACCTGCTCGTGAAGGATGTCAGAATACTGATTAGTGTTGCTGAACCAGGCTTGGCGTAAGCACATCCTCTATACTGGTAACCTCCCACAGCGCCCATACACTTGTTATTAGATTAAACGTCCTGATATATACTTCGGGTTACCACTTACGGGTTATGAGCCCGGAGACGATCAACCTACTTAATACAACTCCAACTCTACTCTTATCGTAACTTACGATTACCCCGCTCGAACTTGTCGAACAAATCCATCTCAGGCCCTATTTCCAACTCACTCACCCACGTTACTCTCAAGTGGGGTGTAATCCCCCTGTTTGATGGGAGTAAGTACGCTCTTTGGCACAGGCAGTGTATCTCAGCCTTTGCATCCCTGCCCTGGAGATTATCAGAGGTCGTGGTGGAAGGAACGGAGGCAGAGGTAACACTGGTGGCCGTCTGCCTGATTCCAATTCTCACATAAACCTTGGTGGCCAGCTTAAGATACCTATAGCTACTTCCTTGTTACTACCTCCAATCCAAGGGGCTGCTAAGGGGAGAAACCGAATTTTGATTATACATAAGGTTAAGTAAGTAAGGCTCCTTGGAAAACGCTCTCGCTCAAGAATCAATACTAATATAATAGACCTTTGAGCAAATCCGGTTCCATATCGATAGGCTTATTCGCATACCGGTAGCCGACGAGTTATAGAAGTCTTATTACGTTCAAATAGAGCTATAATTTTCCGATTGGGATCAAATACAATCAGCCCCTGGAGTATACGTTACTAAGAAAACCCGCAATAGTAGTCTTTACGAAGTTACTATTTATAGGCCATATTTCCGTAGCTTATTAGTTACGAGTTTAAGTTTGAGCTTGGCCTTTATTACGACTGTACGGAGCTAGAATATGTGAATATGAAGATCTGATGACAAGGATCAATGCCGCCGGTGCCTCAAGCGTGGCCACTTTGAAAAAGACTGCCGGTTGAAAAGTGCCTGCCAGGCTAGGTACCAATCCTTAACATTTATAAATAAGTCCAGGGAGACAAAGTTACAGATCTTTAGAGTCTGTTCATATAGCTCACACCTATTCTGATAGCTTAATGGATTAGGGGTCTCTATATTACGTATACGACCAGGACTCTGCTCTGCAAATAATAATCCCCAGTGTATTATTTACTCGGGAGCCTCTAGGCACATAGTTAGAGTCAAGACAGACTTTGATCAACTCAAGCGCTGGCGTACTCCGAAGATAGAGCGCGACTAGAATACGCGACGGTAAAACACTCTTCCAAGCCGTCGTCGGGCCTTTACAAAGTGGCTCCACAACCTAGAGCGCTTGCTGTCAAATTCACGAACCCATCGTGGAACTTTCAAAATTAAAGATGTGTAAGGACTACAATATCTGTGCGCTATCAATGGTTGCTAAAAGAAGATCAGGATGGGAGGTTCCTGCTTCAACTCTGGAAACCAAAACGCTTTAACTCGAAACCAAACGGTCGACGGATCTACCGAGTTAACCCAGACACGGCGAATGAGCCGCGCATTATGTGGTCAATAGGGGACGAGAAATGCCACAAATACCAAAGGGTACAAGCCAAGGGGCACAGCTTCAATGTATGAGTAGGGGCCTAGTTGAGTTGGGAATCTGTGTCGAAGGTGAGGAGGCCAGAACACAGCTAGCATGAATTTCGGGTTCAATAAAGACTCCATTTCTTTCGAATACGTTTTGCAAAAGGCGCTGTATTAGAGAATGGGGGTTTGCTCTGTGGCATGAGTGTCTCCCTCCTTGAAATCATATCATATCCAGTCATCAGCCTTAAGTAGGCGGTAAGGATAGCGGGCGGTCTCTAAAGCAAACTGCCTTCAGAATTTCTGTCTGCCTTGCAGCCTCTTTCCCCATTTACCGAACAGTGTCTATATAATTTCATTTAAGCCGTTTTCCCAATAAGTGAACAAGCTGAGGCCGGCCCATGGCTCAGCGGTAGTGTCTCAACACAACCATCAGTTCCACTGCTAGGCAGGTTCGTGTCCTACCCCGCCCCCCGAAAGGTAGCTGAGCTGAACGTAGGGTAACACCGAAATTCATCAGTTACTACTAGGGGAAGTGGGAGAGAGTCGTTAATTCGGCAAAGAACGATGGTAGAAGGCGAGAGCAGCGTCTGTGACCACATGAGGACCGGATAGGGGGAAAAGATCATTTTTTTTTTATTTCTTTCGCGTATAATATATTACTTGTTCTTTTTCTTTTGGCGCTTTAGCGGTTTGTTTACCACTTGACCCGAATTCGGAAGCGCGCCCTCCGTAGCCCGGAATTTCACAAGGCAGTAGAAATAGGTGAGATAGAGAGATTTCGGGCGATTAGACGATGAATGGGGAGAAGGATTTCTTGTTAACAAGTCGTTCAACCTCAAGTACGCCATCCATAGCAGCTGGAAGCCACCCGCGATCCAGGCAGACAACTGATGAAACTTACAAGCGACGACGACCTGGTTGGTGTTGTGAATATCCTGATTAACTAAAGAAAGGAACCTAATACAAAACGCCCTCAGCGCAATGCCCACACCACCCACAATCCTTATCGCACAGCGCCCAGTCCTGATTTTCGGCCAGGTTCATCATTTGCCCTGTATTCGCATTAAATTGCAAGCTCGAGTTACCAACTCGGTCATTCTTCAGTCTATTCCCCCTGCTTCTCTTCTTCTTTTCCTTCTTCGTTCCCTCGGCAATAAAAACTTTCTTCTCTCCTGCCGTTACCTGCTCAGAAATGGGCAAATTCGAATTCTGGGCCAAGAATGTCGTCGGCCCGCCGCCTATAAAAGGGATGAACTTGGTGCACTTAGCAGAGCTCGCTGCTTATTCAATCAGTACACCTTACGCCATGATCCGGTTCCTGATCTTGTAGCGATAGTCTTTGCACTATTTCGTGCAGATGCAGCATTCGTTCTGGTACTTGTGGTGCATCAGTATGACATGGGGAATCGTGTTGATGCTGGACCATTGCGTTATTGGTCTTGAAGCGCTTATTGCAGGTGCAGAGTATGGGCTTTGGCGCCATGGCTCTTTGACTCTTTCAATAAAGGGGGATTGTTAGCTATTTTTCAAAACAGGTCTTGCGAGGTTTGAGCAATAGGTGTGTGCTTTCGAAGTTGTGCTTCGACAGTTGATGCTATTACAAAGGCGGGGTTTCTTGTCCCAGACCACTCACTTGCCTTGTAATTTTAGTTATGTAATCATTTGCCAAGCCTGTGGCTGTTCTAGGCTGTGGCTGGCGCATGGCTAAAGTCCTCGGCGCACGGGACTGGGCTTGGGGTTCTGTAGTGTCGAGGATTTCTCACACTAAATCCACACCATCTTCATCTTCAAATCACCAATGTAATCCAATCGTCTCGTCTTCGTTAACACCTCCTACCGTACGGCCAAATTTTATAATAACAACAATGATCTACAATAATTATGTCGCCTTTTGATGCGATGGAATTATTGGTTACTCTGTGATATGATTTATATGTTTGTTTTGTAGATTATTCGACGTTGACGAGGTCGGATGTAGCAATCACGACTTCTAAACATGAAATTGATATCACATACTGGCGTGTCCTAGTTGCCAGGACACCATTAACGCGCTTATCGAGGGTGCTGCAAAAAAGGGTTTGAGTAATTTAATGCAAATCACGCCATGCAGCTTGCCCAAAACTATATACTAATCCGGGTGCTCATTTTTTTACAGGTAAGTTGATTATAAAACCAACACTTGCAACACATAGGGCTATAGACTTCGAGCATTTAGAGTAGCGCACGTAGCCGGGTTTCTATCGCGACTAGCCTTGAATGCAGGTACTTCCAGTTGCAATAAGATTCAGCCATGCCGCGAGCCTAGGTAAAATTAGCCACAACTGCGATATTCACTTCACGCCACGTACCTATATCCCGCCTTTGCAATTTGCAACTGGATAATCGGAAGTGCCTCCGCATAATAATCCCCTGAGAGATCCACATTTTCCGTCTCAGTAGATCCATTTGGCATCACAGAACTACAAACATAAGAATTGGAGTCTGTAGCCCAAATCATGCTCGAGGTAACTGCATCGGATATGTCCATGCCTGCAAGCCAACTCTTTGCCGAAGACTTGTATGAGCCGGATTTAATTGCTGTGCTTAGAGTAGTAGCCCATGTTTGAGCGCCTTCCAGGCTTGCTTTCCCAGCGTACTTTTCAGGTATGCTGGTATCCCACTTTGTACAAATCAGTGGTTGGAATTGGAAACTTCAAAGGGGGTGAACGGACCACTGCATGGAGGTTGGTGGGTTTCCCGTCAAATGTTACCGGGATATCATTGCCCCCAACTGCTAGATTTTCGTCGTGGAGAGGTTGATGGATGTCCCCGATAAACTAAATACATTAATTAATAATCAATAATTTATGGAATTAGTGTTGAATCAACAATTGTGATACCTGGAGACCTCATCCGTTCAAATTTCAAATGAGTGACAACCCAAATGCAACGAAGAATCGAAATGAATGGGTAGCAGGATAAATCAAGTGCATGCACAAGCTCAGCAAAATTCTCAGCTTACATGAACAAGCATCTATATTTGTTAGCTAGAGCAATCCAACCTGCAATTTAGCTTAGCTTACCTTCGCAGCCAGTGTTACATCTGCAGAACTCAAGGTACTGCTTTGTACACGTTCCGTCTATGGACAATGTCAGATTCGATAGCAGAATTACAATTTCAACACTTACATAGTTGTTGATAGCACTCACGATGCAGCCTTCGCTTCCACAGTCGCGTGAGTAGTCCACGCCGCAGCTTGCCGGAGGATTGTCGTTTGCATCGATATAATGAAATGGTTTAGAGTAACCGCCCTCGTCGGTATAGCGATATGAATCGGCCTGGAAACCATTATTAGTTCTCACTGGCAGCCTAACAGGGGGTATTTCTAAGCGGGATGTACATAAGTAGCAACTGATGCTAGGTAATCGGCGCTCGTGTCGTTGAGGATACCCTGGAATTTTGCCTGGGTAGCGTTCGTGACTACGTAGTATGCATTAGCTGAGAAACGGAGAATTAAGTTTCAAGGTCAGTAACCAAAGTTCGACGCAATATATGCCACTGTATAATGGCCAAGACTGCCCCAGCAAAATACGGAGGGGAGAAACGAAGCAGAAACCACAATAAACGTCGAAATATGCATTTTCATTTTTGCAGATGGACGGATGCGACCCAAAGCTGTAAGAACACGAAAAGTAAATCAATTGAAGGGTAAATAGGAATTTATATATCTAGGGTTGATGTGGGGATGTAATGTTTGTGGATGGTTCACCGAGGCGAGTCTGCAGACATCGCCCAGGAACACGGGCACAATGCGCCGTTTTTGGAAGGTCCATAAGATAGAACCCCAGGTGGATAGATAACGCAAGGTTATGCATATCTGCAGAGGCGCTGCAGGAGCCTACACTCACTGCCGATCGAAATCAAGCTTTTTTTTAATTTCGATATGCTGGCACATGGGCGTTATGAGTGGTTCACGCTTCACTGGGTAATCGCCATGTGTTTTCCGACCTTCCTATTTTCAACATCCACCGTCCCGACCTTAGATATAGCCGATTTCTACACTTATACGCTGCACAGCGCATAGCGGGCTAGAATGGGCCAAGGATTGGCATCGCGCATTGGCTTCGATGATAATCAAGGTTAAGTAAAATATAATATCACAAGAGTAAGATGAACTGGGGAGGTATGTTTGATTAACATCTTTAACATTAATGGCAACGTCAAGCTGAGGATTTCTAATTTGACCTCTACTCTTCAGTTGGGCCTATGATATGCATATCCATTAAACGCCATCTCCTGCAAGAACAGTCCTTCCCGTATACCTTCACTGCAGTTGATTCTTGTATGTTGGCTTCAAAGGAGGGTTTGCATTTACCACCAACATCTGCGTATACTCATCCCACCATTTCCCTGCATTCGGTGCGGGGGTTCCAGCAACATCTGCGCCACAAGGGCCGTCACTCTCTCCACCTGGTTTAGCCCAGACAATGCTGTCAACCACAGTACTGTTCGTTTCGGTGGTAGGAATTATCCCGTACCCAGCTTCGGCATTGCACCAATCGCCCCACTCGGTGCGAGTGTTTTGCTTCCCGGCGCGTCCTTGGTCAATGATGAAGTGTGCTGGGAGGGAGTTGTTGGTCAAGTGGGGGGCAAGTGCCTCAGCGTAGTGCAGCTCATCAAAGGCATTGCTGTATTCGGTATAGTTGGCACGCGGGTTGGCAACATATGGGTTGAAGTTTGACACGTTGGTGGCGAAGCCCCGGATTTTGGCGCGCTTGGTGATATTCTGCGCCATCTTAACTACCTTGCCGAATTCAGCGGCGGCTAGAAAATGTTGTTAGCAATTATTGTATTCGTAAGTGAAGGGCTCATCATACCAAGAGGCAAGTTGTCATCCCATCCCAGCCATCCGCCATGAGCAGCATCAATGTAGAGCGCGATATTTGGGGCTTGGAGATTCGCAATCGCATACGCAATTCCTTGCTCATAGATGGTGCTAGCGTTTGCACAGAATGGGAGATTCTGATTTGTGATCACATTGCCCAAACTATCTGGCTCCAAAATAACGGCGAATGTCAAGTCCTTCGCAGCTTTCAACTCGGCAGCGTAAGGATCCACAAATTTGGTCTTGTAAAGCTCGAGGCCATTGTTGATAGATGTGAACTCTCCTCCCGATGCACCACCGGAGCAATCTCTGTCAGGCAGATTGTACAGAACCAACTCGACAATTTGCGGCCGCCGGGTCCTTCGCTGCTCTGCTCGAGCGTCGGCGATGGTCTCGCCGATGTTTTTCAGGCCCGCCACATTAGAAACCCAGACGAAGGTGCCGGTCTTTTGGACTGTGCGTGTTCGTGCTGCATTCAAAGTATCGTTTCGGGCCAAGAATGCTGCGACAGTCTGGTCGAGCTCGCTGGCGTAGAACGCGTTTGCGAAATAGTTCTTCCCACGGAAGGGATTCACATCTCTGGCATCTGCGGAATCCGCAACGGCCTCCAAAGGTAGAGCTGAGCTGACGCTAGCCACGGAAACTGCTGCAAGGACAGATGAGAGCTTCATGATGAGAAGGAGATATGCTGAATATTGGAGGCTGGAGGAGAAAATGCAGAGTACAGTGCGGGGGTCAAGGCCATTTATACTCTTGAAGCTCAGAGAGAATGTCTGGAGCCTTGGAGTAATCGGCGCCAATCCCATCAAACGGGTGACCATGCCCGAAATCCCGCCCCATTCTGTCTGTGAATACTAGTTGGAGAGAAGAGGCTGAAAGATAATGGACATTGATATCTCGGATAAATCTCAAATCAACACATAAATGGCCCAAATGGACCGCAATGACGCGATCTCCATGGTTCCGGAGGGAGAAGAAAGAGGGAAGGCCAACTTGGCAAGCATAAGCAAAACAGCTCCATCATAACGTCCTACAGAGTAGACGAGGGAGAATGAAGGAACATTGAAGGTCCGGCGAAACGGAGTCGCGATTCCGTTGTGTTTAGGCACTGGCCGGCTTCCGCCCCATCGCAACTTCGGATGCAGGTACTCCATCATCTCAGATTGGCGAGAAGCGTGGAGCCGACGGCCGTACATCGTGCCAAGGTACTTTCCAAGGCGATTTGTTTTGAAGTGCAATGTAATAATGGGAACTCTACGATTCGATAAAAAGAGATCGGCATGATGTTCTTTGATCGGGTGAATGCTCGCAAGGCAGCGATAGGGCGAGTGGGCCGCTTGGCCGCCTCCTGGCGCGGGGTTTGCGGAGGACTTCTAGTGGTGCTTTCACGCAGAAGTTAATGTTTATTATACCAAGAGCCTCATCCCTAGGACGAGAGAAGTTGACCGATCCTTAGTAATATGCTGTAGAATATTTCGAGCTACTTACCTAACTTGAAATAAGCCATGTGAGATAAATGACACGTCTGTAGGAAGCACACCTCTTAAAAATATATTTAAATTAGAAAGTCTATACTTAAAACGAACATCCATTCAAGCCGCTCGAATGCCTCGACGTTAATAATGGAGAGCATCTGTGTGCAATAGATGACACTACTACCTATACTGAGGCTACACCCTCGTTGCGCTTCGAGTGCGCGCAATAGAGTATCAAGTATACTCGAAAGACGTCGCATTCATCAGCCTACTGTCTTATAAGTTCACTGGGCACTTACGAGGCATTATTGCAATGATGGAAGGCACTCGTGAGATACCCTCCCACAACCCATGCCTTGGGTTACCAACCCGTCACATCCCAAGTCAACTTTTGGATAACCAGTCACGAAATCTCCTTCCTGATTCTCTGACACGTGTCAATCAGATTCGACAGCGGTTTGATGAGGTTGCGCAAAGCACGGATGAGCGACATGAGAGTTGCCAGCCGAAAAGACACCGAGCATACAGAAGCACGAGATGGAGCTCGTGCACCAGGTCCCCAAACGACATGCTACATTGCAGCGCTCCAACTCGTGAAAATAAAGCTCGTAGGCCGTTAAACCATGGATCGTCCGCTGAGCAGCTGCTAGGGCGCTGCATATTCATCGGCAGTGAAGAACAGGGAGTGTTCTTGATTCTTCTTGCTGCCTAGGATTGATGGCGCATGAACCATCCTGGGTTGGATGACTGAGTTAGTTGATCCTGATGAAGGATCTTGTTGCTGCAAAGCTTGTTTGAGAGTCCGCATCCTGCGGTGCCCCCAAAGATGTTACTTCTCTGTTCCTAAATTTTTAATACTACTCGAGTACTCCGAAACATATAATCAGTCAATTATGGGCCGCTTTGTTGCTTGGAGAAGCTGGTGGACACCAACCCCATACTCCAGACTTGGATCCAGCGAGGCGGGTGAGGCGAGTGAGGGGATCATAGCCGGAACCCGGACGAAGTACGGAGTAAGTGTGGGCGCAATTTCGGAAGGATGCCGGATATGCACCACCATGTCCTTAGAACTTGTAAGCCCTTCCGCATCGTGGAGGTGAAACTCATCGTAGTGCATCCTTCTTGCGCCTCACCTTGGCATAAACCGTCCGACCAGCCCAAGTAGATCGGCTCCTTTGCGGTTGCCAATATCGAGATGCCCATCAGTAGAGGAGTCTTCATTCCACCCCAAAATCATTTTGTTTCTAAGTCGTGGTTAACATACAAAAATAAAAACCGCACGTTGACCATGTCGACTGCTCCAATATAAAAACTTGCATATGAGCAGGCCTGTTTAGATAAAATCGGACAAGGATGGCGAAAGCTGTTTGGGTATGGAATATGTTATTTTAAACCGCTCCGCAATGCTTTTTGGGATTGCTTTGCCTCGAAGAACAAAACAAATCCCATGCAGGAGACCTTGCTAGCGGTTCCTTCAAATGTTGGAGGACATGTAAAGTTTATTGGACACAAGCCAGTCCTTAATGCCTCATATTTCTCTCCTGGAATACGTAGCGCACAACGGCGGGCAGCTTGGTCACTTGGTGTTATTAAAAACTCTGCCGTCTCTGCTTATCATCATAGGATCGGGGTCCCCGCTCATCTTCAATCAAGCGAATTCAAGCCTCTACTCCCCAGCGGAGGAGAATAATGCCTTGCGCTACTGGTGCAGTAGAAGCTTTCCGCTATAACCGCGTAGTCGGTATGGATTGGTATCAAGGGGCGGGAGCGTTGTCGGGATAGCCCTAACAAACTGGCCTGGCTGGAACACGAAAACGAAGCTCGATCTGATTGAAAGCGGGGGATTTCGGGTCCAAAACTTCAAAATCAGAACTGTTTGTTCCGGCATTTAACAACATGACGATCTATAGGAAGAAGTTGAGTGGGGGTTGGCGGCATGTACGCTTATTGGTGCATATGTTTTACTTTTGCACGCTCACCTGAGCGACACTGACAATGTCGTACGAGCATGCGCAACGAGACTTCCGGTATGCAAAACTATTTGCTAGTTGGGTTATCAGAGGGATGGCTATATAGGCGTCAACCCTGAGTTAAGGGATTTAAGTCAGCCCCACCTACTTGTACGCCCAAACGGAGTTGGGCTTTTTTAATTCCCGACGGTGCAACAATGCTAGCAGTCTCACGAGACTGCTGCACGGTCTGGTCTCGTGCGTCCGGAGTACTTCTCGGTCGAACTCTCTGGCGGTCTGGCTCACAATTGCAGACTGCTCCAATCTTCCACGGGAACCTGTCGACGGTCTATACAGAGTCCTTCATACTCGCAGGTAGCTAGATCCATACCCTCCCAGTGCCATTTTCCGCTCGAGGCAGAGGCAGACAGGCCCATCCCACTCTGCTGGGAACAAAGATGGTCGGCTTGTGAACCGTGCAAGCCCTTAGGGCCGGCCTTCACCCGCCCTTCTTCCCTTGGCTTTGTGCTGTCTCGGTGCCGATATACCGTACTAGCAGACGTATTGGAGGCCTGGGAGTATCGGTGGTGGCAGTGAGAGCCTGGGACAAGGAGGAGACTTGGAACTGAGGACCATAATCAAGATTGAGACGTGGAATAGCGTATTCTGTACGACGGGCGGTGCCAGCACGGTGTCTGTAGGGGCACATATGCCACCGCCACTATCGCGATACGCTGGCAGTGATACACGGGGATCGAGGGTGCAACGGCATTGCGTATGGAGAAACAGCAAAACTGGCGGCAAGGCAAGCCGCCCCCGTGGGACCGACCGCCTGTGTAGCACAAGCAATTGTAACGGAAAGCCGCCGTCCACTTGGCCTGACAATGTTTTTCTGGCTGCCGGCCGGTTGTCCGTCGTGGTACGAAGTATCCTAGGAGGGAGCTGGGTCGCGTGAGACGTGGGGTTCCTCTGGCCCATCCAACGGCTTGGGATTCAATTCCAGCTCTAGCTCCATGCTCGTACCGTAGTCCTGGACCTTTGCAATGCAATAATGGAGTGTGCCCGTTCGAGGAGGAGGCTATGAGCCCTTCATCTCGGTCTCCGTCTCCAGCTGGTGGGTATAGCACGGTGGAGTATGGACCGACCCAGTGGAGAAGACTCTGGCTGTGCCACTGGGGGAGAGACAGAGGCAGAGTGAGAGTGGGAGACGGCGAGAGAAAAGAACCAATCCCCCAGCCGGAATCATTCCATCCCCCGTAAGCACGTAAGGCCCTGAAAGCTTGGAATTCCAGTGCGAATCAATAATATCCCGTCTGCGTCTTCGTCGTCGTCCAGACTCGTCGTCGGCGTGTTTCTCGTTCCTTTTTCTCCCTTCATCTTCACGCCCGCGCTCCCTCTGCTCGTCGCTCTGGACCAGGCAGCAACACCAGTCGAGCCCAACTTGCAACAGGACAGTCTGCTTCGCACACTGTGAAGCACCAAGTAGTGGCCAGCTGCCAGCACTTCCCCCTGGCCGGAGCCAACCAAGAAACCGGGCACAAGGCTGTCGTCGGGTCACACTCACACCGCCCCCTTCACGCTACTCTTTAGAGTCTTAACGCCCACTCTCCCAGCGACGAATTGACAACGCACTCTCGGTGTTTTGGAAAACCGTCCAGCAGTCCAACACAACGCGGGATCAAATATAAGTAACCGGGGAGAATTGGCTGTGTAGAATGCGGGAAAACCATCCGTTCAAACTCCCGAGGCATAACAAAAGATCCGGTTCAGTGCACTAGTATTTACGTCGACAATCTCGAAATCTCGTCTATGGCTGATGCAAAGAAGATGGTGGGGTTACCAAGGAGCGACGACTCAAACACATAGCAACATATCACCGGCAGCCGTACTCGCCTGGCCGGGAAGGAGGAGCTGGAACTGGACAGGATCACGCTGCCCAAAGTCTTAAAACAATTAAATTTCGGGGGAAAAAATGGCGCCGTTTCTTCCATTCGCTATGGGCGAAGACCAGCCTCAAATTCAGCTCCATATCGAGGCACGGAGCCTAGGAAATACGACCAACTCCTCGCTTCAATTGACTAACGCGGAGGGAACTATTCTGCAAACCCTCGCCTTGGTATTTGCAGCACTCAGCGTGGCATCATCTATACTTGCGTTCTACTGGTTTGTTAAAATGCGCAGGAGTTTCCGGCACGAGTAAGTGGATTGCACCGTGGGATCATTGAATGATGGATATTAATATTGAATAGTCTCATTATGCTACTGATCCAGAGCGACATGTTCAAGGCTCTCTGGTTTATGATATATCCGATCGTGGCCTTCTCGCAGTCGTCCCTGTCGTCGAACCCAACCTTCTGCCTAGTAAATGGATTTCTCGTTTCTCTAGGCATTGAAGCATCAGGTTGGTTTTCGGTCGCAGCCTTGTTGACCTGAGCTAATTACCTATCGTGCAGATTTTGCAGTTCTTCAAATCGCTATCCATACCGCTTTATATATATTCAAACCTGGGAAAGCCACTGGTGAGGGGGGTCTTTATCCTTACCGCTACATCTCATACGTCCTCTGGATCGTGTTCCCTCTCCTGATGGCTTCCCTCGCCTTCGTCAACGGCAACCGTGCATACATTACGGAAGGCACCTACTGCTATCTTCCCATACGGCCATTTTGGTATCAGCTTGCTCTAAGCTGGATTCCTCGCTATATCATTTTCATTGTTATCTTCGTTATATATGTATCGATATATTACTACGTCCGAAACAAATTCCAAGGCTTCGACAAAGCAGCTCGAGAGGAGCCGATTGAGAACCGCCACTCACTTGATTCTGTCAAAGGCAAACTGAAACCTCCAAAACGAAGTAGCCTTCCGCCAACGCCACCACTCTTCTGCCACGGATTAATACCAGAGTCAGTAAACGAATCCAGATATGGAAATGGAGGTCGGGATTTAGTTACCACCACTGATGCACACCGCTTCATGTGGGTAAGTTTTATTTCGAAGGACAATCCCCATCCGCCGGCTTTTTCATCTGAACTCGTCAACTCGTATGCCGACCCATTTCGAGATCCTCCTCAACCATCCATGTTGACCCCGGCCAAACACTCCTCGACCATGCCAGCATCTTCGCCATTTAATTCTTCTGCACGTTCATCCTTAGCCGCACCCACGCCTTCCCGAGCCCCCTCCTCGCGAGACAATGTTCTTCGACGCTCTACACTGGACGCCAGCGGCTCCCCTTTGACTCCCGATGCATCTTCAATTCATGGTAATTCAGGGTCTAGCGACACTTCTACCCCTGGATCACAATTGCAGCTCTTCAACTCCCGAGGTCAGAATCTCATCGACCTAGAGATGCTTCATACTCGCGACAAGATTCGCCGGCAACTGCGTTTCTTATTTATCTATCCCTTAGTGTATATGTTGATGTGGATCATTCCCTTTGTGTCCCATGTCCTACAATACGACGACCGATTTGCAACAAACCACCCCTTTGCTTTAATATGCGCCAACACCATCTTCATCTGTTCACAAGCCGCAGTCGATTGCTGGCTGTTCTCGACCCGTGAGAAACCATGGAGGCATATCCCCGGCACTGATGGGAGCTTCTGGGGCAGTCTCAAATTCTGGTCCGGCTGGAAGGGTGTCGGGAAAAGGCGAAGCGTCCACCACGGACCAGGACGGACGCGAGAGGAGATGGTTAGGGAGGCAAGACAGGCATACCAGCGAAGAGACGAGGAGCTGGCTGAGAGAAAGGTCACAGCGGTTTCGCGCTCCAATAGCATTACACGGAAAACCGACAAAGATTGGTGGGATGCCGCCAAAGCAGGTGGCTTAGACGACCTGGGAGGCATGAGCCCCGTCGCAGAGGAGATTTCGAATCCGATGGATGCCGTTCAGATATCCGAAAATAGCTCTGGTGGCGAAAATGGTGAAACGGGACTCGAACCAGAAGCCGGAACTCGAAAAACTCGTCATCCTTCGGTGGCATCCTCGTCATCCTCACCGAACGATGTTTTATCACGTACACACGAAACATAAATATTTATGGGCATGAGTCGGGCTGCGTAAGAGGGTTTGGTTTTGGCGACATCTGGCATTGGCATTGGAATTGGCGTTTTTCACTCGGTGCATACACCGCATACGGCATACGGCGTATTGGATAGGTAGGCATTTGCATTTGTTTTGGCTCCGCTGCGTCTACGGACCCGGATTGCATGCGTACAACGGCGTTACCACATTGATTTCGATTTAATATATCCGGGGGAACGAACTTTGGTGTTCTAGATATCATAGTCCTAACTAAGATGGTGCATATATATTTTCTAGCTTCTAGAATTGTAGATACCTACAGTAGATAGCCATATATCGACTTTATACATAGTTAATTTGATTTGAAATTACTTCTACGCCGTACAAACCCTCGAGGTTGAATTAACAAGCTTTTCGTTAACTCTTGGACAACAAACTTGACATTCCTCGCCGCTAATCCTTCGCCCATTTCATTGGCGTCAACACGAAATTTGTAGTTATTTCGGGCTCAATACCTGCGCCGCTGACGCACGCGCTCTGCACGTGTGTACGCTCGCGCTCGTACCCCCGATCTACGAAACGGCTCGGAGGATTATTTCTTACAAGCTTACCTGGGCATGTACAGCACTCTTATCTCCGCTCGCTTAGGCCCCTTTTCTATGCTGGTGGAATTCCCCAAAGTGGGTTAACGGGATTGGAAATGGCGGGATATGGCACTGCGGGATATTTGTTGGGGTGATTGGATATGGATAGACTCGGAAAATATTTAAATGCTGTATATGGAAGGTGAGTTTGGGTGGTGGGTTGGGTGTTGGGTGTTGAATTGGACGATCCGGGAATGGATTTGGCTGGGAGTTATCATTGAGGTATCATGTATGGTATTTGCTGATAGTTGTATCATCGCACCCAGAAGGGGTTCTTATGATATTTCTGCAGAGACCTTTATATTTTGGACTCACTATCTGTACCCAATAACCTGAATGTATCCATGCACAATTATGCATCAGCCGACTTTTCCTTCTCGGCCTTTTTATATCTCAAAAACCGGTCAAGGTTAATAACCGCCTCATCAATCCTCGCTCTGAGCTCCTCAAACCTCCGTTTATCAACCGTCTTCGCCAGCTTCCTCGCCTTTGGCAAGATCTCCTCGAGATGTTTGTAAAACCCATCTCCCCAGAATACAGGCTCGTCAAACGCGAAGCTTTTGTCCGCATAAATGTCGAAGATTTGATTCAGCGCTTCGACTGTATCGGCGGCTGGTGTGTTTGGAAGCCCGGAAAGGACAGTAAGGAGGAATACTCCAACCTCACGATTTAGCTCTACAGGAGCAGGGTTGAGTGCGAGACTGCCTAGGACACCGATACATTTGACACCCAAGCTTTGGAAGTCATCAGCTTCTCCCCCAGAAGGCTTTTTGGAATCGTTTGCCTGGCTTTCTGCATTATCCAAGTCCTTAGATGCTTGATATAATGCCATGAATTTCCGTGCTTCCTCTGGGTTTAATCTGATGGATCCTTGGACACTTCGAGACACGGCCCACGCAAGACTTGTGATGCTGGAGGCAAGTTCGATATCGGCAGTGTTTGAGCCCAATACCGGGCTGATAATCTCATCCCATATTCTCTGGGCCAATGTCGACCAAAATTTTCGGAGGCTGTCAAGATGCCCGGTAGCAAAGTCTATACTAGACACCGTCCAGGCGATGTTGTTCAAAGCTGATAAGGCTGAATCTCGTACTGCCTCTGACGCCCCATTGTCAGACGGCCGAGCGACCAAAAGTATCTTGGGTGCCGCATTTCGCACAAGAAGATCAAGAGTTGGCTCGTCACTTGAAGCATCATCATCCTCCGGGTCATCGCCTGTTACTAAGTCCATATCTGCATCAATCTCATCTTCGTCCATCTCGTGGTTTGCTTCGCCCTCTTCTTCATTGTCATTTCCTTCATCGGCGTCCATATCATCAATATCATCAATATCCACCGTATCATCCCCAAAGCCCTCGAACTCCTTCTCATGCCCTTGCTCCAGCGCCTCTTGGAGGCTTGTTGCAATTGATGCTGTAATTTCTAGAGCCAATTGGAGAACCTGGTCGGGGCCAGCGCCATTAGACTCAAATGACTGTATATCCATAAACTGCATCAAGGAAGGAATCAAGACGGCATCTGATGCACCCTCCTTTGGAGCTTTATGATCCGACCACTGCATTTCCGAAAATATATTGTGCAGCACACCACATGCCGCGATAGCGAGGACACTCCCAGAGTCTTTGATCTGCATCAGGCCCTTCAACCTATCCCCATTGTCCACAATTTGCTGCACCAGCGACTTGTTATCTTCTGTCAAAGCCATTAGACACGAAAGGACCTCATTTTGGACTTCGCTGGGTGTTAGGCCGAATGACAGGAGGCCGAAAAGGAAGTTGGGAATGGTAGGTATTTTGGATATGGTTTCGAGGATTTGGTCTTGCGCCTCGGCGAGCGAAGCAAGCAGGCTTATTAGGGAACTTGTAAGACTCCATACCAAACTCTGCTGTGGCTTGGGGAGCTGGGCGAAGGGTGTCTCTTGCGATTCAATTGTTTGGATAATCTAAACAGAATAAGCATACAAACATGAGCAGATACAGTAGTTCCACTCACGGTCTTCACGCTGCCATCAATCGCCGTCAACACATCCTGCCGGTACAAATGTATGCAGAAATCCGCCTCCTCTTCCAAAGCCAAGTTCCTCAGAATCCCCCACCCCGCAGTTCTTGTTTCAAAACTGGAATCCGTAAGGGTCTGCTCCAAAAGTATTTGGACAATCTGCTCTCGTAGTAGAAGTTTTCGGCATTTCGTATCCTCGATTATATTAGAGATTGCAGTCGCCGCGGCAGACCTGGTCTTCAAGTCCGCGCTGGTCAAGTCCTTCAACACGGGTAGAATGCGCTGCTCGCGGATCGCAGCAAGCTCTGGGTCCGCGGGCGGCTTGACAGGCCGTGCGGTAGGATCAGGTCTGTTCCTCCGGCGATCTCTGGGCTTGGATTTGCCCATGGCGCCTCGGTATTTCAAATAGAGAGGGGTCTGATATATGGGGTTCGGTGTTATGCTACCCTCCAAAACTTTTTGATATTTTTTTCCTTGTGTACCTGCAATCGGTAAGCGAGACCTTTGGCCTTCGACCCCGCCGATGCCCGACGACGAGGCTGAGCACTGAAGTTTAGGGGACTGCCAGCGCAAGGGTTCAGCGCTGGAACCCCCCGTAATTTCGGCAATCGAACGACGTTCTAGGTTCTCTACCCCGAAACCCGCCCCGCTGCCCAAAGTTGATAAGAACCCCAAAATCTTAAATCCTTCTCTCCACGCATTAACTAAAGATCGGACACTGCGCACACTTCAAATACACCGTTTTAAAGGCCATCGTCGCCTTGCTTCCACCGCCCACGATGTCTGCCACTACTGCTACGACTACCACCCAGGCCGAGCCCATCACCGCCCAGAACATTCTGCGACTTTTCCCCGACATCGACACCAGCTCCGCGGGGTTGGAGGGGCACGATGCGGAACAGATTCGGCTGATGGACGAGGTGTGCATTGTGCTGGATGAGAACGACAAGCCCATTGGCAATTTCAGCAAGAAGATATGTAAGGAATCACCCTCATAATACTCAAGACTGGAGCCGCAGACTCACATCGCAACTGTAGGCCATTTAATGACCAACATTGACAAGGGCCTCCTCCACCGCGCATTCTCCGTGTTCCTCTTCAATTCCAAAAACGAACTGCTTCTCCAACAGCGAGCGACCGAGAAAATCACATTCCCCGATATGTGGACGAACACATGCTGTTCGCATCCGCTTGGGATTCCAGGAGAAGGGGGCGCCGAGTTGTCAGAGGCGGTGGAGGGCGTGAAGAGGGCTGCCCAGCGCAAATTGGACCATGAGCTTGGCATCAAAACTTCTCAGGTGCCCTTTGAGGACTTTAAGTTCCTGACGAGAATCCACTACAAGGCGCCAAGTGATGGGAAATGGGGCGAGCATGAGAGTAGGCATTGTCTTGTGCTACGTGGTTACCAGTCATACTAACACACTTTCGCAGTCGATTATATCCTCTTCATCAAGGCAGATGTCGACATCGAGCCCAACCTTAACGAAGTCCGAGACACTACATACGTCACCGCCGATGGCCTGAAGGCCATGTTCGACGACCCCGCCTTGAAATTCACCCCCTGGTTTAAGCTGATCTGCAATTCGCTGCTGTTCGAGTGGTGGGGACATTTGGACAGTGGACTCGAGAAGTATATGAACGAACAGGAGATCCGGAGGATGTAGGCGTGGGGATATCCCGAGATACGAGTGGGCAACTTGTGATATGACAAGACAATTGGATGGGCGTGGGGGGCACTCGACGTATGCAAAATGCCGTATAAAGCATTTTCTGTTGGATAAGGAGTATAGGGCAACAATCATGTCCTCCACCGGCAGACATAACGATAATAGACTGCGCATATATTGATGACTAGTGGTCCACAGGCAGTTTCCCATCTCAATGTCTCAACGAACCGTTCGAGGGCTTGGATGGCCCTGCAGCTCTTTGTTCAACTTTCATTCTGCACTCTTCCGATTCCGTGAATAGTGGCGTATTTGTCCAGTTCTGTGTTACGTTATATATTTACTTGAAACACTCTCTTTCATGTATTCCTCTTTGCGTGCTGGTTGGTGCTAACAAACTCATGCTCGGTCTCGGATTTCTGTGTTGCAAACCACCTATCATAGGTAGCTAAGACCAGGTACCTATCTTGTGTGAAGACAATTTCCAAACGTAGGATGAATCAAGTGATCATACGCTCTAGGTCTGGCTTATTATGCCCAGGGGAACTGTTTACTCCACTTTGTTGTTCCGCATCGGCCCTGCTGTACGCCGCCACGATTTCCTTGGGTTGGCTATCGTCGGTCTTACAAGATGCGGGATAAGGAGGGTGATCCAGTCGGTGCCAAGTCCCGCGCTGTTTGCTTTTCGGATCGTCATTAGTCGGTTCGTCGTCCAAGAAATGCCACTACTTCGTAAACGGTCTGCTCAAGTGACTGACCAACTCGCTCGGATCCTGCCGCTTTGTTAGATGCTCAACATTACACTGCACACCTGCTAATTAGCATCGTATCTACATAAACTGTGGTTTTCGCTCCTATCTCCCTTTCCGGTCCTCCCTCACAGTTGCCAAACATCACTCAGGAATCATCTCAATCTAATTCACGGATTGAAAGCATTTGCTGCTCAACTATAGCCAGTGCATCACCTGAGAATATTGCTTTGCCACACTTATTCTAAACAGCCTGACGCCCTATCTCCAGCGTGTCCTAACATCAACATCACCTACCAGCCCATCCCGAAACTCATTATCCTCCACTTGCACGGATCAAACGATCCATCAATTGCCTTCCCATCCACACAAGCAACCCCAAGAATATCTACATTGATGTCGGTTGACATACGCCAAAGCCTTCATTGCCTGCGATTCCCATCTCGATACGAAGCAGTATCGAGATCGCAGCTTTCTAAACAACATACAGGCGATTTAACAAGACCAGCTAGAAATCCAGCATGTCCGTTCGAAATCCTACTACATTGCAACTCAGGGCTAACGTATCCCTAGAAACCCAACACCCACCGAATATCCTATTACCTGCTTGTAATTGATCGCAATCATGGCGCAGAATAATAGCAACGGTACGTTAGTTATTGAGAAAACGAGTAATCCCACCCCGGAACCCACGGAAGAAGTTCGCATCGTCCCCATCGACGAATTCGAAGAAGCTGCCCAGTGCCTCTCAGAAGCATTTGCCGTAGATGAAGTAGCGCGATATTTCGTTGACACAGATGACATGTCTACTTGCACGGAGGAGTACAAGTATAAAGTGCACTGCAACATCATCCGCTACCTAACCGCAGCACACTGCTACAAAGGGCTCGTAACGACCATCGGGCCGAATTATGACGCTGTTGCTCTCTGGTGTGTGATTCTTTGCCATTGCCTTTAGCTTATCACCTGGGCTCTCACTTTCTTGCCCCAAACCACATGGAATTAATTATCAGATAGGCTGCCTCCAGGGCAAAACCCGGATGACTGGTGGACTTTCTTCCGCAGTGGCTTGTGGAGATTGTACTATCAGCTGTCTTCAGAGGGTAGGAAACGCTTCTTCGATGAGTTCTTCCCCCTCCTGCATCATACCAAACATGCTGTGATGGGTGAGCGTGACGACGACTCGTACTACTTGGTGTACCTCGGAAGCAAACCTAGTTCCCGCGGAAAGGGGTACGCCCGCAAGCTGATCGAATGCATGACCGCTCAGGTACGTACCACTTCCTCTTCCAAGCTGCAGTATCTTCCCATCCCTATCATCGAAAATATTACTAATACTAAATCGACTGGATAGGCCGATCTCGAAGGCCGCGCAACATACCTCGAGTCTAGCGCTGAAGCCAATTTGCCGTACTACAAGAGATTTGGCTTCGACCACAAAATGGATATCCAGCTCGAGCGTGGCCCGAAGCCAATCAAATTGCATATCATGGTTCGTGAGCCGGAGAAGATGGCTGAGAGTTCGGTGAAGGTGACCCGGACGACTGTGAGCATCCGAGCTCTTTAACGATGGTTTGAAGTTGTGACAGCTAAGGGATGATGAATATTTTCGTTGAGTGGGAATTTTTTATTACTTTTTGTCTTTCATTTGATCGTCGGTATTGGAACTGAATATTCTTATTTGAATTGGGTATTTCCTTTTATTTTATTTTTATTCTTAATGTGGTTGTGGTTGAGATGGTGCTGTTCAATTCTCTACTACCGTCGAGTGCCAGCACTAATGTTGAACTCATCCGGAAGTAATTTCGTTTTGATATTGGTTATTTCGAGCAATTCGGCCATGCCATAATTTGATATATTGGGTCTTGTGCGTTTTGATTCTCTCAACACTAGCTAGTGAACATGCTATTCATGACACATCCACACTATTCACACCAATTATGCCGCGGCCAGGACTCTGTAAATACAATTCCTAAACCAGTCCGGAACGCCTGAGAGTTCTGTTCCCATAATCCCATCTAATATTCTAACACAGCCCACGTTTCATCATCAACAGTCGTATAGATAAGTCCTTCACCGAGCAACTCGTCGCCAGCCTTGAACACATCATTCGAGGTCATGCTCAGCTGCGCTGCAATACTATGAACATGTAGCCCCTCATTACTCTGTGGTGCCGATTGTAGTAGACCGAACACAGTTTTGGCACCAGCGCTCATCTTCGCTGGCAATTTCTTTGCTGATGCTCCCATCGCGCCATTTGCTGCGCCATCATAACTATCCACAAACATACCAGTGCCCGGATCGGCTTTAACCCCTCCATCATTTATGGAATCGGGTGGGCCGCGTACAAAGTATAGATGTATGGCCGTCGCTTCGAGGAGATGGTAGCTAACTTCATTGAAGTCCGTAATGGGCCGGATCATATGGGCAGTGACGCTGCGCTTGTTGTTGAAGGATCGAAGGCGGCCGAAGATCCGGAGGTACTCGCCTTCCTTGGCGGTGGGCTGTACCGTGTCGGGATCTACATCGCTGTTTACCCATTGCATTACTTCTATGAGGCCAGTGCCATCGTCGAGTTTGTAGAGGATGTTGGTTGCTCTTTTGGTGACGCTGTTTATTTGGCCGATGAAGCTAATCTAGACACAGTGTTAGCCATGTTCCACGGCTTTGCAACAGACGGTATCTGTAGCGCATTTATTTACCTGTGTTAGATCTGATCCGTCGATTTTGAATTCGGCTTCGGGGTGAGGTTGTTGCCTGCATTGGATTGTGTTAGCGTTGGGAAAAGGTATTCGGACGCGGGGCAACTCACGCATCGATGATTTGTTTAATCGTAACTGGTCTCAAACTCTCCTGTCCATATGTCTTCACGACTCGTCAAAAATGGGTAGCATACGACGAATGCTGGTTATATCATATACCTTCGAGCTGTTTTCCTGGCTCCCTTGCTGCGATCCGCTCATAAAACCCCCTCCTTCTTGGGCGCCCGCCTGCGCACCATAATTCGTCGTGGAATAAGCTCCTTGGTATCCGTAGTTTGCTATTCATTAATTAGTATATACGTAAATTTTGGAGGCAGGATTTCCCTACCCATGATGACTGTGCTGAGCTACGTTGTTGGTTTTGAGGTGGTGTCGAGAAAAGTGTTTACTTTCCTGGAGACGCGTTCAATGCGCGTGTTCGTGTAAAGTGGCGGGCGGGGTCTGGGTGCTGACTAAGCGTACATCACGTGAGAAATAGCTTGTAGATCCACATAAAAGTGGAGCATCCTGTCGCGTATTCCAAGATATGGTCCAAAAGAGACAAAGTAAACAAGCGCTCTTAATGTCTACTACAATGGTAGGAAAACGAAGCAAAAAAATTAGTATATATCCCAGAAGCAAAAGAGTTCGGCCCGGTGTCGAATGCCTACATCTCTTGCCGGTTTTGTCGTTTTCTTCTTTTGTCGTTGTTTGTCGCTTTTGCCCTATCAATCCTCTCCAGAAGACAATTTGACCTGAACCACTTAGCCAAGTGGCCGCCTTTTGTCTTCCTTACTACCAAATTGCTTATTTTGACCTTTATACATCTATAGGGCAGTTGGAAAGGAGCTAGTCATGTGATTAGCCTACCCCCTTCTTTAATGCCCACCGCTCCGACCCTGATCAATTCATTCACTACCATGTACGGAGCACGACGACAGCAAGGTACCCTACCTTACGTACCTTAGGTAGCTACATCTCTATCTGTATTTTGGTTCCAACACCACAAACAAGTACGCAGCCCACCCGGATAACAACACTCAGCTAGGGTTGCAGAGGACGAGAGCAAATCACACACGTTGACCCGTTGGTATCTAACATAGCCGCCCGCTGCGTAGTCAACGCGTGCTGCTTACTACTTCCTACTTCCTACTCCTGCTGCTTGCTGCTCAGCGGTTCTTGTTGGTGGCTGTTGGTAGCCGCATACCGTACAATCCCCTTCAGATTGCTGCATCCCCTCCTACAGCCTCGTTGGGTGCTGCCACTTACCTTTCGTTACCTTAATTCCCCCTCACCTTTAACCTTACCCTTTACCCTCCCTTCAAACCCAGACCCGATCTTGGAGGAATTTAGCGTGGCTCCAACCAACAGCTATTTTCATTTCCATACTTGAAGCTGAGCTTTGCACTTCAACAAACATCAACTTTGACAGAGGCACAACACATTCGAGATCGAAATGGTGCTTCAGCCTATCGCTCAGAATGCCCAAGTCCAGCGCCTGACCACCGCCCTCAAAAACATATGTCGGGACTATCCGGCTGGTGGTACCGTTCTTCGCGAGCTCTTGCAGAATGCCGATGATGCTGGTGCTACGGACGTGGTATGTAACACAACTTGGAAGCGCTTCAAATTACTAAAGTTAATTGAAACTACAGCGATTTATTCTCGACGAAACAACCTACCCGGTTGACCCCCTCATCGATCCTAACATTGGACAATACCAAGGCCCCGCTCTACTAGCATACAACAACGCCATATTCACTGACACAGATTTCGCCAACCTTTCCCGTCTTGGTGATTCGTTGAAAATCAACGATGGCTCAACCACTGGCAGGTTTGGGCGCGGGTTTAACTCTGTGGGTGTCTCCTCCTCAAAGTGCCCAGATAATCTTACTGACCCTATAGGTGTATAATTGGACGGACTCACCATCAATTGTCTCGCGCGACCGTTTACTCATCCTGGACCCTCATCGTGAGTGGTCTGAAGGTGGTCCGGTCTATGACTTTGCCAAGGATTCTGGGGACGCTGCAATCGAGAACCAAATGGCAGCCTTTCAGAGTGTCATGGAACACCTTGACCAGCCATTCAACGGTACCGTCATCCGAGTTCCGCTACGCACTGAAGCACAAGCAACTAAGAGTGAAATCTCGGGCCGTGGAACGACGGTTTCCGAAGTCGCGGAAGTTCTTCAAAGCTTTGCGTCCGAGTTTGGGGGCAGCGGTTTACTGTTCATGCGAAATGTTGAGAAGCTCGAAATCAAATCTGCAGACATGTCAATTGGAATTCAGATGGTGGATCGCAAAGTGCTTCGATCGTAAGTGTCATGAATTTACCTATTTGGATACTATTACTAAATCAGATTCAATAATTGCAGGCACAAATTGAAGGTCAAAGATGCAGTGAAACGTGCTTTAACGGATCCAGAGCACTCCTTCGATTATTCTTTTGAGGCAGGGATTGAGTATCGATCTACTGGACAACTAAAAACGACTACCTTCATTGTCCACCACAACATACAATGCGGCTTGATGGATAGTACCCTTCGAGATTGGGCAGCCCAGCAAAAGTTTATCCCATGGGTGGCGATTGCGGCGCAGATTCCTGTAAGTGAGATATTCAAGGGTTTCTTGCCCTTCACGACTGACATATGTATAGATACTACGCACAGAAGTAGTGACCGGATCATTATTTGCAGTCTTACCGCTGCCAATCGTAGCTGGTCAACCTGTTCATATCCATGGCCTTTTCAGCGTATCCCCCGACCGCGCAAGATTGTATCATATCAGCGATAGAAGTACCCAACATCAAGAACCAGCGAGATGGAACAATTGGCTACTGCAACATCTAGTTCCAATCGCTTGGACGAACCTTCTAGGCACTCTGGCACGTCGCGATCCTAATCAGCCAGCCTTTGAGAGGTGGCCCCAAACAATTGACGATGCCCGAGACCCCTTGAGTAGCGTTGTGGAGAAGGTTGTGGGAGTTATTGAGAAAGAGACCCTGGCTCTTTGGCCAACAGCCGTAGGCTACGTGACTGCAAAAGATGGCCTGCTCGATACAGGGGCCGAGCCGGCAACGTTACGAGATGCCCTTCTAGAAGCTAGAGTACCTGTGGTATATGTTCCGCAACGACTTCGCCATCGGGCTAACGACCTTTTCAAGGGTCGGATTTTGTGCCCTCAAAGTCTCTGTCAGTTCATAAAAATCAAGAGCTATCGGATTAAGATGTGGAGTAATCAGACAAAACATGAAATCCTCGAATATCTCTTGTCTGAGCCTAGCTTTATCGAGTACGGTGGTCTTGATTTATTCCCATTCGAGGATGGAATTTATCGGTCCATTGGAGACCAGGTTGCGTTTGTTCACCGAGACGAATTTGAAAAAGATCTTTTCAGTCTACAGCGTTCCCGTAATCTGGATCTTGAAAAGTTGTCAAGAACGGCACAGCGTACCTTGAAACAAGGCTGCGATCATTCAATGATTCATCCCTCTATTCGCTATCGTTCCGCCAGTTGCTTGAGAGATTATTGCATCAGCACTATATTCAAGGATGTACCAGAAGACCAAGACATGGTTGTGCTAGGCGAGGAACCTGCTGCATCTGTCTTAAAAGTGTGGACCTGGATATATATGCATCGCGTCGATATCCTTAAAGATCTTGCCTGCCTCTGGCTACTTCCGCTGAGAAATGGTCATTACCGAAAAGTTAAGCCACGAAGTCCTTCCTCGGAAGTATATTTCGCGCCTGTGGGCGAAGTAGGTGACCTGATGAGGAAATTGGATACTAAGTCAACTTTAAAGCCGCTACCATTGCTCGATACAGGGATAGCACAACTTCCTGCAAGTTTCCAGTCCATCCTTATGAGAAGTCCAGATGCTATATCAACCCTTTTTGTTAAAGATGCAAGCAGCATTGTTTGGTTTCTTCGGTGGTTGCATGGGACATATCCCATGGCTGATAGTGTAGCAAACGAAGACAAGCTTCAGATTGCAGCACTTGTCGCGTCGCATTTACCTCAGCCTCTTATTCTAACAAACCAAACAGCTACCGCCGAAGCTTTAAGTGATCTTAAAATTTTCCAGCGAGTATCGTGGGATGCAGAAGGAGAGAGCATGTTAGTAGGCCCCTTTTCGTGTCTACTAGTCCTAGCTAATCAACGATAGGGAGCCTGTTTTAAAATGGACTAATTTGAGTTCCTGTAGTAAGTCGATCGGACTCCTCGACGGTATGAGTCCAGTCCCTGCGATAGAAGGCGTCCAGTTCTTAATTGCGAATGAGTCAAACCCTACAAGACAAATACTTCTCGCGCTTAAGCCCGCTGATTGTGTTGTGTCCGTTCAAGTTATAGAGGATCACATAATTCCTGCCTGGGAAAACGGACAGGCTGAGAATTGGACTTCATCTTGCAAAGAGCAAGCGGCAGCATTCATTCTTCTCCACTTTTCATTATTGACTCATGATACTCAAGCCAAGCTTTTGAGACTCCCCGTGGTCCCGGTTATGCAACTAGATGGGACGGAGACTTCAAGATTTGCACTAGCTGCAGAGCTTATCGATCCGTCTGTATCTGAACTAAAAGCGCTGTGTTTCGACAACGAGGAAATACTTCCAAAGGAGAGATTCTTTCGGGACTTTAGCGTCGCCTTGAAGGGTTGTGGATTGAAGATGATGGTGGATGAAGCTGTGGTTGAACACCGAATACGCTGCTACGCAAATACCAATTATCCAGTGTCTGATATAAAGGATCGTGCCGAAAGGTTATTAAAGACCACCTGCCGCTGGACTTCGCCACTGAACAAATACGAAGGCTCCGACCTACGACATCTTCGGTGGCTCCCGACGGTTGATATCAATGGTAAATTGTCATTGAAAGCGCCACATGATTGCCGAGGCTTCAGAGATCGACTCTTGGTCGGCTCTCGGATCCCAACCCTCAAAATATCTGTCTCCGCGGAGTGGGAAAAGCGACTTGGCTGGCATAGCAGACTCCCAAGTAAAGTTCTGCTTCTACAGTTGACGTTTGGCGTTCAAATGAAGGATCGAGAGGTTATCGACGCAGTCCTCACCTACATCTTCAAGAAACGCCTTGCAAAGCGGTTAGCCAAGGAACTGATGAATCTCCCATGCGTTCTTGTCGCCAGCGGCTTGTTCGTTAAACCACCACAGGCGTTTCGTCCATCAGAAACCTCTATTGATGGGTGCGAGCGTCTGCAGCCATACCTTGGAAATGTCGATCACAAGTTCTGGCAAGACCATGAACTACTGCTGATAGAGCTTGAAGTTGGGGATCGACCACAAATAACTGATCTACTACATGTTCAAGCGATATTAGAGGAGAAACAGGATCTTGAAGAGCCCGATATGGCTGTTGCAATCGAGATTCTTAATAAGGCTAGCGAGTTCCCAAGGGCTTCCCTGGCGGGGCTCAAAGTTATCAGTGATTCTCGAGAGTTTTTTCCGATTCAAGATGTCAGCTTTGGTGATCTTGGACTTTTCAAACCGAAGCAGAAGGTCAACATTGCTCATCCAGACATTCCTTTTAGGACAATCCTGAGACTTGGGATAGACAGTTTGAGAGAGCGATTGATTAAAGGGATGTTAGAGATTGAAGATATCGATGATGAGGATGAATTTGATCAGCGTGAGAATGTGACGACACGGATTGCAGATACTTTGGATCGATATCCGGTCGAAGCCACATTTAGAGAATACCTCGCGAATGCGGACGATGCTAAAGGGGCGACAAAAATCAGCTGGTTATTAGACGAGAGATACCATCCTGGCGACAAGCTCCTTACCCCCGATATGAAAAGGTTTCAAGGACCAGCAATTCTAGTCCATAATGATGGAGGTAAGTCGTCACCGTTCCCTTGATTTCAATGGTGCTTACGAATGTCTTAGTCTTTAGCGATGATGATCTCCATGGCCTCAAAAACGTGGGAGAGGGTAGTAAAACCCATGACAGAGAAACAATTGGCCAGTTTGGACGAGGGTCTCAGACAATGTACCACTGGACAGATGTTCCTATGATCTTATCTGGAAGATATTTGCTTATTCTAGAGTAAGTTTGACTGATATTTGTCCCCTCAATTACTAATCAGTTATATATAGTCCACAGCAAGAGGTTTTACCGAAGAACCAAATCAAGGGAAAACGGAAACCGGGTGTCAAATTGGAATTATCCAAGCTTCGAGATGCTTGCTGCGACCAGCTTACCCCATTCGAAGGTTTATGGGCCTATACTCAAGGCCTTGATAACTACCCTGGGACAATCTTTCGGTTTCCGCTTCGAACTGGCTTGACAGAATCTAAGCTATACAAAGGCAAGGGATACTTGGACGATGGCAAAGCTTGCCGACTCATGAATAATTACTTCGATGAGGCTCGTATCTCGTTGCTATTCCTAAGACGGGTCAAATCGATAGATTTCGGCATTTATGGAAAGCCCGATTCTAGGTGGTCTATTACTAGGCTACCGCCATTGGACGACGATACCAAGGCATTCTCCGAGCTTGTCGTATGCTCGTTTGTCAAGACAATGGTGGATGGTATCCAAATAGCTGGTAAAGATAAGTGGTGGGTTGCTATTCAGGATTTACTGCCGGCAGCCGATCGCATCCCAGACATCTCGAGGAGGGTAATGAAGAATGTTGAGTGCGGGCTCGCCGCATTGATTTCTTCCAACTGCGATATGAATGATGCTATAAGTACACCTACAGAACCGCCCCAGTCGAAGATGTTCTCCACTCTTCCGCTACCAATATCTTCGGATCTTCCAGTCCACATCAACGCGACTTTTTTGCTCACTGGTGACCGGCAGTCTATAGCAGTAGACGAAGATGGCATACAAACTGCTCTATCCAAATGGAATAGATATCTTTTGCAAGATGCCCTGCCAAAGTTATACCTATCATTCCTTGACGAGATTGGAATACAAGTCCGGCAACGTGTTTTCGAATTCTGGCCCCAGGCGGAGCCCCCCAAAAGAAGTCCCTCAGAGCTTATTTTCGCGTCATTCTGGCAAGAATTGCCCAAGGGCTCACACAGACTGTTCCCGATGGCTCAGACGAGTATGCAACTTTCTCAACGCCGGCCGGCTCAGCTCTGTGATATCAAACAAGCGGTATTTGACTTATTACCGGAGGATGAGTCTGAAATACTTGCTCCGCTACTCCTGCACTTGGAAGTAAATCTAGTTCGATTAATCCCGTCAGAAGTTGCGAGGCATCTTAGGGCGCTACCAGGAGTGCAGATTGTTAGCGGAGCAAGACTGCGGCGACTCTTCAAGCAAGACAGCAGCAATATGTGGCTAGCACTAGAGATGGCTAGGAACCCATCTATTCTGAAAGTTCTATTTGGCCAACTAATGCCTAACGATGTTGATCTTCTAGACTTGGATGGCTGCCAGATCCTCCCTTCTGTAGATGGAGGCTTGAATACTTTGAAGATCGTTGTGACCAATAGTGCCGAATCACCGAAGTACTATGCAGCTTCCAAGAAAGAACTAAAGCTTTTCGAGTTTGCTTCAGAGTATTTAGTGGCAGCAAGCACTGCTAAAAAGATGGGGCCAGTTCTAGCTAGTGGGAAATTTAACTTGGTGAATCTGCAACTCTGTCATGTCAAGACATTGCTGAAGATGAAGCCTATAGTCTCGGCCCCCAATCCAGAAGCAGACGCATGGCTCACTAAGTTTTGGGAGTTCTGGAACGGGAATATCAATTCTCCAAAATACTCGTCGGCTATTGATGCGTCTGATGCTCAATTATTTCGATCTACATGTAATGGCGTCGACAGGTATGCTACGCCTATACAATTCCGTCAACTTCCGGCGGTCGTGGAGCCCTCGATTGGTCAGCACCAACGCCTATGTGATAAAATCCCGGGCCTTTATCGTTTCAACCCAAATATGATGCCAAGTTTGCTCACAGAGAACGAAAAGCCTCTCTACAAGGAAGCTTCCTTTTATAGGTTTATTCGGGCGCTACGAATACTTGCGAGCGATACTGGAATGGGGACCTTCGTTAAAATCCACCTGGACCTAGACGACATAAAGGTAAGAATCTCTCGGTACATTCCAAATATTTGTGGTAAATCCTACCCTGGACATTGAATCAGTACTAATTCTAAAATGATCAGATACTTCGAGGTCTCGTTATATCCCATATTACAGGTCATATATTGCAACGTGAACCTAAGCATTTCCACGAACTCAGCAGCGATCTGAAATCGATTCCTCTGTGGCAGAGTTTTAATGGGGTTTCCAAGGAGCAATTGATTTCTGCGGATAAAGCCTTGATGGCAGCAAACAGTGACCTTCTAGTTCCTTGGATGAAAGACAATCAGCGATTCCTCAAACTTCCGCTTCCAGACGGCCACCAAGATTGTCTCTTGAACCTGGGAGTTAGGCAACTATCAAACTACGTAGTTCTCGAGGACTACGTATTGCCACTACCATCGACCTTAAGTGAAAGTCATTGGCAATATTTTCAAACACTTATCCCTACTATTTCTGCTATGTCTGAGGCCGCAGACTCTTCTCGCACTTTCCTCCGCGCTTTAAGGCAGAGCAAAATTGCCGCTGATGGTAATCGCGATTTGAAAAAGGCTTGCCAGCTGTACGACCATGAGGATCGAATTTTTACCTCAGCCTTCAGGAACCAAATGGAGACTAGATTCCTCCACGATAGCCTGAAAGAGTATCGAACGCTTTGGCTGACAGTGGGGCTTCGTCACCAACGGGAAAATTTCGTGGACCCCGGCGACTATTTACAATGCCTTCAAGTCATGACAAGCCGCCTAAGTACCGATACTTCACGCATGGACCTATACCTTGAGCAGGATAGCAGGACGGTTTTGTCTCTGTTGACAGCTCCGAATTTCAATATTCACAGATATGATACCGATAACTGGTTGGATATTTCACAAGAGAGAGTTTTCCTATCCACAACAGCTTTCATCGCCGAACCTGACTACAGACAAAATGCCATGTACTTGTTGGCTGATAAACAGCGGCTATTGTCTCTCTCTGAGGTTATTTCCTATAATTATGTGGGGGTATGCTGGAGCCAGACTCCATTTCCCCTTCACAAACCCACAAGTGAAGTTCTTGCTATGATTCCTGGTAATGGCCGGCCGAAAGCCCAGATGGTATGGCAGCATCTGCAGCACATGAGGGATGCTTCACGAAACCTAAAACACTTCCAAGTCCGCGAGTTTCTTAACGACCTGTGTCTCACATACGAATACCTCCAAGACAACGTCGAGGAGAGTAGCGCCAGCTTCCATCTTACCGAGAGTGCGATCTGGCTGAATCTGAATACAATGGATCGCGTTACTGTGTCAGTGAATGATATCAAGTCGTCTTGGCAAGCGCTTGCTGAGCTTGTCCTATCCAGTTCTTGTGATGCTGGACCAATAAAAGCTGTCAAGCCTGGCCTAATGCGCTATGAGAAATTGTTGAGAGCTTTGGGCTGTAGCTCCATCACCTACCCTACAGTCGAACGACCGGAGGTTGTCCCTGGCCGTTCAGTATCAAACTCAATACGGCAACTGAGGAATGATGGGAAGCTTTTAGATATCACATACTCTAGTGAAGGGATGCGTGTGCAAGCACACCGAGTGGTACTAGCCGCTATGTCGGAGAAGTGTGCTCTTCAATTCAGCGGTAGATGGAAGACGGAAGATCTCATAAAGTATGATGAGGCTGATGACCCTGACGGTTATTTGTCCTATCACACAGTGTCAACAATGATCGACTACGCCTACGAGGACGAAATCGACTGGGAAGAAATGGAGGTTTTGGAAAGCGATGATGTGGATGAAAGGGACGCCAAGCTCCACATGCTCCTAGATCTCCACAAGGGCGCTGACTGCTGGTTGATACCTAGTTTGAAATCTCAAGTTGAAGCTAAGATCTTGGATGCCGGCAAGCTATTCATAAATCTTGAGAATGTCATTGAGGTTCGGGATCGTGCGGGGCAAGTAGGAGCCAAGGCTGTTGAACAAATGTGTGTTCGGTTCATTCAGCAAAACCAGGATGCCGTGGAGAAAGCTCATTCCGGGAATTTTACAGCAGAGGCATAAATTAGGAAAATAGCAACATAAATAGAATGCAAAATCGTCCGTTAGCTGTCATCATCCTGATGTCCTGACGCTTACGCTGACCTACCGGTAGATGTCAGAGTGCGGCGTAACAACAGAATATGTGTCCATTCCTACAAAACTAAATGTCAAGTAGGCCAAGCCATTTTGTAGCGGTGTAGAAGTGTCGTAGACTCGTAGGAAGTCTACAATACGAGCAAACGAATGCCGTCACTCACGATGCTTGGTCTGTGCTCGTACTCCCGAAGGTCGGCTGCCCTTACTTACGAAGTATCCAATCTCTAAAAGATAAATAGAGAGATTTCAGCGCGCTGCGTACGGGGTATAGGTGTTCAGTTATTGTCCTCCTGTTAGCTCGCTTTAGCGAATACTTTCCTTAACCTTCCTCTCTCCTGCTCTCCCACCAACTTTGCCGGACAGCAATAAAAACTCTCACTCCTTTTCCCCATTCTAAGCCCTCTTCTTTAGTGGGGTTTTTGGCCTCTACCTGTCGCGTTTCTCAATTCTCCCACGACCTGCTGAAGATGCCTGAGCTCTCTGAGATCATGTACTCGCGCGACGCGTGCGTCGCTGCGGTCCGCGACTACTATGACTTCCTGGCAAAAATGTACATTGACGAGTCGAGAATCATCGAGCCGCCGGAAAAGGGCTGGCCCACGCTCACTACCGACACCATGGAAGACTTGGGCAAGACGGACGAAGTCATCTCGCTGTTAGCCCATCTACCTTATTTGTCCGAGGACAGCACCGGCGACAAGGTCGAAGTCATGCCAAATTGCACCTTTGCCGACTGGAAGGCCGATAGCGAACGCGAGGTAAGCGGCGACGACCTCAAACTATTTACGCAGGGCGTTGGCCTCACCTATGATTCGGACGGGGAACATATAGACCCCGTACCTCCCCAAGTCGTCGGCCTCGCGAGCGGCCACCGAGAAAATGAAGTCGTCCTGCTCGACACCAAGCTCGGCGTCGTGTACTGGTACGAGTGCCCTGGCGAGATTAAGTACTGCGAGTATCCCGCGCGCGATCAGGTCGACGATGATCCGTACGACTACGCCGAAGAGAACGGAGGGGACGAGGCCGACGCCGAGTGGCGCGGTGACAGCGCTGCGTGGGCTGTCGCTGACTTCTTCGAGATTCTCAAGGACAGGTTCCGGGAGCTGGACTTTATCCCGATTAGTCCCCATGTGGTGTGGAACGACCTCCCCGATTCTAATCGCAATGCGGACTCAGAGGAGATGATGGAAATGCTACGGGCCATCTACCGCAAGCACGACTGGCCTGACTTGGAGAAATATCGCAAGCGGGAGTGTTTGGCAGCTGTACACAAAGCGCTAGAGGAGCGATATCCTAATGTAGCAGACTGGCGAGTTGGGCATGTATAAATACGAAGTACATAGGGGTTTCATCGCAGACTATGTCGTACTTGTACTTACTCTAGATAGTTAAATAGAAAGACTTCGAGACCTATTCTTACTAGCGACAGGAGGTTAACGTATTTTCAGTTGGCCATAGAATGCGTGTTCCTAATCGTTTCCCATCATCCAGAACCTTATAGGAAACTTCCAAACCCTCAGCACCTTTTCATGAACTTCGAGGAGGATGAGGAGGAGAAAAGACAAGAAGGGGCATGGTACACGTGACAGCCTCCTAATCAAGGGTTTGAAATTCAGGCGAGTTCTTATCGTATCGCGTTATCTTAGCAACATCGAGCTTGACAACGACATTATTTCACCATCATCTCAACACGAAGCCCTACCTGGAAGTAAACTCTTCCAGTGGCATCATTTGGTGAGCCATGACTACTACACCCCCAAAAGTTGACGATGATATCGATGCACTTGAAGCGCTAGAATCGGAGGAGAAAGAGTTCAATAAAGTAAGCAGGCGCTTCCATCCTCGGCCATTCGATTTACTGACGCGGGATCACCCTTTGTAGGATGCAGAAATTGATCGAATCTTAAAAGCTTTTCGTTTAGATGCGTACGTATGGCCCTTTACAAGAATGTCGGACTGTCGCGCAGCAACAAAACTAATATCTCCTCATAGCTACGCGGTTCTCGACCTGCAGCCCGGCGTGCCAGAATCCGACATCAAGAGATGCTACCGCACCAAATCCCTACTAATCCATCCGGACAAAACGCGCAATGCCCAAGCGCCCGAAGCCTTTGATCGGCTGAAGAAAGCGCAAACTGAGCTCATGGATGAGAAGCATCGACAGCGGCTGGACGAGGCCATCTCCGACGCCCGCATGCTCATAATACGCGAGAATAAATGGACAGTTGATAGTCCTGAGCTGAAGACTCAGCAGTTCGCTAAGGATTGGAAGGAGAAAACGAAACTGGTACTCATTGATAATGAGCATAGAAGGCGCAGACAAGTGAAGGCGCAGATGCAGGAGGAAGGCAGGGAACAGAAGAAGGTCGACGAGGAAGTTGAGGCCAGGAAGAGGAAGCGGGAGCATGAGCAGGACTGGGAGAGTACGAGGGAGCAGAGGATTGGGAGCTGGAGGGATTTCCAGAAGGGAGGTGATAAGAAGAAAAAGAAAAAGGCGAAGCCGATAGGTTGATAGATATTCCGTTGGAGTTTAGGGAGTAAACAGGGCGGCCTGCTTATATGTTGCGTCAAATGGTACGCCTTTACGTATGCATCTTGCCGCGAAGTGATTGTTCTCGACTGTTCAGGTTGGGATTTCAAGCAACCTAACCGCGAGTGCTGAAAGGTTTGCAATCAGTCTCGTATCAGGTTATTGTCCAAATATATATTTCCCTTTCCAGCTGGGTTAATCGAATTACAGGTTACATTAATCCAACGTTTATTGGACCCCAAGAAGCACAAAGCTACAAAGAAAAGTTCCTCCCAAGAATGCCATCGACTATAATACCTTGCAGCTCCAACATCGGGTCATAGTGCCCCGGACATGGAGGGCCCTCTTTGGCCAGTCTCTTCCCCAGGCACGATTACTTCCCCGGAAGGTCTATCGGATAATATACTCGCAATGATCTGTGCCGCAGACTCCCGTCCCTTCTTCATATTCGCCTCAGACACCTGTTTCTCGCCCGTCTCGATATGTTTCTCCGTCAAATACTGTTTGAGAACCTCCACCTCTATAATGCGTCCTTTCCACGCCTCTTTCAATTTATCAGCCATATTTTGTGCTTCCTCGGCTTTCCTTTCATTCGCTGCTAGCTCCAGATGCTGCTCCATTAGCCCAAGCCTTAGACGGCCTTGCTCCCGCTTCGCCTCCTTGGCTGCCATTTTCTCCTTCTCCACTGACTCTCGGTCTTTCCGCACTTCCTTCAGCAAGCCTTCGAGCTCTGCTTGAAGAGCCAGATTATTGTTAGCCAGCTCAACGAGACCTCTCTTTGTTGTATTCCTCGGCTCCTTTAGTATACTCCGCATTTTCTCTGCCTTGTTCTTGTAGTGTTGGACCTTGCCGCTGAGCGTCTCGTGCTGAAAAAGCAGGATTTTCTTCTCGTCTTGCCCCCATTCAGCTTCTGCTTTCAATAGCGTGTTTTCCTGTCGTAGCCTCTTAAGATCCTCTATATCGCTACGGTGCTTCTTTTCCAACGTGCTGGCGCGTTCTGGCCATGTGGGCTTCACCACGCTGACAACTGTTGGCACTTTCTCCATGTCACGGGTGACTTTAGTGCCAGGATGGTTCTGATGTGCGGGAATGACGAAGACAGTCTTCAGCTTATCGCCACGCAGACGATAATATCGAGTAGTTATATCCAACGCTACCATACCTTTACTCGTCTCCAGGTCTCCCTGTCTCTTCCACAACGCCTCACCAGTCACGCCTTGACTCTTGGAGCTCGACATAGCCAAGGCATCCTCTACCTCCTTCTTCTCAAATTCCCCATTCAAGAACTGCCACAGATCCTCGCCGGCATTTGCTAACACAAATCTGTCTTGTGGGTATACCACCTCCCGCCCCTTGCGGCCATCGACCCCCAACCGTGAGAGCGCTTGGTGCGGTACCACCGCCTCGCCAGCAATGACATCCATAGCATTGGCGTACAAGCGCTCCAGGTCGTGTAGTCGCTGCACCAGTCGCTGCAAATACAGAATCATCTGTCCCAGCAAGGTGCTCTCTGCCTTCTCCCTATCGTCTTTCTCGTCCTCCCCCGGCAGTATTCCCAACACGCCCCCCTTCGCGCTATACTCGTGATCCAACAACTCTAACACCTCATTCGCATGCGCGATCAACGCCTGATGCGTCGCATACGGCAAAGCATGCCCATTATCCGGGATCTCCTCACTTCGGTGCAAAGGGCATATATCCCTAACCCGGACCTCGGTAGACCTGCGGTCATCAGAGTGGATATGTTTCTCCTCCACAAAATTTAAGAGGGATGTCAGAGGCAAGTTGTGGTGTGGTTTCAACGCCTTGTTCTTCGGGCCTTGATATGGTTTGCACAAGTCATTGAGGAAATCATAGGTCTCGCCGTCGGTGAAGGAAGGTAAGTTGGGTAGGCCTTTGTTGGCGTTATCGACCACTCCTGGTGCTGTTGAGACCGTTATGGCTTTGATCAGCACGGTGAGTGAGTGAACGTGTTGTTTGAGCTGGAGGAGGGTTGGCGGGAATCCACGCGTTGACAGATAGCTGCAGTTTACATGCGCGAGGGAGGGGAGGAGCTTCTTGCCGGGACCGGTGACTGTAAATATTGACCGGTAGGTTGGGGCAAAAGGTGTTCCGGGAATTCCTTCTTGCGAACTGCGGCCTGGGGGTGCGTCTTCGAGTTGCGGGACTGGTCTTGAATCTCCTACCGCTACGGTGGGATCGCGGTCCCTTACGTTGTCATCGTCGAATGTACTCTGCCTGCCATGATTATTCCTAACCTCTGCCATAGCTTGGTTGTTTGGGATTTGGCGTTTGATAGTTTTGCGATAGGTTTTGTGACCACCGCTGCACCCTTCTCTCGAGATGCTCTAAAATATCCTCTAACGACTCCTCAGAACGCCTTTATCAGTGGAAATTTGAGCATTATAAAATTCGCGCGAGGTTTCGCAGCCTTGCTAAGGGTCGCATTGTTGCAGCATCGGAATGCTGGGTACAATGGATTGCATTCTTCAAAGAATCTCGTTTGCCGCATTCACTCATTCCTCGCTAGTCTATAGACGTAGCAATGGACCACAAAAAGGATATTCTAGAGGCAATTATAGTTTATAGGATTTGATGATTCAGTATTATCCATGTAAGTAGGCACAGTCGTCTATGTCTGAGCGCTAAGTTACAAGGTGTCTTCCCGGCGCATTTTATGGAATTCGGAACATCTCAAACCAACCATCGTAAAGCTACGTGAACAGGCTGTTACGACATGTAAGAATCCTCCCTGTGGTATTCTTTCATTCTGCGCACTAAAACTGTATTAAAAATTCGGTTGCGTGCGGGGGTTACTTTTGGTATTTTTGGCTGGTGACCGTTTTAGTGTTTTAAGGTTTTTTTGCAAAGGGGACTTCCTTCGATAGGGGAAGCGTTAAGCGAGAGGATTTAAGGGGTCAGCACAGATACCCGCAACCCCCAACGTACCTTTGTCTTCATCTTTATCTTTGTCCTTTATCTAGCGTTTCGCAGATTCAACTCTGGATATAATATTATAAGCACCGTTCCACATCTGCCCTTTCTCCATTATGTATACATATCTTACAGAATCTGGCGATTCTAGGAATTGTCATATGCCCAAACCACAGCCCCCTAATCCACGCAAGCGTCGACGTTCAGAGCAGCGGCCGCCTGAATTGAACGAATCATCGCAACATCTGCAGAAGCTCAACCATCCTAGAAGATCTCAACCACTGGCAGCATTTTGGGACAATTTGTCCAAGATTTGGTTGACAAAACTCGCGTTAAAGGAGTTAGACCGAAGAAATACACAACCTACTGCACGCTTACACTATTCGCCCTACCGACGACCCCACTAGCCGGTCACTCGACACGCTCTTGCGGAGTGGAAGAAGAAAGTGAAAAGCCGGGAGCCTACCCAGTCTACCGTCGACTTTCTCCCTTGTTGTTCTAAGGGGCGTTTAAAGGATATAAAGTTATTTGCCCGGCGCGGCGGTCCAGACCTGTCAGACCTTAGAGGTGTACGTATTGCTAGATCCCCGCTTGAGTCTGCGCTGACCGTTTCTCTCTAGAACTGGAAGCCTTCAATGAGCTCGAGCGAGTCTAGTTCTAGGGGTCGAAAACGGAATTCGATAATTTCTTCGAATACCAAACCCGGTATGAATACCAAACCCACTACGAATACCGCAACCACCAGAAATATTCGCCACCATGATCGCAATTTTCAACAGAATCTTGTTGACGGTAGTGTTTATCCTAATCGCTACGAGTATCCCGATGGCCGAATACCAGCGAAGCCAAATAACTGGCAGGAGGTCAATCAAAGACTAGCACAACGTCGCCCTTCCCTTTCATTATCAAAATTTTCGGAGGAAGCGTATGAGCAATTTGCCCGAGCGGATGAACATGCCTCAAAAGAGAAACAAGTCATGGAATTAGCGATTCCGATCATCGAAGGTAAGATCAAGGACGCTAAATGCGTTTCGGGAGGAATCCCATTCACAAACCTCGACCATCTGACAGATGGCACGCTCGTGCCTGGCAACCCGGACCGCTACTACGGCGCCCGTCCTGAACAACTTAACTGACAAGTTCGTACCGAGCTCAGTGATCATATTATTCCTTCGACACAACAGGACCTTCCTATCTCTCCGAATTTCTTCCTTGCAGCAAAGGGGCCCGACGGGTCCTTGGCAGTGGCGAGGCGACAAGCTTGTTATGATGGTGCATTGGGAGCGAGAGGTATGTATAGTCTGCAGTCATACGGCCAGGACAAACCAACCTATGACAACAACGCCTCTACTATTACATCAATCTATCACGGCGGCACACTCAAGATGTACACCAGCCACCTTGCACAGTCAAATGGCCCCGGACGTCAACCTGAATACTACATGCATCAGCTAGGCACTTGGGGAATGACTGGCAGCCGCGGTGCCTGCGTGGATGGAGTTAGGGCATTTAGGAATGCCAGAGATTGGGCAAGAGAGCAGAGGGACGAGGCAATTAAGCTAGCAAATGAGAGAGCAAATGACAGACCGCCAACTGATCCCACATTAGCCTCTAGCTTTACTCCCGAAGTTTCCTCCCTCGTCGCTACAACTTCACTGGGTACAGCAGGCGAGTCTCAAAGCCAAGAGTCTCTCGCCATGCATCAGCAGCCAGAGACATCCACTGATGAGCTTGCAATGGATATCAATCTACCAGCCAACCGCTCTTCAAGGTCGCAACAGTCTCACCGCCGGAACCGTACCACCGGCGAAGCCAGCACTCGGCGAAGCAGTCTAGCTACATGGGCTCGGCAGAACGAGCAGTAGTTGGGTATCACTTCAAGTGCTTCCCAACAGACGCCCTGCTATTACTATATTTTCTTCTCCTGTAACTACGAGTCGCGTGGAAGGAGGGGCCCTGACTCCCGGCTTACCAGTGCCTCGTTTGGGGGAGATGGCTCCCCTTCTTTATGCATCGGGGGTTGACGTGGCAATTTACAGATATGTGAGCAACTCCTATCATTTTCAAATAGCTTCCCCCGCATTCTAAAATAGAAGTTAAGTTATTGTCAATGATCATCATGGTTCGCCATCGTCGAAGTCACCGCTAGCACACTGTATCTCTTTCGATTAGCAAGTACGCTACTATAAAGAGAAATTTGCTTCGTTTTGGGATCCAAAGTTGAACGTACATAGCCGGCTTTACTCTCATAATTCGGCGCTTAACATACTATATTAAATAAGGTGATCCGTTGAATTTTCCACTACAGCAGTCGCTAGATGTCAACCGTTTATCTAAGTCCTATCCCTAAGCCAGTACAGAGGGTAGAAAAGATCCAAAGGTTCTATGAATCAATATATATATATAAATGTAGTTGATCTCACGTGACATATAAAATACGTCTTTAAGCTGGAAAACTTATGGACATTAGTCTAGAACAAGGTTGGTTTTGCTATGCGTAGTGCCTAGGTGCTCTCTTGCTTAGCTTATTTTACATGTTTTAGTTTAGCCTAAGTCACTACGGGCAAATTTTGCTACGAAGCGCTCTGAACTAATAAAATCTACCTCTCGAATTCTCCCTTACTACTATAGAGATCTTGTAAAATGGTAATGATAACTGATACTACTATTATATTCTACTAGTAGACGTGCTAGGAAAATTAAACTGAAACTAAAAGCTTTTAAGTCGATTTTAGAATCAGTCTATAATCGCGTAGCCTAGCTACATTACTCTCGTCTTCTTTGTAATATACAGACCAGCCTACTTTAATTAACTTACTATTAAGACTTATTAGTTATGAGGGTTGACTATCATTTTCTACCTGGCTACTGCCTCACAGTATTGCAAGCAATCCAATTGAGGACAGGCTTAGTGCCCTTCGTTGCGTCTTTGAACTAACGTGCTAGATCAGCGAAGGAGAATTTGATGCCAACGTCAGAAGTGTAAGGATGGCAATGGTCAAAAAGGACTTCTCGTTTCAGAGATGTGGACTTTTTACTGGCAAAGTATCCCTGTTTTGTTTCTAGGGTGCCTGGTTTCGATCATACTCATTATTACAGACCGTATTGCGAATACCATTGGAAGGATGCTTCAGCATTATCGTGAATGAGCTCAATGAACCATACTAGGGCAGAGACAGTTCTTGAAACTACTTGGTGGGGCCTAGCCATGGCCATCATTAGTTCTTCTGGCGTTATGTTCTCTATGTCGACATTGTAATGTTTGGCGAAAGTTTTCCGAGCTTCGTGATGGAGATGGCTCGCCTTGCCAGTTGCTGCGACATATACTGAATATGCGGTCAACTGATATAGGCAGTGTTGGTCCGTACAGCCAAGATAGTAAGGAGCACCACATGCGATGTGAATGTCTAAACCCTCTGGATAAGCAAAATTAGAGCAGCATGCAGCTGCTGCTTCCAGAACAGAGACGGTAGAATCGTCACGAGGCGCCTGGACACAGTTGCGGATATCATGGTCCATCCACCCTTGGTGAAGACAGGCCCAGCAGTATGAACAGTTGGCCGAAGTTTTCGAGCCTATATAGTCAAAGATTCGCATAGGACGACTCATAGCCAAATAGCCCTTGTAGTCCTCCAGTTTGCCCTCAATGATACTCGTATCATCTAACGAGTTCTGTACCTCGGTGGCATGGTCCGCTTCAAGTAGTTCCCATAACCAGTCTTCATCGAAGATGAAAACTTCGCCAAGAAGCTGATGGTACTCGAACTTTCCGCTACAATTCCAGGATTCTTTCATCAACTTTGTCATTATCGGGGGACTTGATTTGGCAATTTTCATCTCCTCCTGCTGCAGAATTCCGACAAATTTCTGAAACTTTGCATCGTATCCAGCCCGCTGATCCGAATCCCAAACTGCTGGCCAGTCCTTGCAGAGCCACCGTGGTGGTGAGAGCAAGAGCTTTAATGGTCCGGCGTAAGTCCACTCCCAGTCGAACACAGCGACGATATTTCCATCCCTAACAAGCATATTACCAGGACGGAAGTCATCGCACACGAGTGTAAAAGGGCCACGGCTCAACTCGTTGCAAACAAATTGCGGAGTGATCGATTTAAAGAGTCGGCGGCGCTTTAACTTCTTGATAGCGTCTTCGCGATCATCGATCGAGTTTTGCTGTTGGAGTAGGTGGTCCAATTTTTGCTCCGCGGTTTTGAGGAAGTATTCAGACGTCGATGTATAAGGTTTCGAGTGATCTGACATCATTCTTCGAATCAGAGACTTGGCCTGGAAGGGTTATGTTGGAAGACTTGCCATAAAGATTCACACCTCCGCCTCAAAGAGACTCATTGATAGCCAACGTCAGCGGTCTTGTTCTCACAGACCATGTGGGTTCGTCTCCATGGCTGTCCATAGACAAGGATCCAATCGCATCGAATCTACAATTTGAAAGTTGTAAAAGGAAGCCCGCGATCTGACGATAAATGCTCTCTTCAAAATCCTGGTCCGAGTTGCTGTCGAAAAGCTTGACGCCAAGGTTGTCTCCCACGATGAATTCGGTAATTATGAATGGACCGAAGCCTCCCACGTTGTCTTCTGCTGTTCCGAAGGCTATGATATCGGGAACGGGGATGCTGGTGGTTAATTTGATGTACTTCATCACCGCTACTTCGTCACGGACCTTCTTCTCCATAAACATGACACGCCCAGGTTTTGGGACGCGCACAATCCACCGGAGCCCATCAACGAATGCTACCTTGAAGCACACGTTGAAGCTACCTCCGAGTACACTTTCAATGGTACATTCCGGCTGGCGAGGCCGATATTTTGCTACCAAACGTATCACGTCTTCATCGCGGACAGTAGCTATCCAGTTTTGAAGAGTAGATTCTCCAGACCGTTCGACGATAAGATCGTAGTCCATGCTTTCTGTATTTCACAAGGTCTAAGGATGCGGACGAGGTGACTCAGGAAAGTACCAGTTGGGAACTAGACCCGTACGGAGCCGTACAGCGACGACGTCGTATGGGATTATTTTGACCAGGCGTATGATTTTGCATAGAAACGCCAGACCTCAATGAAAAAAAAGGATAAACTAGTCAAAAAAAAGCTGGATGATAGGTAAGTCTTACATGAGTATGTTAGCGCTACTCTTACGTGTTTCCTTTTTGTTGTTGCGTTGATGTAGAATTTTGAAAGACTTCACGGTCCCTTTCAAAGTATATCATACTTATCGCTGAACCTTCGTAAACGTTGCATGTGCCATACCCAGAGTACTACTCCGTGCGCGTCGATGACTCATCCATGGGATGGTTTTGCAGGCTGCCTTGCTACAGTACGGCCCCTTCATTCAAATGATAACGCGACTATGATAATCCGACTACTTGCTGACGTCGGATACGAGGGCCAAGCCTTATACCCTATAGCCCAAGCCTCTATTTTCTAACCGAAAATTGAGATATCCAAGCCGAGTAAATATCTCACCAAAATTGAGGTATTCAAGTCGACCAAATATCTCACTAAAGTTGAGTAATTGAGGTATTCAAGTCGCGCGAATATCTCACCAAACTCGTCCAATAATGCGCCACAATATTAGAGTCGGATAGGTGGTTGAATGAGTGGATGGATAGATATGTACCAACTACCTAGGGAGGGTGAAAGCGGGCGTGTGGATTGTGATGCCCCGAGTGGAGCTACATTTGGCCGGGGGCTTACTCGAGTACGCCAAGGACTGCTCACAACGTCTTCTCTCGTCAGCGACAACATTTCAGCATACCTTATACATAGTATTTACCGCCACGAGTCCATCGCAATAATCTAGATATAGTATATAGTAGCAACACCCTCTTTCGCAAAGCCTTCGAACTGAGTCTGCAATTCCGCTGCACCGTTTGCTTACAATCAGCACCCTAACCAGACTCCTAATCGACCTCTGTCTACACTCTGCTTCGACTTTGTTACTAATTCGACTCTATCACTTCAAGGGCATAAGTCCTGTTAATCATTACCTGTGAATCCACTAAGTTTATTCGCATCTTGCTCGGCAAAGAAACGCATTCTATAGAAGACTAAGCTGATGTTTACTATCGCGAGATCTACGCACAATGGAGCCACCCAAACGTTATCATCAACAACATGGATCCCAAGTTTACTTCTGCCCTCTGTGCCAGACCATTTTTCCTTGCAACGGCGTGACTCGCTTTCACCTGTGCTTACCTACTGTCGCCCCGTTATACAGAACCCCGAGGGGCTGTTAACACCCAAAAGCGACACTGCATGGGCAGGATATGCCCCTTTAGTTGTCATCACATATTGTGTTTATTGCTTCACTTCAGCTTTAATCCATGTGGTAGCCTTGTTTAGATCGAGCTAGCGGTTCTTTACCGCCCGCAAAGCATTTGCCAATTTGGTTGTTTCGATTTTCGGTTGTCGCGACCTTTTCTCCACAACACAACAACCATCTCTCCACAGCCACTTCTCTCTTCCCTCCACCGTTTCCATCCCACCGAAGCTGGAGAGATGGCCTCCGCCGGCGCCACCAAAGTTGAGGATACCGACCTTACCGGGGGCAGCACTACCATTGCTGTGGCTATGCCATGGAAGGCGTTGTGGAAGATCGAAGGTCGCGACTGGTTCTCGAGTGACCTATCTCCCTCTGATGGCAAGTCCCCAGCTTCGACCATTACCTTCCGGCTCCCAGATCAGCAGCGTGCAAGCACCTATATCCGCATCTCTTGCCCACGCAATATGTCGAAGTACAACAATCCCAGACAGGCTCCTAACCACGTTATCGGTATCACGATTCCCGCAAGCAAGGTCAAGGAGTTCACGTATGAGGATCTGCCTGGTGGGTACATTGCCAATGACGGTGACAAGTACTTTGTTCGAAACGGACAGAATTTCACACAGCATAACGGTGAACCATTTCCCCTTGGCGTATCATATATCAAGGCCTCAGGTGCTTATATCTCCGGGGCCAAGGTTCCTATTCTCTCTACCAATGAGATGACCCACTCAATCATCGACTTGATCAAAAGCATCCGCATTTCTCCAATTTCGACATTCTACTTCCTCATTCGCCGTCAAGAAGACATGACTAATCTCTACGCGTCTAACTTCCAGTATCGCATTGCGAACGAAGCTGTTAAGGACCCTCTTCAGGCCTGGATCAACGACTCGCCAAATACAGACGCTATCACGATGGGTAACCTCGTTAAGGCCTTCAAACGCCCTAACATCCCGATCCAATGTGCCGAGCTCGTCTATGAGGACCGGAACGCTCTCCAAGTCGCCCAGATCTACGCATCGCTTTACGAAGAGGAATAAATATCAAGAGCTTAAGACTAAGGAACTTGCAGCCGAGACGTTCACAATCAAGCTCATTGAGAGCCCAGCCGCCCGCAATCCAGCCGATAACCTAGCGATGACTCCAAGCACTTTATGTCTACCGCACGAGCATACTACGCCTTCGCAGATTTCACCTCAAAGGAAATCAACCGCCCCGACATCGGTACGAAGTTGAAGGTAAAGCTCATCCTTAACACCGATGAAAATGGGGCTAAGCCTCACGAGGATCGTGGCCCTGCTGATGGCGAAGGCGAACGAGCAGAACGCGTCGAACTCACGGATGAAGACCACAACACAGACCCGCACACTTGGTTTGCTGAGGTCGTTGAGCCAACGGAAGTTACACCCCCAGACCATAGTACACTATACCTCGAGGGTCGCAGAGATCCTGCCTTCTCCGGCCCCCGCGAGCAACGCCCTTTCGTCAAAACCCCCCTCCCTACAGCAAATGGTCGCGCTGCCAACTCTATCAAAGCCTTGTCCAAGTTTATCAAGGCCTCCCCAAGCACATATATCAAGCTCATCATGCAATACGACACACAGGGGTACAAGGATCAAGTTCGTTGCACAGATCAGTTCTTCAGAAGCAAGCAAAACCCTCAAGCAGAGCGCATTGCGGAAGCCATTCTTTGCCACGACACCGATAATCCCCACCTTGAACGAGTCAACCTACTCGGGCTCAGTGGCAAGTCTAACCTCAAACCACCCATGCAGTTCAACGAGGCTCAGAAAATGGCATACGATTCCTTCGGAAGCACTAGCGAACTGACTCTTATCCATGGGCCCATCGGTACAGGTAAAACGACTGTCTGCCTTTACCTTGCTAAGGACGTCATGTCCAACCCGAGCGGAAAGAGCCAGATCCTCTACACTGTCGAATCGAACAAGGCGGTTGATGATGTGGCTCTCCGGCTCGATAAACTCTGCAAAGGGCACGGTCTGGAGAAGAAAATTCTCCGTGGACATACTCTTAAAGGCGAGAAGAACTCCATGTACAAGCTTTTCGCTGACCCTACTCGCGATGAAGAGCGCTATCAGATTGATAATGCATTTGTGGCTCAACTATCAACTATCGCCTACCTGGCAAAGCTTAGTAGGAACCACAAGGGAAAGCGCGCACAAAGTGACCCACGCCACGTACTCGCTGACATGTCTATCGCGGAAGCTATGCACGATGAAATTCAATCCGACCCAGAGTTGAATCCACTCCGCATCAAACTCGAAGAGTACGCACAAGCTGGCTATCACTATGCGACGCCTAATCTACGCACTCTGATTAACCTGGAACTTGATGGCCTTATGACAAGGGTTATCAGCTGTGCAGACGCAATCGTATGTACGCTAGCTGCTGCTGCGAAGGTCAATTTGGCGCAGAACCTCGCCCCCTCCCATCGTCTTTCTTGACGAAGCCACAAGATGTACAGAATTGAAGACCTACCTCCTCTTCGGATCTTACCGTCCAAAAGCCTTCGTCCTTGCAGCCGACCACAAGCAGATTCGTCCCTTCGTGGAGTCAGCAGGCCAGCATAAGAACACAACATCATTGTACATAAATCCCTTCCAGAATGTCGCTCTGCTCTCTAGTTGAATTATTTACTTTATTTGAGGCATTTACTTAGCTTGAATTATTCACTCGACTTAAGATATTTATTTAGTTTGAATTATTTACTTTATTTGAAAGATTTATTTAGTTTGAATTATTCACCTTATTTGAGATATTTAATGAGTTTAAATTATTCACTCGACTTGAGACATCTAATGAGTTTAAATTATTTACTTTATATGAGATAATAAGTGTAAATTATTTACTTTATTTGGAATATTTATTTAGTTTAAATTATATAAATTATATGAGACATTTAATGAGTTTAAATTATTTACTATGTTTAAAACATTTATTCTAATTTATAAATACTATTGTACTCGAAGCGGGATAATTTGAGACCCCATAAAGTGGTAAAGCGAGAAAGAAAAAGCTGTCTGGGGTTGATCATTGATTTGCTGAGGCTGATTATCGTGTGGCTGATCAAGATCAGGGATGCTATTAGTCGACTTCCGTTTCTTTTTCTGAGGAGTCTTGAGCTTTGGTGTGAAGGATCCATGTCGAATAGTTCTGATGAGGATTCTGAATCTGTGATGCAGGTAACCATGCCGCTCCTGGAAAATCTTAAGGGCTCTGCTAGGGACCCTCCCTTGATCGAATGCCCTCATCGCGGCCGGGTAATCCCAGTGTGTACAAACCTGCTCCTTTTCACCATTGAGGTTAAAGAAATTCCTGTCCTTTCGCCTTTGCCTGTTCGTGCTAGTCCCGGTGCTGGATGGTTTGTTTAGAACACCTTGCTGGGGATTAGGGTTGTTTCTACGATTACTATCCCACCGGGTGCTTTGACATTGCTCATCCTCATCATGCCTTCCTACAAATAACACTTACCTTCGCCGAGTGCTTTAGCGATATACATCGTGCCTTCCCACAAACAACACTCACCTTTGCCTATCGTATTTATTCGACCGCCAACATGGGACTCCTGTCATCCATCGAACGATCATCCATCTCATCCATCGAGCACCCATTTGACGAAAGCACACCCTTTCTTGACAAGATGCCTAGCTCAACTAGATCCGCATCCCCGGCGCAGTCGCAATCGGAGTCGCAACCGCAGTTGGAAGTACAAGCACAATTGGAAGCAGCAGGACAATTGGAAGCAGCAGGACAATTGGAAGCACAATCTTCCCCGACTGACAAAACATACGGCAAGACTTGGGTTGGCATCTTGCTTGGTATCTCGCCAAATTCACCTCCGAGCGAAGCTTATGGTCAGGTGAACTCGATTATAGCAGCTGTTGTTGGAGTTATTGGTATGCTGCTCTTGGCATTCACAATTAGAGGTATGTCGTTAATTCTCGGTTATCAATCATTAATTAATCTAATACTTCGGTTTAGGCTGGGTATCTCCAAGCTCTGGGTGCCCTGCTTGTGCTCCTTGTCCGGCTTGTCCTCCTCCTTGTCCATCGATAGCAACCGCAGCCCCCGTTATTGACTCTCGCGATGTCTTGATGGCACCATTGGTTCCTATTGTTGGCCATCGGGTTATCTACAATCACTTCCAGCATCTAGAGGGTGAACCCACAACGGACGCTGCCGACAATAAAGACAAGGTTGCCGGACATTATCAGAGAGAGTAATCAGATATGCGAAGCTGCTTGGAATGAACGCTGGGGAATTTGGGGAAGGTGAAATTGAAATTGAGGAAGATACGGCGTATAGCAAAGTAGATGTTAAGTCGCAACAACCAGAACAAGCGTTGCATTATCCGTACGCGAAAGTTTGTACGTGCTGTATGGGTATTAATAATTAGTTGCCTTCTTAAGTATTGCCAGAAAAATATAGCTTCGGAATACAAACTACTATAAGCCTTGCCTGAGTGTGAGCTAACTTCTGCGATTTTACAGGCATAAAAGAAATCGTCTACAGCTAATTTATTAACATGATCAAATCGCCAGCGTTGTCTATATTTAATTATTAAAATAAACAAATTACAAGGCCCGTAAGCAAGCTCACCGACTCTACGCATTGCATTTTGACCACTTTGACCACTTTAACTACTTTGACTATATGACCAAGGCAAGCTGTTCCCCTACAGATTACAGTGGCAGGGCCTAATCCAACAGGAATATATATGATTGAGTTGCGCAAGCTGGCAGGCAGGCAGGCAGGCATAGCAGAGTTACAAACCGATGGGGTTTATTATCAAAGCAGTGTTATACTAGAAATCTTTCGAAGATCAGGTAGCATCAATTAATTCTCGTGGTGCATAAAACAAATAGATATTTCGCGTTTCAAAAGTAGAAAATCGAGGAGGAACCCCCCGCAATAGTGTAGAGAGGTGTTTGCTTGATTCAAGTAAACGTAAGTTAGATAGAGTTTGATAGTTAATAATGATACCTCGAAATGATACTCGTAATACTGAAACAAAATTTTCTTGAAAAGTAGTAGTAGGCTGACTGACATCTAGTGGCTTATGCCAAGAAAGAAAGGGGTACTACCCGGGTACCGGGTACAACGCCCTAATAAGTCTCTGCCTTACCGCGTGACGAACGAGTCCACTTAACCGTCTTATCGGGTCGGAGGTTATTTTCGTGCTAATTATGACATTGGCATTAGTCCGAAGTACCTCGCATAATGATCTAGTAGCACTATTATAACCTTCACCATACGAATTGGTATTGCTAAGTCAGGCTTGGCAAATACATGATCTATGGAATTCAAATACCTGGAATTAGATTGATCGTTTTAATATATTAGGTAGGTTACTACACGCTTAGCTTTATCTACTTATAGCAGTTCAGCTACTCGAGTAGTGGAACTTAAAATATCTCGAAGTCCTTGCAGCGAAAGTTCAGAGCGCTGATCGCCGCCCCGTGCTGACCCGAGCCCAGCGAATAGTGCATTTATAACACGAGAATATTCCGGAAGTGGGTCACAGTAAGGAATAAATTTGGGGGAATAAGCAGTCGTTTTTGGCTTAAGAACCGACTCTTGCCTTGATATCCAGAGTTCTTCCTTATCCGAATTCCTTCCTTCAGCCTCTCCAATTATCATTGTACCCACCATCTATTCACAGCCTACCTTATCCATCATGTCTCACAAGCCCACACTGGTCCTAGTACCAGGAGCATGGCACAGTGCCGCCACGTGGGATAAAACCGCTTCGCTTCTCGAGGCAGAACAGTACAAATGTGTCCGCGTGTCTCTTCCATCAGCGGCGCCAAACCCTTCTGCAACTTTCTTCGGCGATGTTGAGGTGGTTCGAAATGCAATCATGGCGGAGACCACACAGGGGCGTGATGTCGTAGTGGTGGTGCATTCCTATGGCGGCATGGTCGGCAACAGTGCAATAAAAGGCCTCACACGGCCGAAACAAAATGCTTCGTCGTCTGAAAAGGAAACGTCCGGCCATGTCATCGGCCTTATCATGCTGGCGTCCGGCTTCACCGTCACAGGTTCAAGCTTTATCGATGGTTTCGGCGGCAAACCACCACCAATATGGAACTTAAATCCGGAGAGCGGTTTTGTTGACCTGTTAGTTGACCCCAGGGAATTGTTCTACCATGACCTTCCACTGGACGAGGGAAATTATTGGGTTGGGAAACTCGAAAAGCAGTCAGTCATATCTCTGACGGAGGGTGGCGAACATGCTTATGCAGGCTGGATGGATGTGCCAGTTTGGTATTTATCAACCGCGGAGGACAAGGCGCTCCCAGTTGAGGCCCAGAGAATGTTTGTGGGAATGGCGCAGGCCGCCGGAGGGGATGTAACTGTGCGAGAAATTAATACGAGCCATTCGCCAATGTTGAGCAAGCCGAAGGAAACTGCCGATTTCATATCAGAAGCTGTGGCATCTTTTGTAGGATAGGTTAGAACCAAACATAGATAGATGTATAATATTAGACATAATTCCACTCTACAAAAAAACAGTAATATCTTGTTCCTAAAATGATTATACAAGAACTTTCACCATTATAATATCCAACTAAAGGCTTTGCACTTGACATACTCGCGGCTAGAGATGTCGAGGAATATCTCCTTATATACTTCAGTAGCGTTGATGCAGGCAAGAGTCATAACGTCATTGGTGTACTGAGATATGCCGAAGTGCTTGGTGGGTTTCGGTGGGTTTTCGAGGCGTGGACAATGTGGGGACTCTTAAGTAGTTAGCATCGTCTACTGCGACAGTAATAATATCTACCGTGATAGCAACATCCACTATGACAGCAACACCCACTATGACAGCGTCCACAGTCTGCGCGAGTACCTGGCCGAAATTGAAGTATTCAAGTCGCGCGAATACCTGACCGAAATTGAGATGATCAAGTCCCACGGAGTACTCGAGTACCTGATATTTCTAGCGAAAAGAGTGTTGCAGCACATTCGCCCAATAATACGCCATGGCAGATGCGCGGGGTGGGCGTGCGGGCGTACAGTGAGGGCGCAGCCGACCTAGCTGAGCCACCATCGCAAGCCTCATTTTGCCCATACCACGAGGCATACTTAAGGCGGTCGCGTATCCTCATAATGTTCTCGAGCATGCCAATGTTTCAATCGAGAGAGGACCATGGATCCCATGTCGGCTCTGGGTCTCGCGGCCAACATTTTTCAATTCATCGACTTCGGCACTCGACTCTTATCCGGAACTCTAGAAGTTTATCACTCCACGACAGGCGCATCTTCAGAAAACATCGAGATTGAAGAGATCTCCGAGCGCCTGAGCATTTTCAGCGATGAGTTGAGCACCAACCCAGCGTCTCGTTCCTCGCGGGACTTGGCTGTCGCGAAATTTGCGGGCAGATGCAAAGTCGTCTCAGACGAGCTTCTAGAGGTTGTTACAGAGCTGAAAGTTGTGGATGGGCCGAATCGTAAATGGAGAAGCTTTCGAAAGGCATTGAAGACACTATGGAATAAGGAGAAAATACAATCGTTGCAAAACAGATTGGAGACCGTGAGACAGCAGCTCACCCTCGAGCTGTCGGCATCCGCCAGGTGATTACCCCAACTCTCCTCAAGTCGTGTGGTGCAAAACTTTGACAGGATTCAGAGCACAACAAGAAAGTTTAATCACCGAGATCAGAAATCTTGGTCATGACTGTAGAAAAATGGAAACAGAACGCAAGGATCAGATCACGCAGCTTTCCAATGATTTAGCGGAGACACAGAGCATGGTGTCACTTGCTCCCACTGTGAAAACCCTGGAAGATCTTTTTTTCAGACTTTCGAAGCTCGCCGACGAGACCTCGATGATATCAATGGAGAACGCAATCCTAAAAAGCCTCCATTTTCAATCGCTGAGGGTACGCCATGACCGAATTCCTCCTGCCTACGCGAAGACATTTGACTGGATTTTTGAAGACCGAATGCAAAGGGCTGATGGAACTGCCATCGCCATCAGTTTCAAAAAGTGGCTGACATCTCAGAATGGCGTTTACTGGATCAGTGGCAAGCCAGGATCGGGTAAATCGACTTTAATGAAGTACATCAGCCATCACAAACTGACCGAGGCTGCGCTCGAGCAATGGGCTGAAGGTCATCGGTTGACGATTGGCAGTTACTATTGTTGGAGCGCCGGTAGTGAGCTTCAAAAATCGCAAGAAGGCCTGCTTCGCTCATTGTTGCACGACGTGCTACGCAAATGCCCGGATATGATTCCCCTTGTGTGTCCCAATCGATGGCAAGCCATGAAGCAAAACCGACCAGATGAATCGCAATGGTCCATCGAAGAGTTGTCCGAAGCTATGCTGTGCTTGTCAACTCAAAACAACATCAGTACTAAGTTCTGTTTCTTTGTGGACGGCCTTGACGAGTACGGAGGCGAGCATCGGGATATTATCCAAACCATGGATGCCTTGTCGGCCTCACCGACCATGAAGATTTGTGTGTCCAGCAGGCCATGGAGCATCTTTTTAGATGCATATGGCTTCGGGTGTCCCACACTGACCTTGCAAGATCTAACTCGAGGTGATGTGGAACATTACGTCCGCAGCGAGTTAAACTCGCACTCAGCACTAGATTCCCTAGGTCGGAAGGACAAACGATACCAACTCTTGATTAATGAGATTAGCGAACGTGCTCAAGGAGTCTTCCTCTGGGTGTTTCTGGTTGTTCGCTCACTTCGTGAAGGATTGACCCACGGCGACTCGATTCGGACGATGGAGGCACGCCTACGAAGACTTCCCGATCAGCTAGAACAGTTTTTCAAGCACATGCTAGACCAAGTTGACGTAGTCTATAGAGAAGACATGGCGATGACATTCCGGTATGCTTTGAAGGCCAATGAGCCACTCACCTTGATGACATATGCCTTCCTGGATCAACCTGACCCGGAATTCGTCTTCAATCTTGAACTTGAAGCTTTCGACAACCATGATATCTTTAACACTCATAGCAGAATGCGTCGACGTCTACAAGCTCGATGCAGGGGCCTTCTCGAAGATTGCATTGTTCCTTCAGCCACTGCCTTCTGGGGCCATCGAGTTGAATTCCTGCACCGGACTGTACGAGACTTTCTGCAGACGGCTGAGATGCAAACTATCTTTGCAAGTTACACCAAAAATTCCTTGAACGCTAATGTCGCAATATCCAGAGTATTTCTTGGCCTTGTCAAAGTGAGGCCAGAGTGTGATGAGGATTTGCCAAATGCCCTTGATGAACTTATGTTTCATGCTCGACAAGCAGAAATCGAAACAGGATCACCCGACTATAAGCTCTGGCTAAATTTGGACTTGATCTTTGAAGCTCTCGCTAAAAAGTACAAGAATTCAATGTTCCAATATAGCCGTGGAAAGCTTTTGAATGAGCAACGAGAGGAGGTTGGCGAATGTCGATCAATGCTGGAGCTCACGATCACAACTGGAGTGGAGCTCTTTGCTGCTGCCTGGATCCGAAAGAAGAACCTCAAAAAGCCAGATCTTAGTCGATGTTTACGACTATCACTACAACCTTGTGCATGTGTCAGGCATAGAGACATGGACTTTTCCAATATTGTCAGAGTAGTCCTCGAGGAAGGTGCGGACCCGAACAGACGCGAAATACAACGAAAGACACAGAAAATGGATCACCTCTTAGCGAAAACCTTCATAAACCAGGACAGGCAAATAGTGAGATCATCGGTGTGGGGTATTTGGTTCATAGAACAGGGAAGTGTTTTCTCAGTGGACAATCCTATCCGAAATCGGAATCATCTTTCAACCTTGGAAACACTATTCCACTATGGCGCCAACCCCAACGATGGATACGAGGGTACGACAATCTGGATCACGTTTCTAAGGTCCCTGATAGAGACCAAACTTGTGGAACAGGACCAACCACGATCCAAAGCCGAATGGAACTTCTATTTTGAGATCGTTTACAAATTTCTCTGCTATAAAGCAGATCTGAGTCTGACATTCGAACCCCCACGATCAGAGCCTTTATATCCCCTACCATTATCAGATCTCTCTCAAGAGATGAGAACGAGAATGAGAATCAATCAAACAATTCTACAATTAAGACGGCCAGACCTAGGAGGGCCAGACCTAGCAGTGCCGCTCCCGACAATATTCGGTTACTTTGCACCCCACCAGTCGGCGCCACTGATGCAGGCCTTGAATGCCCACAGGATAGGGGAGCACACACAAAGCCAAGCCACTATCACACTGCAAAATCAAAAGTTGACCCTAGCTCAATGGGCTTCTAAATCTACATGGATTGCAGTTGGAAATATCCTCTTTCGATCGCCCAAACGACTTTGGATCAAGAAAAGCAAGAAACCCACCCTTATTTCACGAAGAGATGAAGAGGCACTTGAATCACTCCTGAACGAGAACAATCAATGCGCTGAAATTCGACCTGTTTTATCTTCGTGGCTGTCTCCATTCCACAGCGGGCCACTCTTTTCTCCTCCAACATTCAGAGCATCCCCACCAATCGACGATAACGGGCTCGATTCCATACTTAGACCTAGGAGACGTCCCATGTTATCGAGGGTCATTTCGTGGGTTATTAACCAATTCAGACGGTTCTCGCCTTGGAATTCTGGAGAAGATACGCTTCCTGTGGTTTCTTCCGCACCAATACCTTCTTATTGGGACGTGAACGCGAATGAGTCCGATCCGCTGCTTGGCGGAAATAGTCGAGGACAGGGGCAATGGGCTGTAATAGAATGATGCTTCAAGACCGAGGATTGAATCGAATTCCCGACTCACGGTGAAGGGAGGGAAATAGCCTCCGTTGCAACTACGACGCGAGGGAGAGGTTAAAGTATGGAGAATGTACAGATAGTTCTGGCACATTTGGAATATACTACCAAGTTGTAGGTGGTACGATAATGTGTTCTCTATGTGTATGATATTCGCACCTTGGGATACCTCGCATCTCAATATCTACAGGAGGTGAGGATTTTGTTACTCAACTAGTGCCCAACACAACTTACTTATTCTCATTAATCAACAGCATCTCCGGCTCAATCTTCTCCGTTTCCTCATGCTCTTGTAGCGTAGCCTAAATCTCAGCCGGGTGCTCAAGACACCTCACGTCAGAAGGCGCATTCGACAAAATCAATCGTCACAACCCAGCTAGTTTCTTGGGACGCGAAAGGAGTGGCTAGACCACAAGACAAGGACCCTAGAATAGCATACTCCTTTAACCCACGTTTTTGAACGATATTCTTGAGTTGGGCGACGCAAATAGTGTTGCGCTAAAATGAGACTGGTTAAACATAAAATGAAGATTAATTAATTAATCATCTTCGTCGATCCGACGACCTTTCGAATCGTTGGAATCATAGACTGGGAATTTGTAGGAATTTCCCCACCATATTTCGAGCTTGCGCTTTGGGGAGAGAGTTCGGGTGGGGGGCTTGTGAGGAAGATATATGATGATGCTTGACCATGCGAGCTTGAATTTTTCGGTCCCAAGCCTGATGATGATCTGCTGGCTTGCTTTACACAGTCATGATCCTCCAGAAGGAAAATTCCATGTGTGCAATTTCTGCGTGGAATTCTAACTCCATCGCGTCGAAATCTCCACTTTTATTCCTTCCAAAAAGAAATCCCACCTCGTTGGTAACAGCAATTGGCTTTTGAGTCTTAAAGGAGCAGATATACTTACGTACAAACACGTGTCTAGATATTCATACAAGGCATGGATGAGGCGGTGACGAAACTGGGGTCAACCATGAGTCCAATTATACACGACGTAGTCTACTGCGCCGTAGAAAGCTTAACCCTCTGAAACCAGTCCTGCAACACATAAACCTTGTCGTATCATCCTTCCTATCGCCAGTTTGGCGCCAAGAAAGACTGATTTGGGTCCGAGTAGTGCCAGGAATTCCGGGGAGAATTACTGCGTTACTGAATACCGAGTATCACAACCAAAAGAAAATTAGAGGCAAGGATAGGCAAGAATATGTTCTGTTTTGTTAAGAAAAGGTGTGCGCAAGCGTGCGCAAGCCACGCATCATCACTCTTTCTGGGTCAGAGACTGGAAAGTTGATTTTGAATGCATGTGCCACCTTCACGTACATCGTGGCTGGCCTCCGTAAATCCCACCATAGGCAACCAGCTAACCAGACTAAACACCGCCTCAATCAATCCGAATCTCATCCTGCAACGTCCAAGCCAAGATTTTACGTAGTATATGCACAGACAGGAAGGAATTCACATCCATGGGCAGAGGTGAGTATCAGAATTCCTTGGCCCCTCTGTCTCCATTGCGATCGTTTCTTCACTTCCTTCCCTCCTTCCTATATCTCGTGTTTCTAGGGCGCGAAGTGTAAGACCACCATTAACAATGACTCGACGGGCTTTCGTCGTGGCTGTTGCGATCTCCTTACTTACTTCTGTGGATGCTCTTGCAAGTTGTTATTATCCCGATAAACAGACAATCGACCCCACCCACGTGCCGTGCAACTCGACGATATCTACCCCATCAGCGTGTTGCCATCCCTTAGATTCTTGTTCGACAAGCGGGTTCTGTCTGGGAAGGTCGGGATTCACATATCGCGGTAGCTGTACGGATCGAGAATGGCGTTCTTCGGTGTGCCCAAAACAATTCGATCCATGCGTGAGTAGTAAGTACTCCACGTAACATGACAAATCCCCGAGTTAACAGTGGCCATTTCCAGATCCCGACACGCTTAAGCCGTTTTCCATCCTCACACCATTGGTATCTTGTTCTCCACTGGGCACCACCCCATTGGAATTCTGTTGCAAATTCAACAGCACGTCCTGCTGCAATGGTACTACGTTTAAACTGGGGGACACCGGAGCTGCTTTCCAACCTGGCCAAGATTCTAAGATTCAGTCGTTCACATCCGCCGCATTGGCTGCTGCAATAAGTGGAAGCGCAGTCCCCGGCAGCGCGATCGATTCAAACTCTTCGAATCCGGACTTCTCGAATAGAGACCTAGCGACGAAAATTGGAGTCGGCATCGGCGTACCACTCGCCGTATTTGGAAGTGGCATTTTGGTATTCTTAGTCTGGAGAGAAAAGCGGAAAAACAACGTCAATGCAGAGAAGCCGATACAGATTATCGATCCGGGGATCTTTAATAAAGATCCGCCAGCTTCAAATTACGCATTATCCCCTCCACAGAGACCTACCCCCCCGTGGAGGCCGGCCTCGGTGTATGAAGCCCCAACAGAAATGCGTACTCATGAATTGCCCGATACTTCTCGATAACGCTGGCGTCTTAAAATGTGGGCTTCCATATAACTGTGTATATAATCAGGATGTCCAGGCAAGACCATTTCGGCAGTGACGCCAATGGATCACCAAGGAGGACTCGAGAATCTATATCTGAAGAAGTTTCTGGGAAACTTATGTGCTGGTTCTTAATATAGATGCGGAGAGGGTCGAGGCATCGGTTTGGAGTCTGGTCACGAATTGCATAGATGGCGAATTTGTAAAATAGGGTTGGTTGTCCTTTTGTTTTTGTACCTTATACCAGCAGTTTTATATATATACCTTAACGTAAAGGTACTGGCACTGAAAACCAACTGGTTAGTAAGGCTCGGGCCAGTCGCTTGGTCATTGGATATTCGACTATCGATTGCAATGGCAAAATTTGAAATACATTTGAATCTATGCCTATCAAGGGTCCATTCCAGAGAAATACCAGAGATATGCACCGAAATTGCACCATTTCACAAAGAGTTTATTCTTCTCTCTCCCTCAGTCGCCCCAAATGTTGCTCGGGATACTCAATTCGCTCGGGGTTGGCCTGGTTGGTCAACAAATAGCCCCATTTTTGATAGCTCCGGGAAAACCGACCAGTCGGAGACGATAGTTTCCCCTTCCCAAGCCCGACAACCAGAACGAAGTCCCCGAACGTGAGATTTTCTGATTGGATATTAGATATATAGAACTACTCGCCCTAGGTACGAAGTATTATTAGAAGAAGTTGCAAGCTGCCTAGAGCCTAGCTAAGCTCAACGTCAGAAATCATGCACCGCGCCGAGTAGTACTTTCATACTTAATAGTTACGGCCGACGGTACTTTGCGGAGGACATCATATTTAAATCTCCTTAATCTACCTACAATTTTTGTTGCCAGAACTGCTTCACCGAGAACTCAAAATGATTGACGAACTCAGAGATACTGAAAGCTACCGGGCGGAGCTTCGGAAATCAGGGGTTGTGGTTATTGATTTCTATTCAACGCAATGTCCTCCTTGCAAGGTGAGTTTCGGCGCTTCTCCACATCAAACCTGGCTATAATATCTATCAAGTATATAAATCATATTGACACTTTTTCCAATAGGCTGTTGCGCCATTATATGAGAAGATTGCGGAAAACAGGGAAAATCAAGACTTCCGGTTCTTCAAGGCAAACTACACACAACCATTCCCTCCGAACTCCTTCACTAATGGGTACTTCTGGTGGATAGGTGAACGGACTGATAGAACCAGGATCCTCGATACAACAAGAAGCTGAAGTAACTTGGTGGCCAACATTTGTGGCGTACAAGGACGGCCGGGAAGTGTGGCGGGCGAAGGTTCCAAACCCGCCATCCCGGGAGCCGATTTTAGACCTGGAGAGGTTTTTAGGGAGCCAGCGGAGCAGTTGACAGATGCCGGTGCAAGTGCCGGTGCAGTGTGTTATGGGCAGGCGTTTGTAATCTTACTACTTGGCTTGGCCGAAAATCAATATTGTTAGTATCCAGATAGGAAATATAGGAGATACTTCGTATAGAAGGCGAGTGATATTGTGTGCTTTCTATAATATTCTCGAACATCGATCTTTTCCCGGGGATCTGGTACTCGTTAGCGCACGCCAACCTTATCTCTACCACGAACACCGCCGGAACCTGTGAGAGTACAGAAACACCTGCAACATCTACACCGGGCCATTTATCCTTTCTCGCTCTTCCTCCAGGGGCATGGCGCGTCTCCTACGGCATGCATGACGATACACTGGCCTTTTCTCGTCGGCACTCGGCGGCGAACCGGCCTACAGCTCTAGCTTGCGCGGAGTGTAGGAAGAAACATCTCAAGTGCGATTCCAAGCGTCCGGAATGCGCGCGTTGTGTAGACACACGCTCCGTTTGTAGCTACGAAGTATCGCGCCGTGGACATCGTGGAACAGCATCGCGATCGCGACACACATCGGAGAATGGCCGTTCGCCGGAAAGCCAGAGAATCTCAGGCTCGGTGGTACAGCAGTCTTTGCCCCAAATAAGACTACTCCCGAAGCCGATGGGATTAATGCCCGTACCAGATCAAGAGCAGCGCGAGCCAGAGCGGCGATCACAACTCCAGCTTCATCAACAACAACCACCACCACAACCACAACCTCATCAACAACAACAATCACAACCTCACCAACAACAACAGCCACAACATAATGAACAGCAGCAGGGCCATCCCCGGTCCCAGTCCCTGCCCCAGTCACCACATGTGCCATCTTTTGACGGTGGATTTCAAAACCAGGTCACCGGAAGCGATGCCAGTAGCTCGCCATTTCCTCGAAACCTCTATGATGAGCAGCTAGTAAATCTATTCTATAACAATTTCCATCCTGCACATCCAATCTTAGTCCCCAGGAGCTTCTTCGTTGGCCGAGCCTATCCGCGTTACCTCCGGCAGGTTGTCCACTTCATTGGAAGTCATTTCTCCACCACCGTGTCAAGTGACTCACTTCTAGCAAGCGTGGTGGAAGAACTTCAAGATGAGAATCAGAAAACGTCCGCGATGGTGCAAGCTAGACTACTTTGCTCCATTGCACTTCACGCCCGGAACGAGACCAAGGATGCACAAGCGTTGCTGAAGAACGCTATCGGCCTAGCCATCGATCTAGGTATGCATCAAAGATTTTATGGCACAATACCCATGGTCCTTGAAGCACGGGAGCGAGAGAGTATGCGAAGAACTTGGTGGGAGCTCTTCATTACAGACTCATACTTTGCTGCCCTGTATCGATTAGAGGGATTCAAATCCAGCACCGGCTACAACAATGTGCTCCTCCCGTGCGAGGAATCCGAGTACATGAGCGAGTCACCCGTGTTCAACCCCCCTTCACTATCTCAATTCGAGGCCCGGATTTTTGCGGTCGAAGAAAGGGAGTTCTCCTCATTCTGCTACAGAATCGAAGCAGTCCGCATCCTCTCACGAGTGATTTCCGTAGCCGGAACCAACAGCCTCCACATAGATCAGGTTCAAGCCATCGATAATGTGATCGCCGGCTGGACACACCACCTCACGCCGGCCAAGGCAGATATCATCAACCACTACGGCGAAGGCGACGAGCTACTCTTCCAAGCCCACATGATCGTCCAATACGCCGGTATGTTCCTGCATTTCCCGCGCAGCGATCTTATCTCCACCATTCCAGACTCGGCCATCGCCTGCGCGCAGAGCGAAACCCTAGTTCCGCCTACCTCCCCCCAGCATCTGCATGGGATCAAGGCTGTGGAGGCTTCAAAGGAGCTAGCTAATCTTGCGGCCTTAAGACTACCTGTTCAGAGGCATACGCCGTTCTTTATCTGCGGGCTGGTGAGCAGTGCGATTGTGCAGCTGTCTGCTTCGGCAAAACATGGGACGTATTGTATTGAACAACACCGTGATCGCGTATCCTTGATCATTGGTGTACTCAGAACGCTCAGTAAAAACTGGGCGTTGGCTCAAGCGGCGCTTCATGAGTTAAAACAGGTCGCTGGCGAAGTGTTGCAGATTAGCCCCGGCCTAGCCTCCGAGTCTCTACAAGATGATCAATCGTCTGCCGTAGGATTTCACCCCGTCATTGATAACTCCTGGCTTAATAGTATCGACTTTGAGGGTGTGCAGGGGCTCTTGCAATTTGGGTCTGACCTTGTCTTCCCTAATACGATCTAGTTGGTCGTACCTTTGATTTTTCATGTATTATTTCGGCGTTCAATTCTAGAGGTTCATAAATGGCATGGGCGTTTTGTGACTATAGGGCGGTCTCTTCGCTCTGTAGAGGTTGATCGAGTTTACAATCACTAGTTTGTAATAGCGGTAGAAGCAAAGAGTTGACTTTCATGATATCGTTGAATTATCTTTATCTCTATTTATTCTGGCTTCAAATTTGAGCCCTCCTTCTCTGCATACTCCATAATAACACTTCTAGGCTCGACATACTTGCCAAGCGGCACATATTCAAAATCATACCCATATCCCTTTGGCCCACCAATTTCTATACCCCGCTCCGTTTCTGTCCATCGTGGCGAGCAAGTTATGCCAATCACCACGACATGGTATCCATACCTGTACTCCGGAACACCCACTGCCCTCCCAGTCTCTTTATCAAGAACCGCAATCAAGTCCGGGGCACTTGCCACGATCTTTTTAGTACCGTCAGAATCCGTGTGCTCAACATAAATATTCTCATTCTTGAACGGGATCTGGATGCTGCCACCAGTTACCACAGCTGGCATACTGGTGCTAGCCAAATCATCAACTTCTTCACTCGGGACTTCGACAATAGTGAGGACGCCAACTGAATGGCCCTTATGCATGGCATTCTCCACAGATACAATCTTCCCACGGAAAATAATCTTCGCACTCTCAGCCCCGCCAACTTCTTTAATGATCGCTTCTCCAACGGTTGAAAGTGCATTATTTGCCTGCGCTTGCGCAATCGCCCGTCCTATCCGCCAGGACAAGGAAACCGTATTCAGCACTGCATGTTTACGCGCCATCGCCCCCGTCGTCGGTTTACAAACCAGTCCAGCAAGGGAACCCATTTCTGTGATAGCACCTCGGAGAACTTTATCTACAGTCGGATCGTCGGTGCTTCTTGTCATGACAATTGACTGGCCATCGCCGGAATCGACAGAACAGGGAGCCAGGTTTCCAGGTGCATGTACCGAAAGGGTGTTTTGCCAACAGCATGGATTTGCTTTGCCCATGAAATCCCCATCGATAATTGGCCGGTCGTAGAACCTGTCCGAGCCCCATAGGAATGGTTCAAGTCCGTTCGAGCCGCCAATTTCAAGGGGCATCACGGCAGCAAATGTAGAGTGCCCTAGGTACTCCATTAGCACCTTGATCGCGGAAACGGTCTCATGCGCCTGGAGTCTCTCGGCGGTTGTTGCAGGAGATCCCATGCGACCACCCCAGTAAATGACAGCATCATCTTCTAGGGCTGAGTGATCAACACAGCGTATCTGGTAACCCGTTTTGAGCATATCTAGGAGCTGAAGTCTCCCAGGTCCTGGACTACCGCCTCCGCCACATCCGAGTACGTAGCAGCCGTCTGAGATGTAATCAATATCAATCGCCGAGATCAACCACTCCGGAATGCCCTGTGCGGTTCTGACAATGGTTGGTCGGTAAGCATGGTGGTCGATGGGCGTCTCTTCCACGACGATATCATGGAATATCTTCGTTGACTCCACGCTCGTATATACATCATCATCACCAGTATCTTCATCCTCGGCAACGAGTAGGGACGCGATAAGATCTAGGTCGCCAATTGCCTTGACGACGATTCGAAGCTGGTTGGCCAGATACGGAATCGGCATGGCATCGATTTCCGCAATCTCAACAGAACCCTCAAGCGCGCCGGCCTTAACAGCACGCGCAATTGCAACCTCGCACGCCTTTTCGCGAGCTTGCTTGCTGGTCTGGTTTGCTAAGCTTTGGATCATGTCAACTGTTCCTCCCACCTTGGAACAGGCAGCTCCAACGGCATTGGCTACACCATGAAATGGAGGTAGTACCAGTTTTGAGGCACCGTGTAATGAATCTGGAGCGAGGATAGTTCCGCCTCCTACTAGAAGGACTGGTAATGGATCCTCAGAAGGCTTTATCTGCTCAATTGCTCGCTCGAGCAGAATTTTGAGCTTCTCCTGTGCTCCTTCCAGGAAATTAGATGTGAAGTGGCCGACTAAGTCTCGCGATCCGATGTCAGTCTTTCCAGCTGCTACTGCAATATCCGTTGCAGTAATTGTGCTACCGCCGAACACCAGAGCTTTCGTTGCAAGGTCGTGCCCCACAGATTCTGGTCCAATGGTGATTCCCCGGTCGGTTTCCAGCACGAGCGAGCCGCCGCCCAGACCTATTGAGTGCAAATGCGGCATTGAATAATTTACGCTGACCCCAGAAACAGTCACATAGGCAGAAGCCTGCTTCGGAAATCCAGAAGGAAGCAGAATCCCTACATCTGTCGTCGTGCCCCCAATATCAACCACAATGGCGGATGTGGAACCCAGTTTGTGCCCGGATAAATAAGCAGCACCACGCATTGAATTGGTTGCTCCTGAAGAGAAGGTCCGGATTGGAACTTTGGCTGCTGACGCTGACTCTAAGAGCGTCCCGTCGTTTTGGGTGAGGAATAGGGGACATGTTAGGTTCAGTCGTTTCATTGCGGACCGAAAATTCCGAACAGTCTGTCGAGCGTATCTGAGGATTGCTGCATTGAGAATAGATGCGTTCTCGCGCTCCAGAAAGCCTAAGTGACATTTTAAGTATATATGCTCGAATAGAAACTGCGATATGCGTAGACTTACCGATATTAGCCACCTCGTGAGAACAAACAATATCCGCGCCGGGGATCTCGCGTGCGATAATGTCCCTTACACGCTCTTCCTGCCGGCTCTCTTTATCAATGGGCGAATACACTCCGGCAACAACAATAGACGTAAGGCCCAACTTTTTAATCTCTTGACATTCCCTCATCACCTGCTCCTCCACCACGGGAGCCTCCTCCGATCCGTCAATTTGCAATCCCCCGTCAACATATCCCACATACCCATTCAGAATCCCCGCCAGGCCGGCCGGCCAGCCTGAAAATGGCTTTACATCTCTCAAAAAAGAGCGGGATAGGCGAATGATCGCTACGCGGCTTAGACGTCGAGTATCCTGCTCGATCACGGAGTTTAAAAATGCTGTGGTACCAATTGTTACGGAGGCGAGTTGACTATCTGTTATTTGTGATTCTTGTAAAATATGTCGGACTGCTGTCTCGATCCCGGAGGTTATATCTGCGGTTGTGGGTGTTTTGTGGTGGGATAGTATGCCGCGCGATGGGGAGTCTTGCTGGGAGAAGTCGATGGCGACGGCATCGGTGTTGGTCCCTGTTTTTCATATTCTTGTTAGGTGCCGCATTCCGTGGGATTTGGAAGATTCGTTACAACATACCTCCTACGTCGACGCCTATCCGGACGGATTTGGGTGCGATTGAGCCCATTGTGGCCGGTGATGATGCGGGGTTATTTGACTGGTGCGGGGCTATTAATAGAGAAAATCATGAGAATGACGGCTAGAATAGAAATTCAAAAGACCCTTTTATAGTAGAAGACATGAAGCTCTCCAGAATAATCAGGATTTTAAGAATGAAATCGACCTAAGTCCACGCAGAGCAAACATAACTTGCCTACAGCCTCGAAGCCTTGTGTGCTAGCTTATAATATCTCCGTAACCAATCGGCATTTGCATCGGGGTGCCATCGGGATATATCCGGGAATATTGTTATGCCCGCGGACCGGAACCAATCGGAGGCTCAACACCTCTCGGGGGCAATAAAACGCTCGATTGCGAAAAGTTGCAATAGTCGATCTGGGCGAGGACTAGAGCAGTCCAACAAGGGCGATAATGGACAAGCCTCAATCACATCATCTGTCGAGGCCGTTATACGTGCAAATACAGCACTAATACAATCATCAAAAACTACCTGGGTCAACAACATATAACCTCTAGTGTCCCTGCGACATCTCCACGATGGGTCTCTCGACATCTGCAGCAATCTATACGAACCATGACAGAGGCACCACCACCATCAGGGAACTCTTCGGTCTGCGGGAGGATTAAGCATGTTCTGGAGCTTCCCCCCGCGGCGGGCGAGCTGAACTCGGAACCGGATCATTGGAAGAATAGAGATCTGATTCCTCTCCCTCCCAGTACTTTATCCTTCCTCATATATCAGTCGTCAACCCCGGACAATTGCTCTTTTTGACAGCCAGGTCTAACATGTTTCCTCGGGGTAGATCGTAGGATTTGGAAAGATGTCGATTTTATCGGCTTGTGGAGTACCGTCTTCTTGACTACCTTCGGGTGGCAAGCTACGGCGTCTTTGCTAGCTCTTGGCCTCAACATCTGGCAAGCTGTTTTGTGTAACTTCATCGCAAGGCTCTTTCAGGTTGTGTTTGTGCTGAGCATGGGATGGTAAGTCTTTTAGTCTCTTTTCTAAATGGCTTGTTTCGCCGTTGCTGATGGTATGAATAGGCCTGGTGGAGTGTGGCATATTGGGTACTCGGTCAGCTCGAGGTATGCCTTTGGAGTGTTCGGCGGCTTCGTGCCACTCGTGCTTCGCATCGGACTTTGTACTGGTGAGTTATTTCGTCATGACTCGTAGATCTCCAAGATACTCATTCTATGATAGTTTGGTATGGTGTTCAGGCCTTTACTGGAGGGCAGCTGCTTGGTGTGATCTTATCCACGATCTTCCCAACATACCACAACATGAAGAATACGCTACCGGCATCTGCATCGATGACGACAAAGCAATTCGTTGGATATGTAATTTACAACATAAGTAAGTAGTGTTATGTTCTAACTTAGCGTGAACCTGGAACTAACCATTCATAGTTGTCCTCCCATTGCTATATATCCAACCAGAAAAACTAAGAAAACCATTCCGCTACACCATGATACTGAGCGGCCTCTCTATCATCGGACTCTCCGTCGGCCTCTTAGCAGGTGCCAAAGGCCCTGGTGACCTCGCAAGTATTGCATCGAACAGCGCACACGGCTCTAAACTCGGCTGGGGTTTCGTCCAAGGTATAAGCGTCATCCTCGGCAGCGGCGTAGTGGGAATGTCCAGCCAGAGCGACTTCTCTAGATTCGCACGCCGGCCCGGAGACCAAGTCCTAGGTCAAACCCTCGCCGTGATGGTATTCGGCAACATTGTCCCAGTACTCGGACTCCTCGGCACAGCAGCTGCCTCGAAGATGTACGGGGACGTAGCTGAACTCGGCCTCTGGAACCCTCCTAACATCCTTGAACTATGGCTCGATCAGCAATACGACAATCCCAAGATCCGAGCCGCTGCATTTTTTGCGGCCGTTGGATTTCTGGCTAGTATCATTGCGCTGAACTCGATTGAGAATGGCGTTTCGGGCGGGATGGATGTGGCGGGTTTGGCTCCGAAATATATCAGCATCAGACGGGGATCGTATATCCTGGCTGCTCTATCCGTTGTGATCCAGCCGTGGCAGATCATTGCGAAAGCATCTGTATTCACGAGTGTAATCTCGAGTTTTGGCAGTACTTACTTCAGTCCGCTTCCACACCCCAATTCAGTGTTCTAACTTCCATCTAGGCATCCTCTTCCCCTTAATGGGAGTCTTCACAGCAGACTACTTCCTCATCCGAAGCAAGAAGCTTAAGCTTGAAGATCTGTACACCGCAAACTCAGACAGTATCTACTGGTTCAACGGGGGTTTCAACTGGCGATCATTCGCAGCCTGGACCCTAGGCTTTGGGTTCTCTGTCCCCGGACTGGTAGCCGTGGACCCAAAATACACAGACATAATCCCAGCTGGATTTCTCCACTTCTTTTACCTATCGTTCATTGCTGGGTACCTGATCTCGTTCACCACGCACTGGCTTTTCAGCACAGTCTTCCAGCCCCGAGGGCTCGGTGAGACGGATCGACTTGACTCGGTAAGTTATGCTCTTTCCTCACGCAGGTTTGGTTCTGTATACTAATGCGAGATTTGATAGTTTGGTACCTTTACACCTGACGAAGCTGAGAAACTGGGCATTGAGATACCGCTTGCAAGTGAGCAAACGTCTTTTGATGAAACTGTAGGGAAGGAGGCTTCGGAGACCCATTCCTCTGTAATAGTTTAAGAGGAAGAGGGGGTGTGTTGATTATTTTGTTATAAGTACTTAGATATAGTTTTTAAATTTTAATATCAAGCGCATGCTTTGGCTGTTCATATTCTACCTCACCTACGGGGTTCTCATGGTTTTTACAACGCTCGCCCTTAAGCTTTAATAAAACATAGAAACATTTGATTATACGAGAATTATCAGTTTCATTCCCCCTTTGTCTACTTGTGAATTTCGGATAGGTGCAAATTAAGGAACTTATCGTGTAGGGGGTAATTGAGGTGAGCATGAAGTAGATGCATGTATCATACCGCTCTTACTCGGCGGGGGTATACATAAAGATACATGTGGCCTCGGCTACCTACCGCATCATCCTCCAATTGACCAAAGATCGTCTACTTTCACTCAGGTGCAAACGGACGGGCGAATCTACAGGTGCAAGAACCCGCGTTGTCCTGGCTGACTGGCCTCTTTTAGCTACACAGCGCAAGAAGCGCCTGTATCTCCAGCGCCATATGTTTCCATTTTCGCGACCCTTTTGCGCAAGCGAGCAATATAGTGAGGTGCAATAAGTTTGAACACACCGCTTAGTAGCGTTCCGATACTTACCATTCCCCTGGCAGAAATCACTTCAACATAATCAGCCTGGTGATCCAAAATTCAGCTCCTATTGATACGTCACATTGGATTGTTTGGTGTGGATAGTGGAATAATTGATAGTTGGCTCATGGGTATTTATCGGGATTAAGCGCTTCAGATGGAATTGCAGTTGCACAAATAGGGATCATTAGTTAGCAGTTCTTTTGCTTTCATCATTATAGTTATCATTGCTATTTTAGCTACCAGGTCCTTGCCATCCTGGACCTTTCTCTCTCTTACACCAATCAATCCACACCCTTACTTTTCATCAAGACCCATTGACTCCTAATTACACTCCTAATTTTCTGGTACCTCGAACCAGAAGGGAGATCCCTCCGTCAGGATCTACCGATTGGGTCTCAAATTACCCTTCTGTCGCGTGTCGCACACTGTTACAGTGTCGCGTCGTGCGCGACTACACTTCAAATCAACCCTCGCCATTCAAGGCATCAACTTCAACCAATCAAGGTCATCAACCTCCATCAAGATACATCAAACGATAATCAAAAGTCATCGAATCCATCAGGTACCTACGGCGCATTCTTGGGTGACTTTGGTGCCATGCAATCTAGATGGCGTAAATATCTCAATTTCGATCAGATATTTATACAACTTGAATACCTCAATTTCGGTGAGATATTCAAACAACTTGAATACCCCAATTCTAGTGAGATATTTATCTTACTTACTTTCAGGGCGGTAGTATTCAAAATACGCACCTCAGCTGCCCTGAAGCAACCACACTGGCCAGGGGGGGGGGGGGGGGGGGGGGTTCAAACTTATTGCACCTCACCTTACGAAGTAGCTTCACTGATATTCTCTACGTCCTTTTGAAGTATTACTTACTAAGGTCTGTTGAGCGAACAATAATAAACCACAGGTTACTCCAAAACGAACAAGACACAGAGGCACCCGTTACGAACGACTGCCAATAATACCTGAGTCTCCAGCCGACCCTGAAGCGCCTGTCACGTCGGAGCTATATCTCGAGAACGGAGAAATGGACTGCCAGTTATACGTCAAAACTGAGCATATATTCGATGCATCCATCGGTCGCACTACTCCGCATATATAGTTTCCACCGGAAAAGCACGCCGTTCGACACACGCCTCACACAGAAAAGTTACTAGTATCCTGCGAAGGAATTTGGTCTCGAAGGATATAAACTTGGGTTCCAACCCCATTGCTTGACGAGGGACTCGGAGGACGTAGAGTTGATCGTGGTGGTGTAGTGATTTGCGCGCATTGCCAAGGCCGTGCTTGGGGCAAAGCGCGCGCATGTGTTTTCCTTCCCATTTCGAGATAATCTATGGCGCTCTCGAGGGAGTCTTGAGACACTGTGACAATTAGGTGACATTTGCCACTCACCTGATGCTTGGCATATTGATTCGTGCGGCTAGGTACATGCCTTGCCTTTCCTTAGGGTCTTCTTCTGTCTGTGTTTATATTCCGACTTTAAGGATCTAGGTGCGGGGTGCATCTTGGATTCTTGCAGGTTGCAGCTGGCTGCATATATAGGCGCCAACGATGCACATACAGTGCTGTAGCTAGCTCATGTGGATTTGGAAGAAAAGGGAGAGGTCTCAGGTTTATTTCCAAGACCAGCCGGCTACCTCGTCTAACTCCCTCTGACGCGACTGGAGCTGAAGAGATGGCCTCTTCCTTCAAACAGGCCTGGGACAACCAAGACCAGCCGCCAACTCCTCTGACGCGACTGGCGCGACTGAAGCCGAAGAGATGAGCTCCTCTAACCATGCCTGGGGAACCCCGTGATAGCAGTCCCGCCCGTGACAACAATCTACCCCGTGACAGCAATCTTATCTGGGACAACGATCTTATCCCTGACAGCAAGCGGAGGAGTTGATGGAGACAGTCTCGGAAGTCGATCTCGCATCCATCTGGATTTCGATGAATAGAAACAGATCGGGGTGCTCACAGTTTGGATGGTACGAGGTTTACGTATCAAGAAGAAGTGGTTGCGGAGAGGTGGTTGTGGGTGTCAGATCGACGGCTTAGCTGTCTGGTCGAGTAGTAATGATACTGTGTGGCTGGCTGCAGGGTTGAGACATTGAAAGGCCGGGAGGGAGCAGCGCAGCGCCACAGCGCAAAAGCACCAACGGAGAAAGCAGAGCGGGACTCATATTGAAGCTACTGTTTTAATACTCCGTGGTACGTACGTGTTGGTGGTGCCCTTTACGGAGTATTCTGCGATGGTGTTTGTGCTGCGATATGGGTGTGTAGTAGGGTAGTGCTGGGTGATGTCATTTGAGCACCTCATATGTACTACTGTACTCGAGTACCGGGAATAATAAATACATCCAAGACTGGGAGAACTCTATCTGCTACCTGGGACTGCGCTTTACTGCGCTTTACCGGGAGGCGAAAAGCACACACCCCGGGCGGTGTGTTTGTTGTTGTTGTTAAATAACTTGGTGTTGTTCCAGCCCAGATTTATTCGTGCGTGTGCAAGCATCAAGCCTCCAGCATCCAAGCATCAAGCTTCAGCTGGACAGGGGGGAGCAATCAGGATCCGCGACAGAGATTGCCGAAGGAGAGCGTAGTGCGCCGCCTAGGAGAATAGGAGGAATAGGAAGTGGGCGAGGGAGAATTTATTCACATGTGTCCGCATCTGTGTGAAGTAAAGAGTTTTCACTTATGGCTCTTGCTCTTGCTCGGCTGGAGATACCATCGCGGTGCTTAATACTTTTGTTTTACAGTAGTAAGGTTCTTAGGAGTTGTAGCAAGAGGTCTCATAACAACCGTCGTGGGATGATCTCATTTGCCCAGTTCCAGGGGCTGCTTTTATGCTTTCTGTGCCTGGCCCGACGCTGTAGTTCCCCCGCTGCTCCTCCACTTGCCGCCAACCACGGCTACGAGCGTATGGACAGACATTTGCTAGACATCTACGAAGTACGAAGTAACTAATAGACCATTCTCTATTGTGCTCAGCTATCAATTGCCCATTGCAGCTTCCATCATGAACCAATGTCTCAACTCCCCAGCATAATTCCCATCCTCGCCCATTCCGCGTCCGCGGTGGCCACCGATCTGCGCGCAATGTCTCTGCTGCAGCGTATCGTCACCGCCCGGGGGCCGGCAGCTGGGCAGCGGGGGTTTGCCAGCGATCGCCCCCAGGAAGCTCCTGAAATTCCCTGCTTTGGAGCACATCTAATCAGCTTCTAAGCTTCCCACTCGCTGGAACCACCGCCATATACAGGGCCTGTATCGTGGTTCGATAGAGTGCGCGTACTGTACCTCTGTAGGGGGTTTTATCGAACCCACTACTCCACCACCAACCCAAACTTGCTGGGTCTGCCACGGCCATAGCTTGGCTAGACGAGCGCCCCAAAAAATAAATCATTGCATTCATGTACAACGGAGATTCCCCTTCCCCCCTCTCGTCGAGCTACTACTACTGCATGTCTGTGCCACTGTGTTCTGTTTCTGTTTCTGTTTTTTCCCCCTCCTCTTCCTCTTCAACACCACAACGAGAGGACGATCGAGACCAGCGAGGCCCATCGCATAGCATAACAACAACCGCCGCATAAGAGAGCTACCTCGAGCTCCAGTACGACGTTCGAGTCGTCCGTTCGTGGCCCCTCGCTCCATAGCCCACCATGTCCAACCAAATAGACAAGAACGATCCGGGCACCTCGCTGTCTGGCTTGGTTGCGACGCTCGCCCCGACCGCGCTCATCGCTGGAATCTATGTCGTCGCGTTCCTGATCCTGCGAAAATCCCATCGTCGGTTTTATGCTCCCAGAACATACCTGGGTAGTTTACGCGAGGAGTATGTTGACACAGACAACACCAACCCCATCAAACAATAACTCATACTGACTTGTCCCAGGGAGCGCTCCGCGCCTCTTCCCAATGGCCTCTTCAATTGGATCGGGCCCTTCTGGAAGATCCCCGATACGTATGCCCTTCAACACCAGTCCATCGATGCCTATCTCTTCCTCCGCTTCCTACGTATGACCGTGGTTATCATGTTCGTCGGCGCCTGCATTACATGGCCCGTCTTGTTCCCGGTTAACGCGACCGGTGGAGGGACAGGAGGACAACTTAATTTGCTGTCCATGACCAATATCGATAAGGACAAGTCCGGTGGGAAATATCGATACTTTGCCCATTGTTTCTGCGGATGGATTTACTTCGGATTCGTGCTTCTCCTGGTCACCCGCGAGAGCATCTTCTATATCAACCTCCGCCAGGCCTATCTTATGTCGCCCGCATATGCCAACCGCATCTCGGCCAGGACAGTCCTCTTTACCTGTGTCCCAAAGCCGTACCTTAACGAGGCAAGACTTCGAAAGGTCTTTGGCAGCGCTGTACGACGGATTTGGATCGTTCGTGACTCCACCAAGGTCGACAAGATCGTGGAAGAGCGCGATACCGTGGCCTACAAATTGGAGGCTGCTGAGGTCAAACTGGTCAGGCTCGCAAATGGGGAAAGATTAAAGGCGGCCAAGAAAGCTGGCGCCGCTGCTGAAGATGCGCCGGTAGAAGCCCCTGTGGATGGAGATGCCGAGTCCGGTTCTCTGGCGGCCCGCTGGATTCCTATCAAGAAGAGACCAGCCCATAAACTTGGAAAATTCGGTTTATACGGTGAAAAAGTTGACACCATCGATTGGTCGCGTACGCAGCTGGAGAAATTGGTTCCGGAAACTGAAGCCGCCCAAGCCACCTACCGTGCTGGCGAGACCGACACCGTTGGAGGTGTTTTTATCGAATTCGCCCAACAGTCCGATGCACAAGCTGCCTACCAAACTTTGTCCCATCATCAGGCCCTTCACATGTCCCCTCGATATATCGGTGTCAATCCAAACGAGGTGGTCTGGAAGTCCCTGAAAATCTCTTGGTGGCAAAGAGTGGTCCGCAGAATCTTGGTCCTTGGTTTCATTACCGCATTGATTGTCTTCTGGGCAATCCCCGTTGCTGTCGTCGGTGCTATCTCCAATGTCGCATACCTTGAGACAATCTCTTGGCTTACTTGGTTGACCAAGATTCCCGATGTTATCATGGGAGTTGTCACCGGTCTTCTCCCATCTGTTGCACTTTCAATCCTCATGTCCCTTGTTCCAGTCATCATGAGACGTGAGTTTTCCCCCTCACCAAATCCAAATCAGTAACTAATGCGAATCAGTCTGCGCCCGTCTTTCTGGCGAAGTCTCCCTGGCCCGGGTTGAGCTCTTCACACAAAATGCGTACTTTGTCTTCCAGGTCGTGCAAGTCTTCCTAGTGGTGACGCTGGCCTCGTCAGCCTCTTCTATTGTCAAGCAGATCATCGACAAGCCTACAGGCATCACTGCGCTGCTAGCGGAGCGTCTGCCCACAGTATCCAACTTCTACATCTCCTACTTCATCGTTCAAGGATTAACCATTGCGTCTGGGGTCCTTTCCCAGGTCGTTGGGTTTGTGATTTTCGGGCTATTGTACAAGTTCATGGCCGGCACGCCAAGAAAGATGTATGCTAAGTGGTCCAAGTAAGTATCTTAATATCCCGTTGCTCCACTTAAGCCGGATACTAATCCATCTAGCCTGAGCGCCATCTCTTGGGGAAGCACCCTTCCGGTATTCACCAACATTGCTGTCATTGGTGAGTATACGGCTTCAACTTCCTGTCACCTGACCATCTTCTAACTATCACAGGTATCACCTATTCATGCATCGCTCCTCTGGTTCTCGGATTTGCAACCATTGGCATGTCCCTATTCTACATCGCCTTCCGTTACAATATCCTCTTTGTGACCGACTGCCAAATCGACACCAAGGGCCTCATCTACCCCCGCGCCCTACAACAGCTCCTCACAGGTGTCTACATCGCCGAGATTTGCCTCATCGGTCTATTCGGTATCTCAGGCGCCATCGGACCCCTTGTATTGATGGTTATCTTCCTCGTCTTCACCGTCCTCTACCACTTCTCCCTCAACTCCGCCCTCGACCCTCTCCTATACAACCTCCCTAAATCCCTCGACGCCGAAGAAGAGTGGCTCCGCGAAGGCCTAGAAGCAGGAATCTCCCAAGACGGAGCCATCAACGAGAAAGACGGCGGAGCCGTCACCGACGGCGTCGTCTCCCCCTCAGCAGCCGCAGTCAAGAAGCCCAACTTCATCTCCAAATTCTTCAAGCCACACATCTACGCCGACTACGCCACCCTCCGCCGCCTCGCCCCCAACGGCCCCATCGACCCTGACAACCTGTACGAGGAAACGGTCGCCGAGAACGCCTACCTCCCCCCCTCGGTAGCGAGCGAGGTGCCCTTACTCTGGATCCCCAGAGATGAGATGGGAGTCAGCGCCCAGGAGATCGCGCATACCAGCAAAGTCATCCCCATCACAGACGATGGCTGCACGCTCGACGAGAAGAACAAGCTTATCTGGGATGAGGAGGGCGCGCGGCCTCCTCTGTGGAGCCCCAAGGTGGATTACTAAATCTCCTCACTCTCACTCCACGCACCTGTCACTCACTCAGTATCTCGCATTCCGTGGTTATACTAGCATAGCGATAGAAGGATTCTTTACTTCTCTTTTGTCGCTCCTCGGCGTATTATTGTTGTTGATTGTTGATGATTGTTGGATTAGGGGGCGCAGTGAAGCCCGGGGGGTGATGGAAGTTATGGATTGTTATGTAGGCTGGTAAGGTTAGGTAGGTAGGTAGATGTATACCCCTGAGTCGCAGTATGTGTAATGCAGTCAGTTCAGTTAATACTCGATAATGAAAATCTTAATATTATACAACGATTTCAGCTATTTCTATCTTTCCGCAACGAGAAGTATTCTATAAAAAAACTATATCTGATCTCTACCGTGCGCCTAAACTAGCGTTTGGCGTACTTGGTATAAAAAAAAATTAATATCTGGGGTTTTGGGGTTGATGGTCAGTTATACTTCCCCCGTTATTCAATTATTGGGTTAAAGAGGAGAAAATAGCTAACAAAACTCTCGTAGTGCTAAACTATACTCGAATGCCAACAACATCTCCTCAAAGACAGGCTGTCAGGCTGTCTAGCCGAAACGAGTTAACTCCCGGGCGTATAGCGAGTTGTGGTAGGCACTCTTCCTTTGGCTTCGAGATGCTAGAGCGAGGGGGTGTGGTCGAATAGCCTGGTAAAGTTCAAATCATATTTAAAGATTGCTCCGATGATGTTTTTGGAAATACGAGATGGGCGGTCTTGAAGGTCGGGCGAAGACGGATTTTCTTAAATTCTTGAGTGGCGGCGGAGGGGGGAAGCTCCACCACCGACCACTTAAGGGGATGGTTTCTGACCGAGGTATGCTTCTAAATCAAATTCCATATGAATGAGACACTATAACAGAGATGTAGGGAAAACCTCGTGCGGAAAGAGACAACGTTTGTCCGTCAGGGGCACATTTCATCAGGGGTGCTACTCGACCCGATAGGTTTTTTGTTTTCCTCTTTTACTTTGGTGGTCGTGGAAACCAAGACGGATAGATCAACACAAACTTCAATTATTCGAACTCTTTCTCAGAAAGGCGAGCAGCACACTCCTCCCTATATGCCTTTAGTTGCATCATCTTCATCCGCGTAAATGGCTCCATCTCCGCACGCGTCTCGTCGTCAAGCAACTCAACCCCAGCACCGTCTTCGTCTTTATATAACATATTCCAATAGACGACGTCGATATCCAAGCTCTTCCTCGCCGCATAATTAAACCAGAACCGCCCAGTCTTCCATGAGTCACGCATCCGGGAAGAAAGACGTGGCTCCTCGGATTGCCCTATTAATGCTGACTTCGCCTCTATTCGCTCTAACGCTCGCAGGAACTGCTCTAACTTAGGCACATAGCGGGCTAAGAATTCTTCTATACTATAGCGTTCAAGCCACATATCAGGCCCTAGTAATAGCAGTCACCAAGGCGGGTCGTACACGAACTGGGCTGGCACAGTGTTTGTAAACTCAAAATCAAGCACGGCGGTGATACGGAGGGTTTCTGGGTTGACGAGCATATTCGAGGGTTGCATATCGTCGCAGAAGATTTTGAATGGACCGGCGTCATTAATACAGTACTTTGGGATAAGCTGTGCAAACCGATGACGGGCGATAAACCGCCTCTGAGCGTCTTCTGCATCGTCGGCGAGATTCCGCTGGGTTTGAAGGTGGATTAGGTGCTGGCTTGCAACTGACCTAAACGCTTGCACGGTCAAGCGGCGTAGTACGAAATTGATCGATAGGGTAGCCTGTAGAAGTTGCTAACTCGTTCATATTATATGTTAGGGGTCTTCCGGTAACAGACCATGTATTTAAAGCGTGGTCCTTTGAGATAGCTCTGATACGGGTAAAATCAAGCCGAGAAATTTGAAGTATATAATCAGCAAGTTGATTATAAATAGTATCGGGCATTAGGCTATCGATATCTGGATTTAGAATCACGTCCTCTTGATCGTCTGTCGTTGGTTGCTTTAGGATAGTTGATAAACGCGTTCCATCGATAAAATCCATAATGATAAATGGCCCAAGCTGCTGTGGGCTCTCCTCCGTCAAACCCCAGCTGAGTACACGAGGGAGAGGAATGGTGGAATGTTGGCTGAGGTACTCTATAAACCGCACCTCGTTCGTAACCTTTTCGGCCCTCCACGTTGTGTGTCCCGGTTTTGCAAACCGAATAAGAGCGCTCTGTCGTCTATCGCCGAAGCCGATGCGGGGGCTCAGGTTGAATGAGCCCTTCAAGAAACCAATGAACTCTCCGGCTCCACCTCCATCCAGGACACCATCCACAAAAGCCACGATATCATCTTTTGCGTCGATGACCTTGCGCAGCCAAGCCCTGCATTCATCATCACCGTTGGCCTCAGCAATCCCATCGTAGACTGTCATTTTTATCCAGCGTTTAGCTGACTGATGCGATGGCTGAATGAGAATGGGGATGCAAGCTGGACAAGGCGACTCCAAAGGTGGCAGACTAGACTGGCCGTAAGTTGGGAAAGCGAGAAAGCGAGAAAAGGCTTATACACAGGAAGATCAAGCGCGCCTTTGCGAATTCTAATAAGAGGATGAACAGCATAGTCAGCCTTGCGTTTATCGTAAGAATCGCGACAAGGACAGTGGTGGTTACACACACACCTTTACCATGCAATTCTCGATTTACCTTTTGCTATTATATGAATCGATAGGCGCCGTCGCCATGAGTTCCACCTGTTGGGGGCCAAAGTGCTTACTTGGTACAGGTACTTATAATTCTGAAACGCATGATAGCCTATTCTTGGGAAGCAATTCATGAGGCTACAAAGTATATTGCGCGCGCTTCGACTCGGTTATTCATTGGGTAGTTGCTTTTGTGCATGGTGAAGTATCAGTTTGACCTCTGGCAGACCTGCACAGGTCTCCCTCAGGCAAGCCACCACATGCAGCTCTCAGCCTCGAACGTTGGCATCTCCGGTCCACAGTAGTCGCCCAACTTCCGTCCTCTGAGCCTCCAACACCTCATCGACGACCCAACCTCTCCACCTCTCACTAACGCATGAAGCACAAGGAGACGACTCTCCCCACTTCTCTCAACCTATGTTCCGGACGAAAAGTGACTGATATTGTTCCCCTCTCAAGTTTCAACACTTTCCATTGTTAACAGCTTATTTTAGCACTACCTGTAAGGGCGCCCATCCAATTCTCGTCTTGGTTAATGTTAATTAGAACTATCTAGCACATATAGGATTTAAGCTCCTTCAAGCAACCACGCCATGTCGGGCGCCGAGGCTAGTATAGTCTTGGGAGTGATTTCATCAATCATTACCATTGTCGATAAGACTAAGCAAGTCTATGAGGCCGCAAACAATGTGCAAGGCCTACCTGAAGCTTTTCGCGAGGTTGCAGGTCGGCTTCCAATCGTAAACAATATCTTGGACTCAGCAAAGCAGCATATTGAGAATGGAGATGTTAATGAAGATTCGTGTAAGGGTGTAAAGGACGTTGTTGTGGCTTGTGAGGAGAAGGCCAAGAAGCTGGATAGACTTTTCCACAAGACTATCCCTGAAAATGATTCGCCCCTCCTTGAGCGATACTATATGGCAGTCAAGGCGCTTGGGAAAGGAAATACGGTTGAGAATTTGATGAAGGGGATACTGGAAAATGTGCACCTCTTGGCTTGCGAGCGTGGCATGAAGACGGCAACCAAGGCTCAGCTGGAGCAGGTTTCCCTGGCTATTAAAGAAGTGTCGGCGGGAGAACCTTCAGTGCCGGAACACCTATTTGAAGAGACCGACCGTTTCACGGCAATCAATTTTGGCTCCGGCACCCAAAACAATGCCCAGGGGGAATACATTGCTCAGGGCGACGCGAAACAATACAACATTGGTAGTGGCACTATGAACTTCGGTAAAGACTGAACCGTCGGGATACTGAAGATTTTATTTTTAACGAATATTTTCCTAGGATCGAATAATACTGTTCAAAATATCTCTATTTCACATGAGCGCCAATCACGTAAGTGCTAATGCTCTCTGATATATTTCGCCAATGTGCTTGATAAATGCTAAGTAATACAATTTAAAAGGCCCGGAAGAGGACGAATGCTTACAGGCTCTCTTTCTAACAAATCCACTTGACGACCGGCAGAAGCTCATAAACGCAAAGGGGTCAAGAGTTGACGGGACATGCGAATGGATCAAGACGAACAAAGCATATACTTCATGGCTTAATTCTCATTCGCAGCTATTATGGATATCCGGCCTTCCTGGCAAGGGAAAAACAATGCTCGCTATTTTCCTTGCTAAAGAGCTCGAGCGAACCGCCAACACGATGCTGCTGCAATACTTCTGCGATAACAATGACGAAAAGCGTAATACAGCTGTCGCTATTATTAGAGGACTGATTTTCCAGCTTCTACAACTCCAGCCGAAATTGTTTGATTACATCCTACCAAGCTTCAAAATTCAGCAGGCATCTCTCTTTACTAGCACGTCATTTGAAACGCTCTGGAGAATTTTCGAGGCTATGGTTCGTGACCCGGTCATTGGTACCATGTACTGCGTTCTGGATGGCCTCGACGAATGCGACGAAGATTCGTTAGAAGTCCTTTTAAATAAACTTAAGGGTCTATTATCGACAGAGTCCAGCGAATCTTCAGCCTGCCATCTCAACTTGATCATCGTCAGCCGTGATATTCCAGATTTTATACCTGAGATACTATCAAGCTTTCCTCGCATTCAATTAGATACTGAGGTCAACGGCGATATCCGCTTATTTATTGAGGCCAAGGTCGATGAGCTCTCTGCACACAGACAATACCCGGAGCCACTACGTGTACACGTGAAAAAGGTATTCCAGAAACGCGCGCAAGGCACATTTCTCTGGGTAGGGATTGTAGCCCGCCAGTTGCGGAAATATAGAGCGACTGAAGTCGAAAATACGTTGGAGCTTTTCCCATCAGGGCTAGAAGAATTGTACGGTCGTATGCTACTTCAGATTGATGAAAATCGACGAGAAATTGTCGCTAGGATATTACGCTGGGTTGTCATGGCTGTTCGCCCCCTGACGCTGTCAGAGCTGAGTGTTGCGCTTGACGTTACGCCAACTGCTACGTTCACTCGCGAGGAAGTGATGAGAGACCAAGTGTTGCACTGCCAACCCTTCCTAACGGTCAAAGAAGAGAATAACGAAGAATATGGAGAATATGAAGAATATAACGAAGAATATGACGAAGAATATGAAGAACATTACGACGAATATAAAGAAGGTGGCGACAAAGTCGGCTTTATCCATCAATCCGCTAAGGACTACCTTTTGCGACAAACTCCTGATCTAAATCTCAAGCTAGAGTTTTTCCGTGTCAGAGAAGAGGTTGGGAACCTTGATATTGCAAGAAAATGTTTCGCCTACCTACAAGATGGTGCCTTTACAAACGGGAAAGTCAATCTTTGGCGGGATACTGCTCATTTGAAAGCCTTCCCATTGCTTTCGTATGCTGCATTTCACTGGTTTGAGCATGCACAATCCCTAGCTCGCTTAGAAGACATTTTCGATTTGTCACTCCCATTCTACCAAAATGAATCTCGAATCCGTCAATCTTGGCTAGAGACATATTGTTCATTGGATGCGTTTATGAGCCTCCCCGATTTGTTTCCGCTATTGCATTTGGCTTCGTATTTCGGTATAGTTCCGCTTGCTCAAAATATTCTTCGTGGGGGATATTGGAGAAATAGCGCAAGTCGGCAATCTTATGTAAATCAAAAAAACTTGAAAGGGAACTCGGCACTATTCGTAGCGGCTTTACGCGGGCATGAAGTCATCGTACAGTTGCTTCTAGAGAACGGGGCGGATATCGAGGCTGGTGCAGGGAACGTTCTACAAATAGCTGCATTGGAAGGGCACCAGGCTGTGGTACAGTTACTTCTCCAGAAGGGGGTGGACGTCAATGCTTTGTGTAACCATGGCGAGACGGCGCTACATAGAGTGGCTTGGAGCGGGGATACAGCTATAGTACAGTTACTTCTCGAGAAGGGGGCGGACGTCAACGCTTCATATAACTA